GCCATGACTTTAATAAAAAAAAAATATTTATAATAATTTCGATCATCTGTGAATAGTTTCTGAAAGTTTCATTAACATCTGACAATTATTTTTTATTTTTGCAAGATTTTCCAAATTAATGTGTGTAAATACAAAAAAAATGTGCTAAAAATTATCTATGTTATTTACTACCCCTTGTTGCGACAAAGAGAAACAAGGTTTTTTTAAATCAAAATTTAGAATATTCTAAAAAGATGGAAAAAATTTTTAAAAATAATTAAAAAAATTTAGTCTATCCTCTTCATAAAAAAATAAGCATTTTGACGATAAATTTTGTTTTCATAAACTTTGGCGTCTTTTTCATCAGACTATATGCTCTATGTTTTAGCGATTCCGTGGAGTGACTTAGGTTAAAAAACCCAGGTTGTTTATGTGTGTGTGTGTGTGTATGCGTGTGTTCCTTTATATATGGGATCGGATTCCTTACATTTTTCAGCCGATAAAACAAACATCCACTTTTTTTTTTCGGCAGGTAGTATTTCTTATTGTCTTGCACACATTTTTCTTTATTTACATTCAGAATGCTTTAAAAATTCCATTTACAAGACAATTGTTTATAATAAAATTCTATTCACCAATCGATAGACTCATAACGATTGTAAACAATGTTTCTCTTTGAATTTGGGTTTGACCAATTCGTAAAAAAAAAAAAAAAACTAATTAAGACATGCGTGTCCGTCAACCTTAAACAATAATCTTTGTCAATTTTATTTTTCAGTCTTTATGATGGTGGATACTTGATCTATCTCTTACTGTTACATCCCCGGGCAACGCCAGGCTCTACTGCTAGTCTATTATAAATTTGCAATTTTTGTTGGATTGAAATTTAATAGAATATAGTAAATAATCTTTTTCAAAAGTTTTTCTTCATAATAACAGCAGAAATATTTGAAAGTTTAAAAATTAAGCTTTTTCAACTAACCATCTGCCATATTCTAAAATCCCTCAATCTTGTTCCAACTTTATCAACAACTATTTTAATTTCTCACATCTCTTATTCTGTTTGATATATTCAGATAAACTTTGGTATAATAATTTTGTATGAATATTTTTCTTTACAATAACAGGTCCGTTGAACAAAAATTGTTTTAATAAAACACTTTTGAACATTTTTCCAAAATATCTTTTTGTATATCAGTTGCATTAAAAAAATTATACTTTTCTTATAATCTCAGATGATATAAAATAATCATGAGTATTCTTGTTTATGTGGAATATATATTGAAGTTATATGCAGAGTGAACACTGAAAATTTTAAAAAGCTGCCTAGCCACTGTTTGATTTATAAAACTTAAATTCTTTCAATTTGGGGAAAACTATAATTTTGTTAAAAACTTTTATGAGTGCTACTGTTGGATATTATCTCAAAATGGTCAAAAGGTGTTGTTTGACAGCCTGTCAAGGCAATTAAAATAAGCAAAATAAGGTCCGGGTGTTTCGCCTTCTAAAAGATCAAGATGAGAGAGAAAGATGATTAAAGGTAATACCCAAAGGTAACACTCCTAACCACCCAGACACTGTTGTTTGAGCAAGGCATTTTCCACCTGGTTATGAAACTGTGTTTGTTCAGGGAAAAGCATGGCCCAAAAATCTTCCATCAATATTCAATAATTTGCCATCAAGTGTGATACTGAGTCCTTTACCAAAACCAAGGACAACAAAAAAAAGTTCTGCTACTGTGCAAAGTGTGCAAAATGATGAGTTTACACATTTTTTAAAAAGGATAGAATTGAGAATTTTACAAATTTGTGTATTGATATTGACCATCATGATTTTACACCAGCAGTGACCTGCTACAAATCAAACAATCAACAGTTCATCCTGTCTTCTCATTTTTTCACTGGCGGTATTCTAATTTTTTTTATTAAAATTTTTGAAAACTTGACATTTGAATTTTACCATGCAGGTACACACACACACACACACATTTCTTTCCTACTAAAAAACAGAATGAATATGTTTCAACATTGCTCTCAAATTGAGAAAGCAATTCATTATCTTGGTAACTTGAAAATTGGATGAAAGAAACATGTTGTGAGAGATATCAAAGTTATGCCACCATGAATAGTTGGCAAAAAAAGTTTAATGCCCTGGGCATTCAAATATTTTGTCCATGCATTTGAATATTTTGCCACATCTCGGATTCTTTATAACAGAATTTGAGATGATTACAAATTACCTACTGTGAAAACATTAGTGGATATGACATCAAACCTTTCAAAAGATAGATGATCTGAATTTTCTTGATGACATGTTTAGCAAAATGTCAAATGAACAGAAAAATGTAGTTGATGAAGTTTATGTTAAAGTGAGTTTATAATACCAAGGAAGAAACTTATTTGATTTTGCTAAAGATTTTGAAGAGGCATTAGCAAAAACTGTATTCAGTATTATGATCAGATGTTTAAATGGTGGACCAAAATTTTTAATAAAAACAATCCCAGTTGCCAAACTAAATTCAGAATTTTTATTTCAGAATGTTAAAAATGTTTTTGATTTAGTCAATCATTTGAAAGGTCATGCAATTGCAATTATTTGTGACAATAGTCGGACTAATCAAGCTTTATTCAAGAAATTTCATACTGTTGCAAATAAACCTAGGGTTACTAAAAATGGTTTATACTTACTTTTCAATTATGTACATATATTTAAAAGTATTCGCAATAACTGGATAACTGAGGCTTGTTCAGAATTGTTGTTTTATTCTCATAGTAAAGAAATGACAGCAAAATGGGAAATAGTGAAACAACATTTTGCACATGAAAAAATTAATTTAAGTTATCAATACTAATAGAAACAGCAGTTCTTCTAAAACCAGTTGAGAGACAAAATGTTTGAAAGTGTTTGTGATGAGACTGTAACTACGGTAGCTTACCATTATTACAGGATGATGATACAAGAGAAACTGTTATTTTCATCAAAGAAGTTTGGAAATTTTGGAAAATAGTAAGTGTAAAATATATTTATGGAAGTGCCAAGACAAATGATCCACTGAATAGAGTGGTATCAGATTGAAATTATGGTAATTTGACATTTCTTGCAAATTTTGGAAGTATGGCAAAACAAATGAGGGGAAAGCAAGGAAAGAGAATAAAAATCCTTCACAAAAGACACTAGTATGGCTATCAAGCATACATGATATTTGCAGACATTTACTTGTCAGGATTTCAATTTTGTCATTCTTGGAGAATTTATCACCGACTATCTTGAAACTGAATTTGGTAAAATTGAGTCAAGAAAGTTTATGTTAGAGAGTATAGTCATGATGCAGGCCATAATTGCTCAAAATGAGGATTTCTGCTGGATGAATTGGCATGCCAAACATTTGATCACCTGCCAGGCCTAGAAACTAGTATCCCCAAAGATATTAAAATGTCACTTTTTTATACAGCAGGATATATCACACAAAAAAATCCTCTTACAGTAGAGGAAATATTCAATGATATTGCTTTTTATTATCATGAGTATGGAAGTTTTTTGAAAGAAATAGATTGTGGTGATTTAAAAGCTCCACTGAATACAACATTCTGGTTATCGTAACTCATTGGTTTGAACACTGTCCATTTTATAGGATAACCTATAGATTTTTAAGTAAACCTTCGATTTAATCTATAGACTTTGTATTATCTCATTTCATCTTCCATTTCAGTGAATCATTTTTTCTAATTTCTTCTTCCATTTTAGTGAATTTGTTTGCTTAGTTTAATCAACTACAAGACCACACTAGAGATTTAGAAGCTGAAATTTTAGTTTGAACTTTGTTTTTAGATTATTTTATTATGATAATGAAGACTGTAGCCAAAATGTTGTGTTGAAAACAATCAAAATGAGGACAGTTTAAATTTTGGCTTAGTAAAACATATTATCACATTTGAACAAACTATGTTTCTGTGCTTGATATCATCATTATTTCCAGTCATATGACAGATCACAATTGACTGCCTTTCTTATCTACAGGAGTTGCTAGAAAGGAGGTAGATTATGAATTTGCCAAAAGGGATCCATTTTTAGTTCCAAACAATAGTATAAAGTTAAATGCAAACAGCCTTAGCTAAAACTATTGTGCCAATTATTATTATACTACTCCACATATTATATATATATATATATATATTTTGCACATGTCTATAAGTTATCTAATTAGCTTTTTGATATTGAGACGAAATCCATCAAGGAAGGTGCAGTAGTTTTTTTTAACCCAAGTACTTTCAAGCTTTTCTAAGATCATCTTTAGAAGTAAATTACAAAGAGTTACAACAGCATGTTTGTCTTTGTAATTTGCTCCTGATAATGATCTTAGAAATGGTCAAAAGTATTTGGGTTTAAAAAAAAAATAGACATAATATGTTTATATTATTAAACAAAACATATATATATATATATATATATATATATATATATATATATATATATATAAATTTTAATATACATTATTTATATATTATATATGCAGTACTTATTGGAAAGGGCTCGATATCAGTGTTAGAGTTAACATATTTAGTTGGATTGATGTGAGTTTGTGACCCTGGGTTTCACGCTACTTGCAATTGTCTGACAAACCATAAAAAACAGCGATATATGCAACCATATATAAACCCACATTTTTAAAAAATTAATCAGTTTGTCTGACAATCACAAGTTGCATGAAAGCCAGGGTCACAAACTCACATCAATCCAACTATATATATATATATATATATATATATATATATATATATATAGTGCAGAGTAAAAATATGTATGCCATTAAATATACTAGGTAGATGAATATTAACAAATGTGTATTATCAATCTATTATTTATCCTCAGGTACTCTATACAACATTCTACAAGCTGAAATATGTCTTAGGTTTAAATAACCTACAAAAGATTGATAAGCCATAAAAGAACAAATGAATTAATCAATATAAGCTTATACACCTATAAGTTATCACAATAATTATATCCTTAAAAATACTCACATTTCTCCACCGATGGAAAAAGCGTACAACTAACAGTTGCTTGCATTTGGAATTTGCCAATTCATTCCTCAAGTTATTTGTCTCCTTCACATGAACATGCCAAGCTTTCAAACATTTCCTGAAGCGAAATTTTAAAGCCGTTCATATTTAAAGAATCAATTTCAGTTGACAATGTCAGATTTCATGCAAGTCAATGTTTCATAATAAAACTGATATTTTAACCAATGAATCTTGAAAATCTTCTGGATACAGTTATATGATTAATAGACCAGGTGAATTTCACCTTACATTTGGATTAGAAATATTTATTATAACTTATTAGTGGCATGAGATTTTATTATGCAATTTAATGGTTGTTCATTATATTTTAAATAAATATAGTAATATAGACATTGATTTTGTTAATTTGTTTTTACTATTTCAAATTTTAACATTATTTGCAACAGTTTTCATTGCTAAGGAATGTTATAGAATATCAAAGAGCCTATATTAACATGTAAAATAATAAAATAAAAAATATTCAAGTATATGGTTTATGGTATTAATCAAATGTTTCTGTGGCCTATATCTTTTGGATTTTGCATAATAAAATTTGACACTTCCAAAACAAGTTACCTTTAATAAGGATAGATATTATCAGCTGAAACTTATATATTACTAATATATCCTGAAAATGTTATCAATATTTATTTAATATCAATTGTATTGTGAAAACATTGACTTGTATAATAAAACCATAACACAGTGTCCAATACAAGGACTATAATGAATACAAGAAATCTGCAAGTTATGTCTGGAAAGAACCTAGCTATCTAATTAGTTACATGGCCTTAATGAATGGAATGGAATGGTGTCAGTTCAGACTGATACCAGGGGATATGGGTTGGAGTACCATGCACTGGTTATAAGTGAAGTCGAGTAAAGGGAAACAACTCTGAAATTAGCAGCTAACAGATGTGCAGTTTATTTATAAAAATTCACTTTTGTGTGACATATTTCATAGTTTAGTACAATGAGTAATCCAAATTTGCAAGAATCCCCAAAACATTATCAGAACTGGCTTTTTTTAAAATTTTATTTTGACACTTAAAGTTCCAAGTATTAAAAAAATCTTTTATTTCCAATGAGTAACTTCTATGTGTTTGTTATCCAATAAATTAAGTGTGACTTCATCAGTAAATTTTTCTTCACTATCAGATGATAAGCATTATTGATCATTTTCACAAGGAAATTCATAAAATTCTTCATCAATAATAACCCACTTCACTGTTTTGAGGGGTAAAAAAAATACAAATTGAAATTACTAAACAAGTTCCATGCACAAATTGGTTCAGAAGTACTTATTTGATGCCCTTAAAAACAAAATCAAATTTTAATCAGTTACAATAAAATGGAAGTTTTCATTGTTTACATTGGTATAGTAACAGATAAGTGAGTAATAGAAATTTCTCTCAATCACATTTGAGCTTTGGAATGGCAATGACTGAAATTCCAGTCATCCTCAGTTTATAAATTCTATCCAAGATAGAACACATTTTAAAACCAGTTATGAATAAAAGAAATAAGAATACAAGGGGTGCTGAAAAGTTATCAGCTTAAGCCCATTTCCTGGAATCTGATCAAATGACAAAGCATTAAAATTTTTTTGTATTTCATTTTGAGATAAGTGATTGTTAATATTGTAACAGGAATGCTTGGAAGAGTGGTTTATTCTCCCATTTGTATTTCCTCCCATTATGGGCATTATTACATCTGTGGTATAATAACACCATAATTCACGGACAGGACAGACTGGCTGAAAGGAAAAAGAATGACAACCATGCTTGATTCTCAGAGAATACTACTAAGACATTCACAAAACTATATCTACATATATACAAGTGTCCCATCTAAACAGTAAAGCAGAGTGTAAGGAGAAACAAAAAGGAATGGTCTTACATATCATATGGAAATATTCCTGTGTCTGGAGAAGCAATGTTTAGGACTCCAGATTCAAAGGAGCTGGATTCATCTACGTGCCAGGTGAGGGCATATTCCATGAACAAGAAACAGACAGTATTGGGTTTGAGGTCTATGAGCTGGAGATTCTTTCAATGTCTGGGAAAGATATATTCCCAAAGGAAAATGGCAACATAGAGTTGTAAGCTGCTGGGAAGGTAGATTTAACCACAGCCCAAACCATGAGAGATGGGGGGCACGGGCTAAAGAAAGCAACCTTTCGGTTTTGCTGCTGTAAACAAACTAAAAACTGACTGCTGCTTTTGTAACTGTATAGCATGACATCATTAAGCAACCATCACATGACCCAAATGACTTATCTTTATCAAAGGGAGATAAGCACCTACTGTATCCCTATAATATACTTTAATTATTTTGAACTATTGTTCTCATCTTGATTATTACAGAAAAACAGTTTGAACCTGTAATGAAAACCAAATGTCAATACCATTTGATATTTGAATATAAAGACTACAAAAATACACAACAGATGATCTCTGGGACAGTGACATAGCAGATATAGAAGTTGGTTAAACATGTGTCATTGTCACATGTTTAGTTGTTAGTGATCATGAGTTTAATTCCTGAATCAGGTAGTGAAACACTGGTCCAGCAGGAATGAACAATAACTGGAATCATGGGGACAAAATAACACAATAATCAACAGATATCCAATATCAGCCAAAAAACAATGGACACCTACTGATGACCAGAGAATAATTGGTTGAAACATCACTATAATGATATCTGTAATAATCAAAAGAAGAAAAATAATTAAAAATACTTAAAGTATATCGAACTTTTTTAATCCCTTCTTAATCAGTCTAAGAACTATCCAGAAGCCACTTGTAGAAATCCAAAGAAATAAGATGGTTTCAGTCTTGCCTCATGGATGAAACAGTTATACAGTTCTTGCTCTTCAAGCCCACACAGAATTTTAAATATGATCTTTTAGAAGATTGGAGTAAAACAATCTTCCTGCTCTCATTTACTACCATCTAGACTTGTGCCATACTTCATGAACTGCAATAAGACACAATTTCATATTAAATGGGAAAAAACTGCACTTACCTGAGTAATGTTGAGGCACTATGCTGTACAGCTTGGATATGATTATTATGTGTAATAACAATGAGTTTCTTCCATGGGAGAATTCCTTTATATTTCAGTAACAGGTATTTATGAAAATCATCTGCTTGGGTATTTAGTCGCTGTATTTCGGCAAGCTTCTTTTGACGTTCAGCTTCTCGCTAAAATACACAAAATATTATGGCCCTAAATTTTGTATTTCAATTTCTTTTAATTACAATTGTAAAATTATTAAAGAAAATGCACCTCAAATATGCAGGCTGGTAGATAACATATAATACTGTTTAAAATTAACAGAGTGTCTACTCAAATGCAGGCATCCAATAAATATAATGTTTAAAGTAATAAAAATATGCTGGATTATAAATTCAAATCCATTAATTCTTTAAAAATTGATTTGTTTACATTTCAGATATGAAACTGAGCACTTATCACTTTCAGAAAACAAGTAATATGTGCTTTAAAGTTAACTAGATCTTTGTTTGATTGTGAAGCACTTTGTAGTTGTGTGGTCAAAGTACATCATATATATATATATATATATATATATATATATAAAAGTAACATTCTTATTTACATCATTCTTCATTATATGTCCTTGGATTCTTTTAAGGCACCCAACTTTTCTAGAAACTCAGTCTTTGAAGCAATTTTAACTTCTTGAAGATTGTGATAGTAAATATTGGGAAAAACATAAAACACAAGCATGATTGTACCTGTTGTTCTAAACGTTTTTGTTCCTGACGTGCTCTTAATTTGGCTTTTCTTTCCTCCTCTTCTCGTTTCAGATGTTCCTTCTCAGCAGCCTTCAGAAGAGCCTAGTAGAATTAAATTTTAAAGTTCAATATTTCATTTTCATAGGATAATTAAATAACTGCATTGATGAAACCAGAAATTAATAAATATAACTGAATATTTACACTAGATGTGAAGTAAAGTCATAGATTGTAGTGGTCAATACTCAAGTAGTATAGTCCTATGACAATAAACTACATCCAGCAGCAAGGCCTCCAATTGGGGGGTTTTGCAGATGGAACATGGAACAACCTCTTAATTGCTGTTGTTCCCAGTCCACCCTGACTCTGGGTGGTAGCACCTTTTAGGGTCACAGCTATGGGCAAATAATACCCCCATCATCAAAAACAAAATGCTATGAAAGTATAAAAATACATTTCTATAGTAAAAACATTAGCAATATATTTTTATATAAATTACTAACAATATGCAAATACTAATAAATTGTAATGACTTCACTCTAATCTGTTTAAAATACTACCAAAAAAACAGCTTAAAAGAACTTTCATGACATTAAGCTATATAATATCCTACAATTTTTGTTTTTTTTCAGCCAAAGTGGATGTTGCTTAGAAGACCAGACTTCAAAAGGATCCATCTGATGGCTACCAAACAGAAACACTTGAAATGGAGATAAAACCATATCTTCTTTTTCCACATGGGTGTCCATAGTATTGCACAACTTCATATCTAAAAATCAGATATTTTTTGAGTCACTTTTTGAAAAAAATTTTTTTTTTTTAAAAAAACGAGTTCTTATAAGCCATCAAATATAGTAAATCTTATTCATTCGTGACATTACCAATTTTTCTTCTGCTTTCTGTTGCTTCCGAGCTTCCCTTTCTTCTTTCATTCTTTTTCGTTCAGTAGCTCGTGCTTCCATATCTAAAATGAAAAAAAAAAAAAGAGATAGTCTTTACAAATGAAAAAAAACATGAAATATTATTTCCTAATGCACTTATACTCAGACAGACCCAAATCTTTAGAGGAAACAATCTCTTTTTATCTTAGCCAGTTATTATGAAGGGAAGTAGGGTTAGATGTATCTATTAATCCTAGTTTAGTTTGACACAAGGTTACAATTATGGGGCATTCAGTAAAGATCAACCTCACTACACAGTGGTAATGGTCTACCAACCATTATTTCAGAGGCAGGTGAACTTAACAGAATATTCATGGACTTAAAAAATCAGATCCATTTGCTTAACACCGGACAAAAGTAGTCCTTAAGCTTGATATCAAAATTTCTTCTCATTTAGTGAATTTATATTATAATTATTTGTAAATAAATAAATAAATAAGGGGAGACTACTCTGTAATTAGCCAAACTCCAGCTACATTTAAAATTTAAAGTTATCATGTATATCTAGTAACCTTTAATCACCAGGAGTCTATGAGTGTTAAATGATATTTTCGTATATATATATATGCGTGTGTGTTTACAGTTAAGAAAACATGCTTATTGTAATAAAGTGTAGAAATTATTTATACATAAAAATATATTATAAAATATATGTATAAAATATCTTTTCTTGTAAAATAAAAATATTATTGTTTAGCTTCTTGTTTTATCAGTCATTTTTGTTGTGGAGTAAAGGAGCACTCCCACAAAATGGACTGATCTAAAAAAGTACACAATTAACTATTATTCCAGTAGACTGTGTTCTCAACTGTTAGTAACGTATTATTCTTCTGAATAAATTACTACTGCTTTTTATCTGTGTATTGACTTATCCATTTCATGCTACAACACTTCTGATCTTAAAAAATTAACTGCAAGGTCAATCACAGTCATCTGTCTTTTTAATTTTCATCCTATTGTTCTCTCTTTTTAATAATATTTTTTTTCTTTTATATTTTTTCACACTCGGTAATCTCTTGCATCTTAGCAGCTTTATCACCTTGTTTGGAGTGTAATGATTAAAAAAAAGAGCACTTTAATAATCTAGTCCTAAGAAAAGTCTCACGATGATGTGGTGTTTTTGCTGAATCATACAAACTCACAAGCAAAAATTAAATCATTATAATATAGATATTTGTAGCATTATTTTTCAAGGTAAAGATAATAAAGATATGTGTTTGAATAGTTTTTTAATGTTTTTATGTTATAAATAAAGCATGTGGTTCTTAATCAATGTTATGAGATATTCGTACTCAGACATATGTGAGCATAGAAGTAACATTTCACTGAATTGTAATAAGTGTATGTTCAACATTATATATCCCTAATAACAATATGCCTGACAGTAATTAAATACACCACTCCTTTAGTAACTTCATTATGCTTCCATAGTGTGGCAAATAAAAAATATTTTAAAAATAGGACATATGCTTTGTGATGCACCCCTGGCCATCAGAACGTGGACAATTATGGCTCTCCACATCTTCTTGTCCTTTATTATGCTTAGAATTACTTTTTCTTTTATGATCACTCTTTTTCTCTTTTGTAGTTGTTCTTCCATCTATTTATACACACTCATTAAATATGTTTCTTTTAGCTTCAATGTGTCTTGTGAGTGTCATATTTTCCAAGCCTTCTTTCCACATTACATGCCCCAAATATTTCTGTTGTCACTCTTTGACTGGTATAAATAGTTTCTTTGTAGTTCCTATTCTACTTAAAACTTCCTCCTTAGTCGCATGTTCTGTCTGTTATATTCTCAACATTTGTTAGTAAAACCATATTTCTATCACTTAAAAATCTTTTTCCATTTGTAATGATATTGTCCATAAAAGAGGGTAGACATGATATAACAGTCTAGCACTGTTCTGCTTCTTTCTAATGTTATTTTTAAATCTCTTATTAACTTACTCCATTTCTGAAAAGTATATTCACTATTTCATTTTGACATTTCCAATGCATAACTCACATTTTGGTATGCCTCTTTTGCCCACCACCTTGCATTCCATCTTCTTACAATTAACAGTCAGTCCTTTGTTGTCACATTACTAAAACAAATTATTGTAATGAAAGATGTTACTTTAAGTAAATTAAAGAGTATTCAATATTTGTTACAATTTCAACTCACTTTTCAGTATCTTCTGATCTTTTGTGTTAATATAATCCATACTTTGGGAACGGCGTAAGGCAAAGGTTTTCTTCTGGTCACAATTCCTCATGTTACTCCTGATTTGTAAATAAATAAAATGAAGAATTAAATAACATCAAATAAATGGTATTCTCAGAGTTTACATGTTAAATTCAGAAAATCCTTCACTGACAAATCCTACAGCCATTGTAGGTATATAAGTTTTATAGACTCCCCCGTGGTGCACAGGGTCATAAATTCACCATGTTACTAGGTGTTGCTACTGCGGTTTCTGTAGCAAATATGCTTTTAGTGGGTGGAGTTGCTAGTTCTATGCCTAATCAGTTTTGAATTCAGAATTTGAACCTGTTCCCAGCCAGAATGAAAGAGAGGCCAGTCTGCCTTGCTATTAACCCCTAAGTGGGGGAAGAAGAGATGGATTCATATTATTTTGTGGATGTTTGTGTAAAAATGCACAATGGCCTTGGTTGGAATTTGAAATCAGCATGCCAATCCCACTTTTTGTGTTTATAACTGCTATATTATATGCACCTGCATAGCCATTAGTCAACTAGTTTGTAAGGAATAAAGTTCTTCAAGAGAATAAATGGTCTTTGTAACACTTATTCAACATTCATAAAATATCACCAGGTATGAAAGTGATAAAATCAAAAGCACTAAAATTTGCAAAATACTAGCACAACAGCTTTGTTTGTTTTGTTGGTTTTTTATGAAAAGAATCAGACAAAAAGACCAATATGGTTAGACTGAATAAATCATTCTTTTTTTCCAAATATAAATACTAAAGTCTTTTGTATAACAACTTTAATTTATTTAACCTTCCCAATAACTTAATGCAAAAATAAAGTAATGTGTATTAACGGTATTATTAAAAGAAATTCACATCTTATATAAATCTATTCAGCAGTGTGAGTAAAAAGGGTAGGAGCAGGTGTAATTAAAGAACATATCTCTCATATTCAGTAATATGATTAAAGAAAGACAGCATATAAATGCTATAACTAGGTACATGTTCCCAGGTGCTGATGTGGATTTCATCAGTGAACACACACTTAAATGCAACCAGTAAAGCAGTCGCACAGATTCTCCTTCCTGGCTTTTTCAAGCACCCAATACAATATACTCTCATGAAAAAAATCACGATGTGCCCTATCTAGACAATCTTTTAAGGATAGGGAGGAAGATAGTGAGGAGACAAAAGCTCCCAGAAGTACAAAGGAAAATAAGGGGATAAATCCTCTTTGGTACAAGGAGATGAGGTGACTCATTTACATATAAAAGTCACAAAGGCTATAAATAGCTACAGCTATTACCCATGGACAGTGGAGTGCATACTACTTGCTGTGAGTCAGTAACACTACACAACATGAACATCAAATCTGTCTAAACATTACACAAATAATTAGACTAGTTTTTTATGTTTTAAATACAGAAGTTTTCCAAAATGGAGGCAGTTACATTTCGTCAATTTTTATATAGTATCCACATGATGATAATCTGTTGGTATGGATATGAAAATAACAAAAAATATTTGATCTCATGTTAAAAACAAATCAATGTTTTTGCACTAAAATCTTTAGTTTCACTTTAAAATTTATACCATTTTTCAATATAAAATTCATATAATTTTATCTTTCTGGTTTAGATTCCTTAGAGTGGAATTGTAATGTTTTAAGTACTATTATATTTTTAAGATAAATAGTACCTTTTTGCATTTAACTCAATTATGCAAGATTATGTTTTAGACTACCCTCCCACTATATGAAAAAATTATTAAAAATTAACTAATTTTAAAATAATCAAAATATGAAAAAAATTAAACCATTTAAACACAAATCTTTCGGAAGGTAGTGGTTATATTGGTTATACAAATCTGTAAAAACAAATTCGGTTTTTAAATCTTTTTCAAAAATATATTTAAAAAATGTTTGAATTTCTACACAAATTATTAAAATTTAAATTGTTAAAAGAAAAATTAACTATCTTTAACCTTTGTGCTCACAAAAAAAATGATGTGTTAAAAAGACAGTTTTTTGCTTGATACCTCTATTATTTTAACTAACTTCACTCCTCAGAAATGTTACTGTCACGATGATCAATCTTAGTAGCCATAGATATTTTATGTACACTTACTCAAAGTTGCCTGTGAGTTATAGTTATAGCTCTCTTTATGCTAATTATATCTCCCAGAAACTTTTGGGTTTCATGCCCTGCATGGATCTATGGCTTCTCCAACATTCCCTCACCCTATCATTGGTTTCATGAGTATTTCTCATTATGGGGGACCTTGATCTAGTTCTTTTCTTCTCAGTGTCTCATGTTTTATGCTCTGAGTCTTCTGAAGGACTTTGATCATCCATTGATTCCTCTGACTAGCTTTCTTGTTCATCTACATAGTCATTCAAACTAACTTTGCTTAATACTTCCTCATAATTTTGGCTAGCTTTTAACTGGTCTGCATGGGCAACAATATTTTTACTATTCTTGCATATTAATGCCGTGTTGTATCCTTTTTGCATTATGAAATTTGCCTTTTCCGGCTCATTTTCTTTATTTCTTTTGTACCACATGTTTTCATTAATAGAGTAAAACATGGTTAATGAAGCTCTAATCTGTCTGCCCCATTAATGCAGATGGGCTCCCTAATCTGTCAGTATGTGGTATCATTCTGTAACTCAACAATAATTTTGGTAGGAAAGTTACACTCTTTTCTTGCTGAAAAGAAAATGCTTTCAATTCCATCTTAATTGTTTGGACCATTTGCTCAGCAATCCCATTTGATTGAGAGTGGTAAGGATGTGTTTTATATGGCATACAGCCTATCTTCCTTAAACACAAGCATAGACTTTTATCATTGAATTCAGGACCATTATCAGTTACTAATGTTTTTGTTACTTCTTTTCTAGCAAATATTATACGTAATATTTGTTTTACAGTAATAGATTTTTTTATCTTGAACTTGGAAAACTTCAGGCCAGACGGAAAAAGTGTCAACCAGTATTAGACATGAAGCTACCCTCGTTAGCTTGTGCATGATCCATATGAACTTTAGACCATGGTTCTGTTTTGTTAGGCCAAGAGTGTAACTTATTGTGGCGAAAATTCTTTATTTCGGTACATTTAGGACATTTGCATATGTAATTCTCCACATCTTGGATGTCTCCTGGCCACCACACTTCCAGTTTTAACCGTTTTTGCTTAGCAGTTATCCCACAATACATCATGTATATTTTTAATTATAATTAATAATGGCCACACCTAAACATATATCATCCTGATACATTATCATATTTTCTACTCTCCCCCCTAACAAATATCCATAGCTTTCTGAAAAATCAATCTGGCTGTATTAATTCCAAATGGTAAATGGGACCCTCTAAGTAAGCCTATGGGGGTGTTTATTGTTGTGGTTTCCTTAAATTCATCATCTATTTGAATTTGGTGGTATGCATTTTTTAAATCAACTTTCGTAAAATATTTCATTCCTGCCAGAGAATGTAGTATGTTTTCTATGCTTGAAATAATTCAAACAAATCTTTTGATTAATGCCTCTTTGTAATCTCCGCAAATTCTAAATTCACCATCAGGTTTTCTTAAAACCACAATAGGCGATACCGATTTGCTGCCTCCAGTTTCTACATATTGAAGAATGTCTTCTTCCACTATTTTTTGCAGCTTATCAACTACCATTGGCTTTATATGAATGGGAAGCATACACCTTTCAATATACAATGGATTGATATTTCTTTTTAACTTAAGGCTTGCTTTATAGTTTTTTAATGTCCCAGTTTTCCCATATTCATAGCATTAAGTAAACATGTGCTATTAATATTTATCAAATCAATTCCTAGTAAACTGTGACTTTTTATACAGGCTACAGCCATAATAGTGACGGTTTCAAATCTATGTTTTGTTTCAAAAGTGCCTTGAAAAGACCCTAATATTTTTATACACATTCCATCAAACTGTCTTAATCTTACTAAACTTATTTTAATTTTGGTTTCAATAATTGATCTCAAAAATTCTTCGGAATAAGGGTCACTTCGCTTCCAGTGTCAACTTGCATTTTAAGTCTACACTGTTTAATTTAACATTCATGAAGGTGTTCGTTTTGTTTCTCCTTTCTATTGAAAAAACGTTTGTTTGACTTTTTACATCATCGTGTATTATTTTGATAGTTTTTACATTGGTATCTCGCTATCTACATACGACTTAAAAGTGATTTTTCTTTTTGCACTTATGACATGTCTGACCCTATGCTGGGCATTTCTCTCTCTTTGATTCATGCCTATAGCTGTAATATCTGCATTTTATCATTGTTCTTTTTATTACACATGTGTCCATAAGTTCAGGTTGGTTTTCATCTGTATTAAATTTTTTCAATTAACTCCTCATGTTGTATGAAGTCAATACAAGCTTCTAAAGTCATTTCGTTTGTGTGTAACTGCTCTAAAATTTTTACTCTATAAGGAGTGTTATACAGTCCTACCAATCAGTACTGAATTTTCTTCCTCTGTGCTTATTCCTTGTTGTCTTAGTTCATGAAATTCACAATATCTGCTGGTATCTCTTAACCGTCTTAGATATTTCCTTATAGGCTCCTAAATTCTTGTTTCGATGCTAAAATTTGGTTCATTTGACTATGACCAATCTTTTCTTTGGTTGAATATTTCTCAATATTATTTCTTTGACTTCCTTAAATGTCAAATTTTTAATTTCAGCCAGGTAAATCATTAATGAAATCTGCCTAATGGCTTCACAACTTGCAGTGGCCAAAAATAGAGCTGTGATTTTTTTCTGCCCCTCAGGTGTTTGGTCATCTCGTAACTTCTTTATTCTGGCACATGCCTCAATGCATTTTATCTAAATCTTTATGTTTTCAGGTTCTTCTGTGTTCAACAGAGCTCCGTCAGGCAAAGCCATTTTGCTATGACAATGAAGCCATAGATATTTTACATACACAGACTCAAAGTTGCCCATGAGCTATACTTATAGCTCTCTTTATGCTAATTGCCTATTAGCTAAACCAATCCCATTACAGTTACACTATTAAAATTTATACACTATTATATTGCTTATTGGAATGGTTGGCAAAACATCTAATTACCAATCAATCCAAACTTTATAAAATGGTTAATAATAAGGATGTCCTTATAGCTGGTTCTCATATTTTAATAATTTAATAAAGGTTTATAAATTTATGAATAAAAAATTATTTTCATGTTTCTTTATAAATTGGTAAATAATAAATATTGCATTGCATTATTTTTAATACAAATGTATTAATTTTTAGAATGTTGTAAATATAAAGTAAATTCTCAAAAACAAAAAAAATATATAAATTTATTTTCATATGTTTAGGTTTTATTACAATTTTAATCATCACTTTTTAAAACAATACATATTGCCAAAGAATGAAGATAATTTAAAATAATAGCGATGTCAAGGAAAAACCAACCTTTTGACATACTATTGTTTTGCAGGCAGGAAGATTAAAGATTGCCAAAAAATCAATATTACATTGTAAACAAGCCAAAGCTTGTGTGATTCATAATATAGAAAATGGCTTATTATTTATTTTTAACTGATTCTTCATTCACAGTTCAAGGAAAACCTAAAATCAATGTGATCAGGAAATAAAAATTATATGTAACCCTTCCTTTTTTTTAAAATTTTATTTTGCTGCTTAATTTTCAAGTGCAATTTCAGTCATAGCTGCTTTTATCACTTTTGCAATAATATCCTTAGGGAAGACATAAATCCAGTATTTCCTTAATTTTATGCCATCATTAGTCATCTTGTCAGTGATAAATTTGGATAAGAGAGCATAACAGTAAGTTATTGAGGCTCAACAGGAAAGAGAAGATTAATCCTGTTTATCAATTACTTTGCCAGTTTTGCTAAATTGTGTTTATCATGTGCTGAACTGACACTGTCAAAGTTTAAACTGTAAACATCTGACTTCTGCCTATCATGGCTGACATATGAATATAAAAAATACTTTATTTATATAAGATAATCATGAGAAAATGGATTGCTCATCTGACCACCTGTGACCCTCTTATCCAGACTTATCACTGACAAAGTGATTAATGATGTATCCCATCATTAATAGAAAAAACTGTTGAGAGGAAATTAATAGAGGAAATGTTGGATTGGTGTCTTTCCTGAGGATATTATTAAAAAAGTGATAAAAGCAGTTATGACTGGAATTCTAAGCAAAATTCATTTGCCACACATTACACCAATTCATGTTTTCTGAAATCATAAACTATTACAGTCAGTTGTTTCAGGACATTTCTATCATTTATTTAAATACATTAAACTTTAGTTGTCATTGGTCAGGAGTTTATATAAACATTACTGACAGAACAGGTTATTGTTTACAAAGTGGCAATACTTTTACTATAGAAATACATTGAAAATCAGGAATTAATGCAAGTATTACTTAATTAAAGAATATTTTAAAAGAATACAGCTGTTATATTTATGTTGTGCACCTTTTCAAATATGTGTGAATTCAACTTGTCCACGGGACTCTTGATATAATGATACACTTCATCTAATTCTTGCATCTACAGATGACCGCTTGCTGTAGAGTTATAGACAATTCTATTTGCCAGCTCTTATATGTTGCTTCATGATGGTAAATATGATATAAGGTTTGCTTAATGTGGGGCCTCAAGCCTAATTTCCCAGTATTCAAATTTTCACTATTAAATGCTAAAAAAGTTTTTAATTTTAATTTTTACCTTTATTTTCACTTTTTGAACCTCTACTTAAATAAGTGATTGAGTCTAATAATGTAAAAGGTATATATTTTTTTATTTTCATTAGTTTGCTGTATATATATATATATATATTACTTCAAACATTATTTTTAGTGGATACCCATATTTGAGTAGAACGCTCCATTTTTTAAACAGTGTTTATTTTGTCTACAGGTCTGTGCAATCAAGAACATTTATTATTTATTTAGTAAATGTGCCCTCAGGAAAGATTTAAATCTGTGTTCCCCTTCATAGGAGTAATCACCTTCTGATCTGGTATGCTTTAGACCACTTGGCTACAGAGAGCCTTACAACCAGACAAGTTTTGATTTGCCTTAAAGCACATCTTATCCAGATTTTTTCTTGAAAAGTCCTATCTGGTCAATTTTGTATCCAAAATGTAAACAAAACAATTTCTAAAGAATTAATGGATATATATTTTTAATCTAACATATTTTTAATAATGTCCGAAGTATTAAAAATATAACAGTTTAAAAATAAATATCAATATTAGAAACTCCAAAAACATTTGGGTAAGAACCGATAAATCGAAAATATCTATAAATGTAGCCCTTCACACTACCACAAAATCCTCATAAAATAACAAACACACACAAACTAGATAGATACAACAGTAGGATATCCAAGATCAATACAGAGGTTACTGAGATAGCCAATAAATTAAACATTGTAGATACAATGAGAGTATAAGTAAGGGAAAAGTCTGGGGTGGGGGAGAGAAAAGGATAAAAAGAAGAACAGAGATCATAGCAACAGAAGAAGTTGATTGACATTGCATTTATATTTTTGAAGATTATAGTTATCAGGGAAGCAGGTAATATAATTATATTTTCATTATAAGAGAAATCACTACACAAAAGCTTTCATGTTTCAATACTATGATTGTATTTCTTCAGGTGATAATAAGTAACACACAGGAGTTAGTTACCATCACCTGAAGAAATACAATCATAGTATTGAAACATGAAAGCTTTTGTGTAACAATTTCAAAATTTTTTTTATTCTAATCTCTTATAATAAAAATGTAATAATAATATATTGCTCTACTTTGTATTGAGCTTTTTTAAAAAGTAAATGGTATGAACAGTGGATTTTTACCCCATCCTTTCTTTATATATATAAATGGTATAATTTTGATTTTGTTTGCTTATTTCAGCTCGGTAAGCACCCAAAAAACAAATTGTAGCAATAATCATGGACTTTAATAAAAGTTTTAAAATACAATATATATATATATATATATATATATATATATATATATATATATATATTTTTTTTTTTTTTTTTTTTTAATTGGTATCGCCACATGCAAGGCAGTAAAGCCACGAAGACACAAGGGATTACAGTGTGTGGAAGAATTTGGAACAGAAATATTAATAATGAGAGGAAAGAGTAACCAGGAGGACAGTAGATAGCAATTGACATTGCATTTAAATTTTTGTAGATTAAAGTTGGCTGGAAAGCATGGATCTGGAAGGGAGTTCCACAAGTGAGAAGTGTGAAAAAAAAACTGTTAGCATAGAAGTTATAGCTACATCTATCCAGCTCAACTGTAAATTAATGAGATCTCGATGCCAGTCTAGTACTGTGTTTAAGTTCAAAAAGTCTAGGTACCATAGCAAAGAGCTTATCTGAACAATTACCATGAAATTATTTATAGAGAAGGGACAGAGGCAACCTTACAGCAGTGAGAAGGTGATTTAAATATCTTTGAAGTTTTTGGCTTTTAATTTGCATGAAAATAGCATGAAGCTAATTATAAGAATATAAAAATTACTTTTGCATGCTTAAACAGGTTTTAGACTGTTTTTAATGTCAAATTTTGTCATCCAAAATTAACTTTGATTATACTGATTGATGTCTGCTGACAAAAACAATTAAACTTTGTAATTAAAAGCCTCCTAAAAATAAAGTAGCAATTATAGAAATATAGAATTTGTTACAAATTTGTTAATGATTCTTTAACTGGATTTAAAAAAATATTTTTTTTTACTTCAAATATAATGAAAAATATTTTTGTTTACAGTGGGTGTCTGTTACTGGTTAACTCAGTTAATGTTGCTCAGTTGCTTAAATTTAAGAGCATGAGATAGCTAAAGAAAAGATGACCAAAATGATAAAACCTGATGTGACAAAAGTATATTCACAAAATTAAAATACCAGCATATAAGGGCAAAGATTTTAGAAGAGAAATAAATGACATCATAAGCAAAGTATATTAAAATCCCAACCTTCTTGGAGAAGATGTTGAAGAATGAGGTTCTGAAATACTGTTTCTTCTTTTTGTAATTGGCTGGCTGTGACTTCTTGCACTGTTTTCAGAGCACAAGTCAATTTGTTCTTTGCCAGAACGTCTGTCACCATCAGTTGTCTGCATATTTTTCAATTCTTTCTTTAACTGCTGACGTCGTTGATCAATTTGAAGCTGTTCAATCATTCTCCTCTGTTCTTTGAGTTGTTTCTGTTGTTCTTTCACTAACTTCTTTTGGGAGTCCAATTGCCTCTCAATTGTGCTAATTGCAAGAGAACCAACATTCGTCCCAGAAAAGCTAAGACAAAAATATACAAAATAACAGTCACAAAAATTATATTTAATTTAAAATTGACAGTAGAAATAACTTGAAAAAATCATTGAAACATTTTTAAAAATAGCTTTTATAATTTTAGGCTAAGTTTGAGAACAGACAATGACTAATTCAAACCACTTGTGCATTTGAATCAACCCACTGGTGAGCAAAACAAGAACTTGCCTGTGAGCCACTGTTCAGAACAATTAGCCATGAAGCAAGATGGTTTGGTCGCCAAGCAACCACCTACATTGACCAGCTATGTTATGACACATAATGTGACCCTAATGACTTGATGCAAGACCATGATGGTTGGTGTGATAGACTAATGATTGTCCAGGATAGCTCGACCAAATAAATATATATATACTCATAAGTTCCTGACACCTGAAAATCCTTTTCTTGCCTGACATTTTATGTACAACAAAATTTGATAAGACAATTTTGAAGTTAAAAACTAAAAAAAAATGATGACAATAAGTGAGTAGTGAGAATAGCAATAAAATTGGTGGAAAGCAATACAAAAAGCCAAAAATATTCTTCTTCTATGTGCCATGTTCCTTCAGGACACAGGCAATCATGACTCTCCACAATTTCCTGTCCTTTGTAGATCTTAATTTTGTCTTTTTGTTATCTCTCCTAAACCTTGTTTTGCCATACATTTACTCAAATTCACTAAGTAGGTCATGTATTGTTTTACTGTTTCTCTTGCTTTCAATCTGTCCTGTGAGTGTCAGATTTTCCAAGCTCTCTTTCCTCATTACAAGCCTAAAAATTTCAACTGATTCTTCCTGACATTAAACATAAGTTTCAGCTTTATTTCCATTTTCTCTAAAACTTTGTTGTTGCTCACATGTTCAGTCCATAGTATCCTCAGCATTCTTCTGTAGAACCACATTTCTGTTGCTTCAAGTCTTCATCTGTGAGGAGATTGTCCAGCATTCACTGCCATACTGGGTTTAAATAGGGATAGAGTAGCAACAGGTAGGAAAGTGGTTGCAGAGTGAAAAAAGTCATCACCCACAAGGCAATACAAATGATTTTGAACTCTTTCAAGGCTGGAATGTGAAGATTGAGTGGTACCAGCACAGATATGGCAACAATATTCTATTTTTGGTTTAATCTCACTCTTTTAAGTACCAAGCATGATAGGGAAAGTCAGAATACTTCCTGTAGTGATAGAATGAGCTAGCCATTTTTCAAGTATCATTGGCAATGAATTGAACTAGGGATCAGGAATGTTACTTGAGATCCAAGAGATGTTCAAAGCAAAGAACCTCTTTGAAAGTGGAACTGTTTATGGTGACTGGAGAAAAGTCAGTAACTGCTTATTGATGATGAAATAATGCAAGCTGTGTAAAAGTAATCAGTTTTCATCCAAACTACACAGGTAGATGTTGCCATCATTCAACAAATAAACCATTACATCCTGTAGGGATCTCCCTTTGGTGGAGATAAGTCACATGGGCCATGTGACGGCGCTTAGTGATGTCACTCCATATAGTGATGAAAGTGGCAGTTAATTTCATTTTTTTGTTTACAGCAGACAAACCTATAGATTGCCTTCTTTAGCCCGGACCCCTCATTGCCTGGGCAGAGGCTAAATCTAACTCCTCACCAGCTTGCAAGTACATCATGCCATTTCTTGGAACATAGTAGATGAATCCAGCCTGTTTGAATCTGAAGTACTAAACATGACTTCTCCAGACACAGGAGTATCTTCATATTATATGTAAGACCCTTCCTCCTTGTTTCTCCTCTGCTTTGCTGTGTAGATATATGTGATATATTATTCTCCACGCGGGACACATGTGTATATATAGTTTTATGTATGTCCTAGTAGTATAAAAGTCTCTTTGAAAACAAAGCATGTTTGTCATTCCTTTTCCTTTTATCCATTATGTTCCGTCCATGAAGTACGGTGCTATTATATCACGGATATAATAATACCCATAACAGGAGAAATGTAAATGGGAGAATAAATCTTTCTTCACTAGCTCTCTCCTGTTATAAATATTGATATATGAAATGAAGTGGCTAATCATGTCAGATGCAGTGTTTGTGCATGTATATATATATATATATATATATATATATATATATAGATGAATCTCTCTCTCTCTCGCTATATATATACTTACAAGAGTGAATGAAAGATTTGATGTTTAATAAATTCAACTTGTAAAATTCCAGATTACATAATTAGAATTTAAGAGAATACATCAACAATATTTTATCAAAAAGAACAATTGAATTTTACTCAATTCTATAAACATTATCAAAAAGCCTGCTTATTATAAAAGGTTTCTGTATCTTAGATTAAATTCTCTTGTAGAAATGTTAAACAATATGGATTTAACTAAATGAAAAATGCAAATTTATTTACCTTTTTTGACAGTTTTTATCATTTTTATTATCAGCACCAAGCATGGCGGCCATTTTGGATGGTTTCATGTACACTAAACTTCTTTTAATTTTCCAGTGTTCATTTGGCATTGAGCTTTGTTTCTTTCCATTCACAGTAACAAGCAATCTGGTTGAATCTTTTGTAGGTCTGTCAACTTTGCCATTATTTTCACTTCTCACTGTGTCCTAAGAAAAGAAACAAGAGTTTCATATAAAAAACAAAATAAATTAAAACATAAAATAGAAAAATAAGTTGTTTTTTTTATTTTTGAGAAGACATTTTCATTTCTGAGAATGAAAAGATAAAGTAACATATTTTTATTTATTATTATATAACTGAAAAATTATATCATTGATTCCCTGATCTCTGAATCCTATTATTACAGTTAATCACATTGTGCCGAAGGTATAATTCTATGATTATTTAAACTAGTATCCTCATCATTATTGTTTTTATCAAAATATTTTGGCTGATAGGTTTTCTCCAGGTGTATATTACATTTGATAGTTCTCGTGGATTAGTCAGTATAATTTACATTGGAGAAAACCTAGACTATATTAGCTGAAATATTATGCTAAAAACAAGGAAGATGAGGATAGTAGTTTAAATAATTTGAATAATAATAAAAAATATTGTTTGTTCTTTACACTGAAGATAGAAGAAAAAAGCCTGTTTTTAGCATATCATGCTTTTTCATTTTAAGAAAAGTAACTTGATGCAAAAACAGATTTGTGAAGTTTATGGAGAAGATACAATGAATGATTAAACATGTCTAAAGTAGTTTGCAAAGTTTTACTTTGAAGACAATCAAGTAGACTGGATGAAGTCAATAGCAATCAAATGAAGTCCTTATTTGAGAATAATCAATGTTATACAATGTGGGAGATCATCAACATACTGAACATATCCAAATCAAGTGTTAAAAATAATTTGTATGATATTGGTTATGTTAGTCACTTTGATGTGTGACTTTCACATAAGTAGAAAAACTATCGAACTGTATTTAAATGCTTAATTAAACTAATTGTGACAGACATAGATACTTTACAACTATGTGGAATGCAAGAGATTGTGAGGAAAGCAAATTCACTAACCATCACAACAGTTGATCATACATATATAGTGGGATTGGAAAGGGTTCAGTGTTCTTTCCAGAGAAGAAATAAGTGATTCAAACAAATACTGTTCTGAATTAGAGCAACTGAAAACAGCAACCAATGAAATGCATTTGCTAGAATTAGTTGATAGAAAAAGCATAAATATTTTATCAGGATAACTCTAGATTGCATATTTTGTTTGTCATCAAGCAAAAGTTATTACATTTTGGATGCAAAGTTTTCACTCAGCTGCCACATTTAGTAAATATTTGGATTGCCATTTAAACTGGTCTTTACAGAATTTTCTTAATGAAAAACCAAAACATTAAATTTCCTGAATAGAGAAGTCATATTTAGGATTCCAGATTTTATTGGCCAGATTTCTGTGCTATGTCTAATGGAGGACATATTCCACAAAGAGGAAATGGCAAGTCCTGGGTTTTTCCAAAATTGAGGACGGCAAGCCAGAGATATTTTTTATATCTGTTGAAGATATATTTCCATAGGAAAACAGCATCATCAGCTTGTAAGCTGCATCACGTGGCTGAGGGAGGAGTGGGGAGGCAGATTTAGCCTCAGCCTGGGGCTGAGCTAAAATGCAACTGCTTGGTTTGACCCCGGGAATCTGTCTGACTGTAATATTGACCACTTTTGTCACTTTATGAAGTAACATTAATAAGTAGCCGTCAGGTGACCCAGATGACTTCATCTCAACCAATAGAAGATGATCACCTTTTGCATCTCTACAGCAGCAAAATAAAAATTCACAGAAAACACTTCCATTTACTGTACTGAAAAATAAACCAACCAAACATCTATAAATAATGCCGAGCTTTTGAAAATCTATAACATACTATAAGTTTTAAATTATTTCTCATGTCTGTAGTAAACTTACCGGTGACTCTTCCTTTTTGTTAAGGGCTTGTTTATCTAATACCTTTTCAGTAGGGCTTCCAGAGGAAGGTAATGTCCTTGAGAAAGCAGCATCCAAAAGAGCTGCCATCCTTTTTTTCGTTGCTAATTGAGATTCTTCTAGTTGACGACGTTCCTTTTCTCCAAGCACATACAACTGCCATGTGAGGAAGTATTTTTGTAATAAGTGTCCAGTATAATGTAGACTGGCTTTTTTGTCCTTCCTGAAATCAAAAACATTCATGTCAAAATGATGATAGTAATTTTTAAAAAGTTTAGTATATAAAACTCTAAGTTTATGCATGTGTCCACTCAAAACTCTGAAAATTTTTATTAAATATAAAGTTGGTTGTGTATGTGTGTGTGCATGCAAACATTATGTAAATTTATAACACCAAATAAATGCAGTTTTATCATTTGTATCCTGTGGCAGGCGTACATTTTTGTGGTCCCAAAGCTTGAACAGATATGGTTCCCCCTTCTTAACCAGAAACAATAGATTTGAGGATCCAACTGAGAAAATGTGGGCTAAAGATTTGGGTATTGCAACCCCCTAAAAAAATTTTGTAATCTGACTAATTACAGGAGAATTTTGAGGCCATATGAAATGGGTATATTCCAAGGCCAACATTAGCTACTTCAATCCATTGGATTATGATTCTATCACTAAAATGACCTTATTTTAATAACAAACACTTAAAAAAAGAACATCAATTTTGTTTAAAAATTCATCCATTGCTTCAGGGGTCTCTCTGGGGTTAGGGGCTCTGAAGCTTAAGCCTTGTTAGTTTCATAGTAGATATGCCACTGTTTGTATCTACCAGCATGTGTCTTACAACTGGGCTAGTTCTAATGTCCATTCTCAGAAACTCTATGGGTAGGTGGCTTACTGCATTTCTCTTACTTTCTTACCCTCAAAATGTCCTATGATGGTTAAGTATTCCACACACTCCTTCTTCTTTATGTGTCCAAGAAATTTCAACTGTCTCTTTCTGATTCTGAGTATAAGTAGTTTTTTACTGGTATTTTCTTTAAGACTTCTCTGTTGCTTATTCACTCCATCCATGGAATTCTCAGTATCCTTCTGTAGAACCACATTTCTGTTGTCTCTCGTTTTCTCCTCACCTGTGGGGATATTGTCCAGCATTCACTAAGAAGATGGGCATTACATAAAAATCCAGCACATTTTTTTTTAATCTAATTAATTTTTTCTGCTTCTTAGTAATTTGCTTATCTCTTGGAATACATCTTTCACTAATCCAATGTGCATTCAGATTTCAGTGTCAATTTTCCGTATTGTTTAGTTATTCAAATAAGGTCATCTTATTTTCTACCCTGAAAGTTGATAATTTTTAATAGTATATACTGAAAATCTATTTTTTTATTTCTGAAATTTATATGTCTAAGGTTTGTTCATAAAAAAATAATAACCTACTTGATTTCTTTTTTTTAATAATGGAATTATTTGTTCATCTTCAAGAAAAAGTAAACTTTAAATCTTTAAAAATGGAAATGCTTTTTAAGCATAAGAAAAATGACTTGAACTGCTTTAATTATGAAAATTTCACTAATACCATTTTATGGCATAGGCAACTCTCTTAAACAAAGAAACAACTTCATAGTTCAAAAAAGCAAAATGGCCTAGCTTGGGCAATGCCAGGTGTCATTGCTAGAGCTAAATAAAGATGATTGATAACAAGAAAATAGTCTTAATACACATCAACTTCTATACAAGGTTGTCAGTTTATATTTTTGAAGAATGTTAATTATGTATAAATAAATATAAAAAGTATTATTTTCTTTTATTTGGTGGGGAGGAGGTAAATTTGTTCACTCTTAACATTTAGCACTTTGCATCATTTATAAATATTATTTCTCCTTTTACTGTACATGAAATCCCCTCAAAATATAGTGTTTTATATATTAGTTCTATATATTTAAAATTGCAGTAGCCTGGCTCTCAATTTCAATCAAGAATGTTTTAGGTGTTACTATAGAAGGATATGACTACACAACCAAGAAATTCAAATTCAACTTGCATTGGCAGAACTAACATTTTGCTTGGTGAAAATAGTCACCTACAGAGTACTAAAGGTTTTAACTAAATTAAAAATACTAATAGATGAATCCAAAAATTTGAATCAGACATGTGCCAAAATGAAAATTTTACATTTAGATTTTTAAAATTAGAATTGATAAAGTAAAAAAAAAAAATCAACAAAATTTACCAATAAATAAACGATTTATAAAGAACAAGACAGAACACATCATACTTATTAGGCATTTGCAAAAGTTCCCAGCACTCTCTTTTGAAAACTACAGACTTAATATGCAGTTAAGTGCTTCTTATCGGAAATTTATGCATACAGTTAATATATTAAATGGAAAACAAAATAATAAACTTTCTTTTTTTTTAATGTTAATTTATGATTACTTGGGTTTTCTATTAATTAAATTTCTTTATGTAGATATTTAACAATATTTTAAAATTGTGCTTTGACTGAGCAGGAATCTTCTGATTAAATCTCAATGAGAGGAAATGTTATGTTACTGGTTTTTCTCTGGCTCCCTTTTATAGTGTTTTTCATAAAGCAGTTTCAGCTGGCCATGTGAGAAATTGGAAAGGTGTTATTTTTCATCTCTTTTCACACGACAGGCCTGTGCCTGTTTGTAGCACTCAAAATGAACAAGAGTATGACTGAAATGAAATTGAACAAAAACACTCAGTGTCAATTAAAATATCCTAAAATGCATAAAATTAATTAATAAAAAATAAAACAACCATGTAGTAATATCTTATGTACAATAGAGGTCAATATTTTGACTTTGGAGCTCGCTAAATTAATGTTATTTTAAAAGCTATTTCAGCAGTACACATACCAATTATCATAGGAAGCTATGCTACTCAGAAACACATCCACCATCCTCACCCGCACACACCTTTGACCTTTCTAAAGTTATTATTCTTTCACTTTCAGGTGAAAGCAGATACAGTCATTCTTGCATATACTATAAAGGACATTACACTTAGAAAGAACAATTCAGATTCTAGACCAGCCTAAAGTCATTTCTAGTAAACTCCCTTCTATTATGTCTATATTTCTGAGATGAGGTATTATGTACAGTATTTACATTAGTCGGACTCATTAGTCCTCATCTTTGTCGCCATATTTGTCACAACGTTTCGGCCGTTGTACGCTCCGGCCTTCTTCAGGTGGTTGGAATTTCGAACTGAACCCTTTATTTCGATCGCTTATTTATATTTATTGTACAATATGGGAACCAGTAATAAGGAGTGCCAGAGAAAAGCAATGATAACAAAGTTGCAATATGAACTCTGGTAAAGACATGCAATGATAACAGCAAAAAATTGCAATATGAGCACTGGTAAAAATGATGCTGAAAAACATTAGGTTTATAATACTCAGAAGTTCATACCCAGATGTCCTCAAGGACATGGGCACAGTGGATAAAGGCGTTGGTTAGATCCAGTGACAGACCCAAAGAAGGTGAGTTCTGATTCCTGGTTAAGGCAGTGGAGAACTTTCAGAGGGAAAATTAGCAGGAGATAACTGATAACTGACATCCATCAAACATGGCACGTGGAATTAGAACAGTCTACCCCAGCGATCGAAATAAAGGGTTCAGTTCGAATTCCAACCACCTGAAGAAGGCCGGAGCGTACAACGGCCGAAACGTTGTGACAAATATGGCGACAAAGATGAGGACAATAGTCCGACTAATGTAAATACTGTCCCTTCTATTATATTTATATGATACACTCTGAAGAAAAGATTTATTCTTTTGAACATGCAATGCATAGTATTAAGAAAAATTCAATGAAACTTTTGTCCTGATGTATGTAAATCAACCTTTTCATCCGTGCTGTGTACTGAATATATATAAATCTCTTTATACTTGTTATTACGGAAGCATTGCCAATTTCCTGTTTTACAAACAATGAAACTTTACAAGTTTTTTGACTCATATTCATCCTTGCCACTACATGGAAGAAGGAGGGGGTGAAACTGAAACCATTAAAGATTGGGACTTCACCAACTTCTGCTACTGATTAGGTTTAGTTATATTTCACTCAGTACTTCTACACTGTCAGATTTTATTATGCAAAATCAATGTTTACACAATAAAATCAGTTTTGTGAATTTCTGGGATAAGTAATCATCATTATTTACATTATTTACAGTTAATGCCCTCATCTTTGTTGTTAATATCACAATATTTTGCCCAAATGCTTCTTGTTGTTCTTCAGATGTATGCCAATATTGGTAACTTTCAAGGAATAAAGGGTTCACTTCAAAATTCCCTGAAGTTTACCTAGGTCAGCAGACAACTGATGAAGCCTGGAGGACACAATGGTTGTGATCATAACAACAAAGATGAGAACAGAAGTCTGACTGTAAATGATGTCAATAAAATTGATATTAACCAATGCTGGTAAAATTTTCAGGAAATATTTATATAATAGCTGAATTTCAGTTTATAATATCTATTTTTATTAGAAATATTTACTATAAGTTATTTAGTAGTGCAAGGTTTTATTAAGCAACCCAAGAGTTGTTCATTATAAATAAATATATATAATAATATAGTTACTGATATTTATTTTCTAATTTCAGCTGCATAAAGATTGTCATAGGTCATACATAAAAAATAGAAAAAAATTATATTGCAATGTTATTAAACAGTGTGAAAATAATGTTAGAAATTACAAAATAGTTGAACAGAGATTCATATAACAATCAAAAAAGAAATTGAAAACATTGATAAGATAAGAAGAAGAAAAAAACTGGCTTTAAGAATTTCACAAAAACAGTGAGCTGACAAAAATGTAAAAGGGTAATAAGCAAGAAAAGTGGATTGGCCAGCAAGAAAACATTTTAAGAAGCTGTTGTTGAAAATGTAAATGGAGAGAAAAGATTCAGAATACTTAGAAGACTGACTAAAAACATAAAAGCAACCAAACTACCAATTTAAATTAACATCACAAAGAGTGAATAAGTATATAAAAAATGATTTCTCAAAAAGTAATTTTTAGTAATGAATTTAGAAAAGTAGATGGATTTGATGACTGGGGTAAAAATTGGATTCTCAATGGAAATAGTCAATCAAGAAGATAACAGTAGGGAAGTATTTATAATATTTTGGACTAATATTGTAGCTAGTAAAAAAGAGGGTAATGTTTAACCTTTGTGCCTACAAAAAAAATGATGTGTAAAAAGGACGGAGTCCCTTGACACTGTTATTACATTGTTTTTTTTTTTACTCCCTCAGCAATGTTTATTTACAAGATTATAAAAATATATGAATCAAGTATAATGCAATATTTATTATTTACCTTTTATAAAGAAACAAATGTGAAAAAACATCTCTTTATTCAAAAATTTATAAAAAATTACAAAATTATCAAAATATGTAAACAAATGCAACATGTAATGCAATATTTGTGGTAAAAATTATAGACATTCTGTAATTAAACACAAGGAAAACTGTCCATTTAATGAATAGGGAGATGCACCCTCAAAATATTCAGTGTTTTTGGTCTCACCTAAAATTAAAATAACGTTTGGTTCAGTGACAGAAACACTCTCAAACTATTTTACTGAATTTATGTGGTGAGTGAAAATAAAAGAAAAACCTGGATTATACATATTTTCAAAATTTATAATTACAATTACTCGCCTTAATATGTTTATTTAAATTTTGTTGTTCAAACATTTTTATAAATTTATGAATAAAAAAATTCATTTTCACATTTATTTCTTTGTAAAATGGTAAATACAAATATTTCATTATTGCTGGTTCACATATTTTTATAATCTTGTAAATATAAAATTATTCTTGTAAATAAGCAATCTAATACATAAATAGTGTTTAACATCTTTGTTGTTGATTCTCAAGAATAAAGAAAATGTATAGTTCTTGTAAGTTCTTGGACAAGATTTTTTTTCTGTGGTAGAAGTCACAACCAAGTGTTAAACTAAGGAGTATATTCTTGTAAGATGATGTTCCATGATATTCTGAAAAGTTGCCTATTGCTTACCTTACTAAAATAAAAAAAATTTTCAAAGACACCAAATTAACAGACTAGGCCTCAGCCTCTCTAGATGTTAATCTAATATAAAATTTATGGTCCATCATTAAAAGAAACATACGCAAGGATAGGAAACAATATTAAAGTAAAGATCTCTGGAAACAGCAAATAATGAAAGTGAACAAAATAAATAAGTGAAATACTGATGAAAGATTTAATACCAAGGAGTTCATATTAATGTGTAAACTAATAAATGAATAATTTATTCATGCATATTGGATATTGTGTTAATCTAATGTTTTTATGACATATATCTTACATTTTTATTTATAAATCCATATTGCACTTTGTTTATCTGCATCATGAAATCTGACCTCAAAACAAGCTATCAATAATTTATTAAGGATAACTGCTATAAGCTGAAACTCACATTGCTCATAGAAATATATTCTGAAATTTTAACGTTAGTTAATACCAATTTCATTGTGAAAATACTGACTTGTAAAATTTCACATAATGTATGTTGAAAATTTAAAAAATTAATTGTAAAATATTGTTTAGCTTTAAACCAGTCAGATGTTCACTCTGAAAATGCCTAAGGAATAATTTCTCTCAAAGTTTAACAGGAGATAAAATGATCTGCACTGTTTACCAGACAGACTTATAGTTAAGCAATCAATATTCTCTTGTTAAATCAATCATGTACTCACCTGGAAAGAGAATGAAAAAAATGAATACAGGAAAAAAATAATGGAAGAAAAATCATAAGTAATGATTTGTTAGGTTAGGAAAGATTCATAACACATAATCTTGTGGATTAGAAAAAGTTAAACAAAAAATATTTTCTTTTAAAATGGGGAATATTTTAATAAAATTACTAATATTTTGATTTATATATTATATCTTAATAAAATAAATGTCATATTATATATTTAGTGATGAAATAAGTAATATTTTGAAGTAAATGTGGACAACGGTGATCATAATGACTGCTTTAAGGTATATTAAATAACCGAAAATATTACTTATTTTATTAAAAATATTTCTCATATAAATGAAAATTGTTTATTATTTCTGAGTCTTTTTTCCTATTGACAAGCTGAAGTTATGACTTTTTTTTCTGAATTTTTTCCCTGTCTTTACAAATGTCATAACTTTTCTTACTATGATATTTTTCTAGTCACTAAAAACACACCTTTTCTGACTTCTTACATGGCCTTCTAGAACTGTTCCAGTAAAAAAAAAAAAACACTAAAAATAATCTCAATAAGTTTTAAGTCCTGTGATGAAAGATAAAAAAAAAGGTATCTTTTAAAAATGATACAGAAAATTTGAATTTGTTTTTGTTTCAACATTTCAACCAGTATATACACCAGACTTCTTCAGGTATAAATCACATCTATTAACATTCAGAAATAAAACAATACATGAAAAATTATCTATAAAAATTACTTTGTCAAAGGAATCTCTAAGAAGGATGATAGATATTACAAAACAAATTATGATATAGCATCATTCTATGTATGAAATAAAAACTTGTCTGAAAAAATTTGAAAGTTGCCAGATGAAATATACACCCGAAGAAAGCCAATGAGTATATAACATGAATTATAATCAAAACAAAGATGAGGAAATTAGTTTGAAAAGTCACTGAACATTAATATCATATCTTTGAATTTCAGGTAAAATTTTTAGTTAAAAAGAAACAAAGACTTTGTTTCTATGTATAAAAGCTTAAGTGCAAAGATATTTACTACTGAAACCACCTTTGGTTATCCTTAATGTCCTGCTGATGTTTTTGTAATTCTTTGTCAATTTGATGCTGTCTGGTTACAGACTTCCATTTGTTCCAACAACGTAGAAGTCGTTTCCAGTCTGCCAGGGCACAAGTTTTGTCAACCAGAAGTCGTTGTTGTAGCACGAAAGCATACCAAGCAGAAAAATGGCGGTGTAAAGTCTGTAAGTAGAAACACTAAGAAATAACTCAGTTTTAATTGGCATAAACAATACATTTACATATCAATTTGAAACTCTTGTTGTTAAAGTGACACATTATTCAATAACAAATATTCAAAAAAAAGATTGTATTGAGTGAGTTCAATGATTGTAATTAAATAAGTAATATTGAATTATTATCACCAACTTTGCTCTCCCTCTTTTGGCCTTGTGCCATATTTAGCTAAAAGTAGTTGATTGAAGAGATTGAAAAAACTTATTTTAGGTATAAATTAGTAAATTAACTTTTGGCAAAAATAAATAATGGGAAAAATTTTTTTTCGTAGACGTGATTGAAGGGAGATAACTCTCTTGGTATCTTTAAAAAAAAAAGTCCAACTCAAGAGATTACAAAACATTTTACAATGGCAACATATTTATTAAAAATAAAATCTTTTGTTGCACATTCCTTATAGCCAAGTCAAATGTATTATTTAAAACTTATATTAAAGAAATAATTCAATAGAAAATTTAATTAATGACTAAAGAACTGGTAATTAATTACACGAAAGAGTTATGGTACATCAATTTGAAAAGATCTGGTTGAACCAAATTAACTTCCATATTAAAATTTTAAAGAACTAAAAATCGAATTTATAAAATAAAAAACTCCTCATGTTCTTAGTTTTGAATGAAATATGGACAATAAAACAATTACTGTGTTCAGCCTTTCATTAGATGTGAATATGCAATAGAAAGCAACTTAAAGGACAAGTCCCAGATCACTTTAAATGTATACTCAACAACTGTAACATTAAAATATTTATATCTTAAATCAATCTTTTTAAGAATGAAACAGTAAGAGATAGATCAAGTATCCACCATCATAAAGACTGAAAAATAAAATTGACAAAGATTATTGTTTAAGGTTGACGGACACGCATGTCTTAATTAGTTTTTTTTTTTACGGGTTGGTCAAACCCAAACTCAAACAAAACATTATTTTTCAATCGTTATGAGTCTCTACCGATTGAATAGAATTTATTTTAAACAATTGTCTTGTAAATGGAATTTTTAAAGCATTCTGAATGTAAAAAAATAAAGAAAAAAAAGTGTGCAAGACAATAAGAAACACTACATGCCAAAAAAAAGTGAAGTTTTGTTGAAATCAGTTGAAAAATAGGTAGCCTTTCTGTAATCTTTTAGTTTTACAATTTATGATTTTTACTTATTGAATACAGTAATAAAATTGCATATTTTGCTTGTTGTGATTCATAATTAGAATTCTGATTTGAATATATTTTTCCACTCGTTGTTTCTAATACAAAAAATATTAACTTTATTTGGGTTTATTAATTATGATCTAACAAATCTTATTCATTTAGTAGCCTTTCTGTAATAATAATCTTTTATAATTTATGATTTTTACTTATTGAATACAGTAAAAAATTGGACACCATGTGTATTTAAAGTAGTTCTCGTTCCAGTTATTATTTTTAGTTAGGAATTGTGTATGTTTAGATTTCATTATCTTTCCCTAAAGACAAAGAATTTATCCAATGTTTGTATTCATACAATCAGTAGAGATCGTTAGATTATTGTTTAAGGTTGACGGACACGCATGTCTTAATTAGTTTTTTTTTATTTTTTTATTTTTTTTTTTTTACGAATTGGTCAAACCCAAACTCAAACAAAAACATTGTTTTCAATCGTTATGAGTCTACCGATTGAATAGAATTTTATTATAAATAATTGTCTTGTAAATGGAACTTTTTTAAAGCATTCTGAATGATAAAATAAAAGAAAAAGTGTGCAAGAGAATAAGAAAACACTACAAAAAAAAAAAAAAAAAAAAAAAAAAAAAAAAATGAAGTTTTGTTTTATTGGCTGAAAAATATAGGAAATCCGCTCCCATATTTAAAGGAACCCACACACACAAACAACCCAATGTGAATTGTCCCCCTTCCATTTTCACGATGTCTCTTAATCGTGTTTTCAAATTGATTTTGTGCAAAACAATTATATTTTTCCCATTTTTGGCACTGTTAGAACCACTACAAGGTAATTTTATGTAGTCCAGTGAAGTTTTGTTGAAATCGGTTGAAAAATGTAGGAAATCCGATCCAATATATAAACGTTACAGACACACACACACACAATCTGCGTTTTATAATAAATAAGATTCCTTCCTAGATGTTATCATTTTTAAACTGCTCCATAGCTAATAATTCTCTTTTATCTCTCATAAAATATACATGTATTTTTTTTGTTCTTACGGCAATCAACTATAAAAATACAAGTTAAATATATATACACCCTTATGACTAATAAACTGGTAAGTTTAACATACATATCTGCAAAACCATGATGTGTCAAAAGGGTGGTTTTTCTCTTGACTTCTCTATTACTGCATATTCCATTGGCAAGTTTTACTGTATAGAATTTTAATAAAACCCAAACATATGAAACTGGATTTATACAGTTTTTTTTTCCTCAAGAACTGACAAAAAGTAGAAAAAACTATTTTATTAGCTTGCTTAATTACAAGAATAATTTTATTTATTACAAGTTTCTAAAAATATGTGAGCCAACTACAATGCAATATTTATCATTTACCATATTATAAAGAAATAACCAAAAAAATATATTTTTTTTATTCATAAATTTATAGAAATGTCTGTGAACAAGAAAATATAAATAAATATATAACTACAAGTAACTATAGTTATGAATTTTGAAAAAATGCATTTTTTAGGCATTTCCTTCATTTGCTTTCACAAATTCATGTAAGAATTGAAAATGAAAATTTTAAATACCATTTATTTATTAGATTGTTTGTTTACAAAAATAATGTCTAATACTTTTGTTTTCAATTCTTGGGGAAAATGAGAATGTATAAATCCAGTGTCATATTTTTGGGTTTTATTAAAATTCTAAAAATAGTTTTTAAAACTACAAATACCTCTGAGGGGTAATACGTACATTAATAACAGTGTCAAGAGAAATAAACATCCTTCTGACATACCCATTTTTTTTTTGCATGCACATATATTGAACATTGTTAACTATCCCTGATCAATCTTAAGAATCGGAATTTAGATCAGGAGAAAAAAAAAATCCAATAAGCTGAAAACTAATCAAATTAACTAAATAGCACATGGGTTAAAGTCTTTCAAAAGTCTTTAATAATTTGGATCCTAACCTGTAATTCTAAAGTTTTCTGTCGAATTTTCAACATCTCCATTTTGGCTGCCTCGTGCTGTTGATGCACTTGTTTACTGGCCTCAAATGTTTCTTTAATTTCTGTCCATTCCTTGTGGCAAATCTCTGGTTCTGATGACTCAGATAATTTCTCAGCAAGTTTCTGCTCTCTAAGGAAGAAAATATTTACTTAGTTAAAAATAATGGATAAAAACATAAAAAATAAATTATTTTATTTTTATTTCTAAATTTTTATTTTTTAAAAATTTCTATGAAGTTTATTATTATCTGTACTTCATTAAATTTCTATAATATTGATAAATTGTTTTTAAAATTGTTAAATTTCAGTGTGATAATATTTTACTTTTTTGTATTAGGTTTATGCAAAAATTCTCAGCATTTCTTGACAAAATCCTTTATTTATATGAACTCATAACATTATTATGCAATAATCAATATATCTCTCCTATATTTCAGGTAAATTGTACATTCTATCATAAAATGATTTTGGTTTTGATTCAGTGAATTCTTCAAGGAATGTTATGACTGTTTGTCACTGAATGATGTTTCTTCCAATGTGTCATACAAACAAATTGATCAATTCACTTCTGATTTTCTGCAAGTTCACATGTTGTTTGTGTTGCTACTACTTTCACAGGTCCCTTTAGTGCTTCAGTTTACAAATTCTAAAATCTTTCTTAAACTCAACCATTCATTTTTTCACATTTTGAAAATCATTCCCTAAATGTATTTGCACCTGCTAATCTGAGGATCACTTTATAGTTTTGAAACTTGAAATCACAGTGAAGTTTTGTGAATATGACATTTTAGAATTGGAATCCTGGTCTATTCTAAGTCAGTTTTCTAATTAGTAATTCTTACTTTAAATTGTTGTGTTGAGCACTTTGTTTCTCATTAAGGGAACATCTTTAATAGCTTTTCAATCTTCTTTTCTCTCTGGCAACTTAGATCCAGTTTCTTTTGTTTTTTGCTTTTGTTATTTTCAAGGTTTCATTAATTCTATATATATATATATATATATATATATATATATATGAAAATTTGAATAGCATAACATACATATGCACAGGTATCTATGTAGATTAAATAAGGTATATTTATGCAGCAAGTATTCATCCAAACAAGTTTTATTAACCATTAACACTATTTACATTGTTAGGACACATGGCCTAGAGGATAAAAGCATTGACTGAAGTAATCCAGTGACTTAACTAAAAGAGTTGTGAGGTCAATACCTATCCACTTGGAGAGTTAAGTTACTAAAGGGAGATAACTGAAACTGAGATATCCAGAAATGTGGGACCAGCGAATGAAATAAAGGGTTCGGTTCAAAATTCCAACGTATATCACCTGAAGGAGAACATTTGAAACATTGTGAATATGACAATAAAGATGAGGACAATAGTCCAAACAGTGTAAATAGTTACAATACCTCATCTGAGAAATATAGACAGATAATGAAGTTTTATAATGTATTCATTCAAACAAGTTTTATTAAATTCAATCAACAAAGTCTGTGTGGTAATAAAATCAGCACATTCCATTTCCCCTCACACTTGTCCCCATTCATCACAATAAAAATAAATATTTTTCAGTACTTAAGCTGAATTAGTCAAATAAAGCTTCATAAGCCTGTACTTAAAGTTGTTACTATGTTTACTGTCTGACTGTTTGTTTAATCTTTAATAAAAAAAAAAACATAAAGAGATCTTGTTTGCTGTATTTAATAAAACTTGTTTGAATATATTCAGATACATATGCATGCAAACTGTTGTTTTGTCTGGTTAAGTTTGTGGCCATTTTTCAACCAGCAATAGATAAATACATGTTTAAGTAACAAGTAAATTAATTAAAAGATAGAATCTAAGAAAAAAGACAGAAATTAAGAAAAAAAATAAAATGCAAACTTTTTTCGTTGTGCTTCTGCTCTCTTTTTCTCCTCTGTCATCTGTTTTCGAATTAGTGCCATTTGTTTTTGGATCTCATATTCTTCCTGACGTCTTTTGACTTCCTTCAATTTCTCCTCCTAAATAAAAACTTTTTTTTAAATCAATATAGCAAAAAAAGCAAGATATGTTAATGCATATGTACAAGAGGATTATAATGTCAGTGCATTGTATAACAATGCTCAATTATTACCCTATATAATGCATTAATGATCAGCCATGTGACCACCAATTTAGCAAATAACTTACATAATACCCATGCGGTCTTAAACTTATTTTGCTGGCAAATTTGGATAATTTAAATTAATCCAGCATTAAAATTTTTCAAGTTGTAGAAAAATATACAATTTTTAAATCATTCGAATAAATTCTGCATAAAGCATACACAATAAAACTAATTTATATTGTTTTATTAGAAACATATTCTGAAATGAATAAAACTTTAAACATTGGTCTTAAAATTATTTTTACCAGTGTATCTTTAATAATACATGTGTTATTATATATATATAGGAGTGTGTTGAAACAAAATGGCTATTTTTGTAGTGATTTTATAACATACTTATGTTATAATTTTTTAAAAAATATATATATATATATATATATATATATATATATATATATGGATATATCTATCTATGACAAAGTAGAAAATTAATTTTTGTGTGATGTGTTTCATCCTTTAAGGCTTCCTCAGAGGAAATGCATCATATGAAAAAAATTCCCACTTTGTCAGATTTTCTTAAAATTGTTCTGATATATAAAACGTTATATATTTTTTCCCCATATACATATATATATATATATATATTTACAAATAATAACTTAAATCTATTATTACTCATAAAAACATGTAAATTACTTACATTTAATGCATTTAAATGCAAGCAGATTTTTTTTGTAAAGAAAATGTTCAATATCAAAAAACAACAATTGACATGATAGAGAAAAATTTAAAAAATAACTTCTTAAAACCAACTTCAAAGTTTCTGATATGCTACACATCAAGGACACACCCACACACATTAGGTCCAAAATTTGAATCAACCCCCAATTTTAAAAACATAATTAACATTGTATTCTGATATATGTTGCTACCAATTGAAACATGCACTCTGTTCAGGTTTTTATGCACAAATTTAAAGGGGAAAAATTCATCTTATGACTCAGACTTTGAAGGTTTTGAAAATATTTACATTGATTCTTCTTCTATGTGCCTTGTCCCTGCAGGACGTGGGCGATCATGGCCCTTCACAACTTTCTGTCCTTTGTAGCTCTTAGTAAATTTTGTCTTTTCACTATTTGTGCTAATTCCTGTTCTGCCAACCATTTGTAGAAGCTTGTTAGGTAGGTTAGGCACTGCTTTTCTCTGTTTCTTTTGTCTTCAATGTCCTATAAGTATCGAATTCTCCAAACCCTTTTCCTCATTATGTGGCCTTGAAACTGTCAGTTTCTTATGTTAAGTATAAGTATCATTTTTGCTTCCATTTTAAAACTTTGTCATTGCTCAAATGTTCAGTCTATAGTATTCTCAGCATCCTGCTGTATAATCACATTTCGTTGTCTCAAGTCAATTTTTCATTTGAGAAGAGACTTTTCAACTTTCACTGCCATATAGGAAGACCGATATTACATAACAGTTCAGTACTCTTTTGTTTCTAACAAAATTTTCCTATTGCTATATTTTAAGACATAGTTATTGTTAAAATCTTATGTCCAGTTCTTTATACTTGTTTATATTTTTCTCCCTTGAAATATATTTTGTGAAGTACTTTTAACTTAAGCAAAGATTTTAACACAAAAGTTCTAAGTGGATCATCTGTGGATAAATCAAACTACAGTCACTGGTTTACAGATTGTGAAGTCCTCAATATTGACAATTATACAGTAAAGCTACTAAGACAGAAGAGTAACTGGGTGTGGAAACTGTTGTAACCAGGAATTAAACACTGTTTCAACTATTATTCAGACACAGAAGTACTGTGTCAGCCATATTATTTGTGTGAATAAAAGAGCTGGAGTATTGCTTCAGTGAACAGAAGGCACCAAGCTGAAATTGCATTGTCATTGTTACTACAGGTCCCCTTACCAAGTTGCAACATTTTTTGGTAACAAGAGATTTTTTCACACAAATATGTCAAAACTGACATTTAGAAGAATTCTGCATCGAATCTGGAAATATTTCATTGTACGTGAACTGCTTGGAACAGTTTTTCTTTGCATATGACATAGTCCACAGCCAGCAAACAGAGATAAAGTGTAGAGCTATCTTACTCAGCACCATAGGTGAAAAGATGGACAGAGTCTTGGAAGAGTTATGTGCACCACAGAAGCTGAGTGATAGAACTTTTGAGCAAATTAAGCATTTGTTGCTAGAACATTTCAAGCCCAACTACCTCATCATTGCGGAAAGTAACCGGTTTTATAAAGCTGAAGAGGAGGGTGAGACTTTCAAATTTCTTTGTTTGGCTTAATCATTTATTGTGGATGTGTGAATTTGGAATATTTTTAGAAAGAGAATTATAGGACAAATTTGTGTGTGGATTAAATAATGAGAGCATTCAAAAAAGACTGTTATCTGAGGATATGTCACTTGGAAATGCTTTTAAAGTGGCTCACACCATGGGATTGGCAGCTACTGACACGATAAATAATAATAGAAGTATGAATGACATACACAAAATGTCTATGGCAAGTCAGAGTTCTACGGAATTTCAAAAGAGAAAAAAAACATTTGCTTTGGATGCAGACGAGAATGGTACAAAAAGTGTATACAGTGTCCAGCATGGGACAAAATTTGTTTTAGTTGTCAAAACAAACATCACTTTTCAAGACTGCAAAAACACACAACAGGCAAAGCAATCTCAATACATGCAAGAAAAAAAACACACCAGATATATTATATAGGATTAATTGCAATGCACCTGAACCTTATAGGTGTAAATTAAAGTTAAATGGGATCAGTTGTGAAATGGAAATCAACACCAGGCGTTCATCTTCTCTGTTAAATGAGGAGCAATTCAAGAACTACCTAATGCAATGTTGTCTAAAAAGAGTTTAATACAAAAATTGTGTATGTATTCTGGGCAATTTATTGAGCCTAGAGAAGTTGCCAATGTGATTGGGAAACACCAGAGAACAAATAATTTAAGAGTGCTGATTGTAACTGGATCAGGACCCAATCTTCTTGGAGGGAATTGGTTGAAAAGATTACCAATTAATCTACCAGCTACCTGTAGCCAAATTACATGGACTGAATTGGAGTGAGAATTTTCTGAGTTTTCAAATCAGGCCTGAACACTTTGAAAGGCGAAACAGAAAAGCTGCATGTCAAAATTAACAGCACCCCTCATTTCATGAAAGCGCAACCAATACCATTAACACTCCAAGTAAAGGTTGAGACTGAACTGGATCGCATGGCTACTACTGCTGTTATCAAACCAGTTACTTTTTCTCAATGGGCCTCCCCCATCATTCCAGTGTAAAAGAAAAATGGTCAAATTAGGATTTGTGGCAATTTTAAACAAACAGTAAACTCTGCCTTACAGATAGACAAGTATCCTATTCCAAATATAGATGACTTGTATTCCAAAGTCTTGGGAGGACATTGTTTTATGAGAATGGATTTGAGTGGCGCACATATGCAGATTCTATTGGAGAAAGAGTCACAAGAATTAACTACTATAAACACTCATAAAGGTCTTTTCAGGTACACCAGATTGTGTTTTGGAATTGCCTCTCCACAAGGAATTTTTCAATGCACTATTGACCAGTTAATTCAAGGTATACCTGTGACTGCTGCTTATATCAATAACATTTTAATCTCGGGCAAAAATATGGCAGAACATAACCAAAGTCTGTGTTTAACATTAAAAAGAGTATGAGATGTGGGCTTCCATCTTAGAAGTGAGAAATGTGAGTTCAGGAAGTCATCAATAGTTTATCTGGGTCACAAGTTGATTCCAAAGGAATTCACCCAACCCAAGATAAGATTAATGCTATTCAAAGAGCACCTACACCAAAAAATATATCTGAACTGTGCAGTTATTTAGCTTTTTAATTATTACCACTGGTATTTAAGTACTGTTCTAGCTTCACTGTATGCATTATTATGAAAAGGAGCACCCTGGAAATGGGGAATAGCCAAAAAATCTGCATTTGAACAATAGAAAAATTTATTAATTCCAGCTGATGTTTTAGTTCCTTACAACCCTAAATTTAAACTTATAATGACTGTGGATGCATCCCCAGTCAGTATCAGGGCAGTTTTATCACATATTATGAGCAGATGGATGGGAAAAATCAATTTACTTTGCCTCAAGAATACTATCAAAAGTAGAACAGAATTATGCACAGATAGAATGTGAAGGACTAAGAGTAATTTTTTGAGTGAGTAAATTCCATAAATACATTTATGGCCGGGAAGTTACAATCATTACTGATCATAAGCCTTTGCTTGGGTTTCTAAAAGAGGACCATGCAATATTACACACAGTAACTGCTAGAGTACAGATTTGGGCATTGGTACTATCAAACTACCACTACCATCTTGTATACAAATCCTGTTCAAAGATTCCCAATAAAGACAGACTGTGGAAGACTATTTTATACTGCTACATTGTTTGGAGGAACTGGTACTCTCTATGACAGATTTAGATTCAACTCCTGTCATGGTGAAAACTGTTGCTTTGCATACATCCAGGGATCGCATGTTATCTCAAGTGTGTAAGTATATCATACAGATATGGCCGTACAATAAATCTCAGGATTTTCAACTGTACACAAACAGGAAGGAAGAGTTATCAGCACAACTGGGTTGTGCTTTATGGGGATCAGGAGTAATTATTCCTGCAAAGTATCGAGATAACAAATTACATGAAGGTCAACTGGGTATTTCACAGTTGAAGACCCTTGCATGTTGTCATATCTGACAGCCTAATTTGGATTCTGACATTGAACAATCAGTAAGAAGTTGTGTTATGTACCAGGATAAGTCTAATATGCCCCAGACACACTCGTTACATTCCTGGGAATGGCCAGGCGAGGTACAGTTTTGAGTGCATATAGATTATGCAGGCCTGATAATTCTTGCAATAGTGGATTCTCATATTAAATATATAGATGCACATGCCATTTCATCATTATCAACAGTAGTAACAGAATGGATGTTGCGACACACATTTTCCACACATGGAAGCCCTCATGTGATTGTGTCCAACAATGCCTGTAAGCATATTCAATATTTGCCATACCACCCATCATCAAGTGGACTAGCTGAATATGCCATACAAACCATCAAGAGTGGGTTAAAAAAGATTCCTGGTGATCTGGAAACTCGACAACTATGTGTCTTGGCTCGCTACTGTTTTTTTCAACAAACAACTGGTCAGTCACCAGCCATGTTGTTAATGAGTCGACAGCCCAGCTCTCGGTTGACCTGATTTATCCCAACTTATCCACCAAAGTCACCAATAAAATGGACAACACTAAAATGTCAATGGATAGGAAGTGACAGGAAAACAGATTCTATTTGGGAGATGCTGTTAATGCTATGAGCTTTCAAGAAAAACCAAAATAGATGTCTGAAATTCTAAAGAAGCAACTTGGCCCACTGACTTTTCTAGTATGACTGGAGGATGAGCGTGTATAGAAAAGACATGTGGATCATATATCCCGAAAGAATTAACCAACCCAGAAGAACTCAGAGACGTACTGACGGAGGAAAATCAGCAACCCAGAACACCCATCAGAACATGTTTTCAGAATTGCAAGGAAGCAGAGAGATGTAAGGCTGAAAGTGAACCCATGAAACCGCACACAGGCATAAAACTAGATACCACAGGAAAACGATGCAGTGCCCAACTCTTAGCGAGGGAACTTGCTGAAAAGGAATCACTAGATGATAGAATTACAGATGACTCAGATATGGAAGATGATGATGACGATACTATGAAAGGAAGTGAAACAATTCTTGCCCCTGATAACTTTTCTCCTTCACAGAGTTCTTTGGAAATGCCCATGGACATTACTATCTAAGTAATGGTTCATGAAAAATATTGTTTAATTAAATTTTGACTAATTGGGGAGGGATGTTGTAACCAGGAATTAAGGTAGGTACCTCCACGAAATCGCTAAAAAAAGAGCATAGCTTGATGAAAAAGACGCCAACCTTGCCGAAAACAAAATTTTATTGTCTAAATGCTTATGTTATTATTAAGAGGAAAGACCAAAGTTTTTTTTAATTATTTTTAAAAAATTTTCCTTCTTTTTAGAAAATTCTAAATTTTGATTAAAAAAACCTTGTTTCTATTTGTATCAGCGGAACTAGTAAATAATATAGACAATTTTAGCACGTTTTTTTTTGGTATGACACACATTAATTTGAAAAATCGTGCAAAAAATAGAAATAATTATCGGATGTTAATGAAACTTTCAGGAACTATTCACAGATGATCGAAATTATTATAAATATTTTTTTTTTTTATGAAAGTCATGGTAGAAATATTTTTTTAAATATTTATTACCCCCCATAACTAATTTTATGAAAACGCTAGAAATTTGATCGCATCGGTTTTAGTGATTACAATAATTAAAAGCACAGGGCTTTGAGGAATGCAAATCATGTTTTTTTTGTTTTAATTGGATACCCAGTACCTGAAAATCAGCTCTGAATTGTAACATACAAAACTCAATAAAACAAATATATTATTTAATTTCAAATGCTTTTATTTGCTTTTAGTTGTTTTTATGAATATGGACAATATTTTCTGAAAGCAAAAAACATTTTTTGATGAAAAATGATTTTTAATACAATTATTTGTTATTTCATTAATTATAATAGATTTTACATTTAAGTTGTTAAAATATTATAAAATTAGTTAAAAAGCCAAGACAGGCTTTCATAAGTGTCCTTATGAGATAGATCTTTTTTTTAGCGTTGTAAATTGTATCATTTTGACTAATCAGAAGATCCCCAGTAATTAAGAAATGTAATTTTGTGCTTATAATCGAGCTGTAATTATAAAATACGGAAGACCAACCAGAATATAATTGTTGTGTTATTTGAGTTAAGCATTGTTCTCTGCTGTTAAGGCCTTTACTTTTGCGAAACACGTGTGGAGAAGTTAATTTGATTTTTCAATTTCAACTGAGAAGGTTACCTACAAGTATCAGTATCATCTTATGAAATTTATATGATCTTATTTTTATATTAATCTCAGTTACGACATTTTTCCATAAATGAAATATCAAAATTAATAATAAAATGAATGCAAATACAAATAACAGTAGAATGTAATAAATGTACATAAAATTATAGTATTTTATGTACAATTCTGATAAAATTTCATAAGAAAGGTACCTATAAATTAATTAGATACCTTTCTTAAGAAATATGAAATTTAATGTCACTCTTAACAGTTTTATTTTAATTTCTTTAGAATATATTTCCCATAAAGCATCATAAACGTAAAGGTGAAAGCTAAGTACAAAAAAAAAAAAAAAAAAAATTAGACCGCTGAAAGTTTTCGTTAAAAATAACGGGGTAAATAATTTGTTCACGTAAATGTAAATTATTTCACTTTTCTCCATCAAGTAGAACAAATTAGCCTCATGGAATTCGTAAATATATCATTCATCACATGTCAAGAGACGCGAAAGTTTATGACCTGCTTTGTTTTATTTTCAAATTATATCTTTTTGGCACAAAAGCTAAGTTAAGTTTGGTTCAAAAATATTTTAAATAAACATTATAATTTCTGATTTTCTTAAAATAAGTTTTGAAAAAATGATAATTGATATTTAAAAAATTTCAAAGTCAGATTTCCAGTTTTTTTTAAAATGGAAAAAAAAATGGTCAATTTTGCTGACTCAAAAAAAACTAGATTTTTAACGAAAATTTCGGACGTGCTAGGAACGATTAAAAATGGAAAAAAACCCCAAAATACTTTGACCTTTCCTCTTAATGAATAACAAACATTTAGACGATAAAATTTTGTTTTCGTCAAGTTTAAAGCGTCTTTTTTCATCATGCTATGCTCTTTTTTTAGCGATCTTGTGGAGGTACCTAAATTAAGGAAATGAAAGCACCATTTCAGCTATTGTTCAGACACAGCAGTACCATGTCAGCCATATTTTTTATATGTGAATAAAAGAGCTTGAGTGTCGCTTTGGTGAACAGAAGGAACCAAGTTGAAACTGTGTTTTCGTCATTACTACAGACTCCCTTCCTTACCAAGTTGCAACAGAAACATTAATAATAAGAGGAAAGAGTAATCAGGAAGACAGTAGATAGCGATTAACATTGCATTTAAATTTTTGCAGATTAAAGTTGGCTGGAAAGCATGGAGCCAGAAAGCAGTTCTACAAGTGAGAAGTGTGAAAAAAGAAACTACTAACATAGAATTTACAGCTACGTCTAGCCAGCTTAAGTGCAAATTGATGAGTCTAGTACTGCTAGTTGCATATGTGTGTGTGTATCAATAGAGAGATGACCATTACATTTGATACATATATGCACACACATACACGCATTACATTCTTCCTAAAACTAGATCTTCTGATTCATGCTACACTAATTTCTACCACTGGCTGGATGTGAACACCCTGAAACCTAAGACTGAACTAAAAATTCCATCAACTATACATAGGCTCTGCACATAGCATCTGTTTTTACTCACACACTAAAAAAAAAAACAATCCAGAATTTCCACCCACTCCCGCCTAAATAAACAAAATAAAAATTGGAGCTGATCTGAGTCTAAGAAAAGGACATAAAAGCCTATCCAAATGACATCTTCAGCAGTCAGACCGCACAACAGCCTGGATTCACAATGCTCGTCGGAATGCAATCTCTCATCTCCAAAAGGCTGTTGCCACAGTAAGTTGCAACTCACCCTCCCTTTCCTACTGTACACCTCTGCAGACAACTTTTACAATTCCACTTATCTCTTTCTTTCAATGAGAGACATTTACACCAATTTACCATTTGTTGTATTTTTAAGTTAATACAATTGTTTATTTCTTAAACCTTCATTGTTTCTTCTTTGTTCTGCCACCATACACTTAATATAACATACACAAAGAAAACAATCAACAATTCAAATAATAGTGGCATCCTAATTAGTGCATAAATTATTTATGTCAAACTTAGTATAAAAATAAGGAAAAATGAGAAAATTTGCAGTTAATCGCTGAAACCACCTGATGACTGGACTGAACAATTATGAAAAAGTTTGTTTACAAAACCCTGGAGTTGAGTTGCTGCATATAACATCTATCAGCTAAGTAACAAATTTTATTTTTATTAATCCTACACACTGATATATAAAGTTATACTATCTCTTACCTCCATAATCTTTTGATGAGCTTTGAGTCGTGCTTCTTTTTTCAACTGCATTTCCTGGTGTCTTTTTTCCATTTCTTTTTCTCTTTTCATTCGATTCTCTCTCACCTACAACATTAAAAAATATCAACTTTTTTAGGTTCATATCCAACAAAAGTCCCACTTGATTTTTATTAATCACTTTCATCTTCCTATAATACTCTTCTAAATAGCATTTCCCTCTCATTTTTCTAGGCTTCTTCTGCTTACTTTCTATATATTTCTAGTATTTGCCATGATCCAACATATGTAATCATTAGAATGAAGGAATGTTTTAATGTAATTTTTTAATAAATTCTAACCGGTAATATGAGAGATTAAATAAACATCTAATGTACAATACTTTTTCATTATGTGACTAAAGAAACAGTTAACTATTAGTAGCTTTTTGACTAGTATGCTTTGTATTCTTTTAATCTTAATTTTAGTTGCTTTTTATCATAACTAATCAGATTGTCAGTCTACAGCCATGAATAAAAACTTTAGATTGAAAATAAAGAATAAGGTTATGGCAAGATGTGCAACTTGTATAACTTTTTCTGAAAATTAAAAGGAAAGAAATAAAAGTCAAAAATTAATAACAGTTGACAATGATTCATTCTAATAAAAAATAAATGAAGATACTATTATAACTGTCTATATTTCTGAAATATTGTAATTATTTACACTATTTACATTGTTCGGACTGTTGACCCCATCTTTGTTGTTGTGGTAGGCTCCAGCCTTCTTCAGGTGATTGGAATTCACCGGACAATGTCTCAACTTCAACTCCCACCAACCATACAGTGTAAAGAAAGTGATCGTCCACTGCTTACAACATCGAGTAAGTGGTGACTCAGAGACATATGAACAAGAATTGGTCAGTATAAGCAATAACTTACAACGTAACAACTATACTGAGTACATGACAGCAGCTCCCACAAACTGGGATAGAAGGGTGCAAGAGGATAACAACATCCGGAGACCACCCTCAGTCTGCTTACCTTATGTGAAGGGATTATCAGAAAAAATGCAAAAGATATGTGGTCCATATAACATCAGAGAGTGGTTCAACACTTTGCAGACACCTCTTCGGAGTAAGACCACCCCATAGAGGAGAACATGATTAAAGACTGTGTGTACACCATCCCAAGCAGCTGTGGTAAGAAATATAAAGGAGAAACAGGCTGCCCCCTTAAGATAAGACTGCAGAAACATTGTAAAGCCATAACACAAGGAGAAATAGAAAAATCAGGCATTGCTGACCACATATGGTGAGAAAAGGGAGATTACCACCCCCTGTGGGATGAGGTCAAAATAATAGACAGAGAACATCATTGGAAAATATAAAAGCTTAAGGAATCAGTGCATATCTAGTCCAGAAAAATCTCCTAAGCTATCCAAGAAAGAAATGAATATAATATGGGAACCAGTAATATGGAGTGATAGAGAAAAGCAAAATAAATGGGAGAAATAAAGGATTCAGTTCAAAATTCCAATCACATGAAACATTGTGAATATGGCAACAAAAATGAGGACAACAGTCTGAACAATGAAAAGAGTGGAAATAATATTAGTGTATATCAAATAACTATAAGAAATAAGGTACTGAGTGACCATAAAAAATAAAGCATAATTCTACAGGGTCTTTTGATTTGATCTTCTGCCAGCCATAGGTTTTTGTAGCTAATATGGATAATCTGGCTTTCTAATAAGATGAGATGAGAAATTACATGAGATGCAAAGATCTTATTCTTGTGATTCATGCTGTTTACTCATGGTTATTGATTGATGTTCTGAAGTGTTGTAATGGAAAGGAAATAAACACTAGTCAAAAATTAACAACGACTGACAATGCTTCATCTAATAAATCAAGAAAATGCTGTTTTCCCAAAGGGATAATTCTTATATGTTAATATTTTTAATTGTACCAATTATCTATCTATTAATAATTTGTATTAAACAATTTCAGAAACATTCAGTTCAATGAAAATAAAGCAAGATTCTAATACAAAAACAACAAACCTGTTTACGCCTGAGTTCCATTTTGACTCTGGGATCAATTTGCTTTTTTGACATATCAAGTCCCAATTCACTGCGTACTTTCACAGGAACAACGTTTTTCTGCAACATTTTTTGCAATACAGCATCTACTGCTGCATCTTCATCAAAATCCAGAGAGAGGGAAAGTTCTGAAATAAAATTGATTCAATTAGTCTAGCAACATTAAAAATGATGAAAAATATGCATTATTGGTTTTCTCTTGAGAAAGTAATGTTTATGCATGTTACTTGCTGTTTATGCAACCTGTGATATCATGGGTAGGGTTTATTAAATAAATACATCAAAACTTTTCTTCAGTCATATGTACTGACACAGTGAATTTTGACAGTAGAGAAAAAAAATTAAACAATAATCATGGTTTAATTTGTATCCAAGAAAAGAAGACAAAGTTTCAGCTTTTGTTACCGGCCATTGACTTTACTATTACTCCATTACATCCCTCTGTTTAATTCTAGTCATTTTTTGAATTAACAATGTCAATATTTCTGATGTCAAAGGAAAATATTGATGATTAAACACAGAAATTTGTAAAATTTTCCTGTTTCTAAATACTTTTCTTAGATTTTGGAAGGCATCTTTTACTATTCCAATGCACCCTTGGATTTTGATGTCCCATTTTCTGTCCTCTGTTAAAACGCTTTCCAGATTCTTAAGTTTTCATACTTGCTTTAATAAAATTCATCTCCTCATCCATGAAAGTATAGGAATTAAATCCTATATATATTTTTCAGCCAATAAAATTTCATCAGAAGGTTTGTTGGATAAACAAGGGCAAATACTTGCGAATGTAGTTGCAGACCTACGACAAGTTATTTTTGGACCATTTAGAAAATAACAATAATAACTCTTTTCACCACTCCCGCAAAATTCGAGAAAAAGATTTTCATAAGCCAGTGTGAAATTATTTTCTAACCAATGAAAACCTTGTATTCAAAAAGTTCACAACTCTATGGGAAATTAGATTTTGAATCCCCTTACGGATACAAAAATACAAGCATACTGCTTCTTAGTGCTCACAACAAATTGGGAGGCCAGTTTGATCTACACATGCATACACAAACATGCACCCATACAACAGAAGAGACCACAGCCAGCAGTTACTGACTAAGGCCTTGTCCACACACACTATAGAAGAGATTAACCAGCAACTACCTGCTAAGCCTTTGTCTATGAACTCACAAACACATTAGACTAACCGTCATAAAGTAAGTCTGTTCACACATTTCACACTGTACTAAGAAGACTTAAGTACTTTATAAAACAAACTTCACTGCAAGGAAAATTGAAAATTTTATTGTTATTGTATATTTCTGAAAAGAATCTATAAATTTTATTTCAACTGACCTTCTGCTACTACTTTTCCTTCAGAAAATAACCTTTTTTATGTCTCATTTAAATGCTGTGTTGTTATTGTTCCTGTTAAATGTTTGGAATTCCGACACTCAGATAACAACTAAAACCTGGGTAGATGGATGCCAACAAAAGTAATCAAATTTCTGTTTGTCATAGTATTCATTTGTTACCATAACATAGTAAAAATGTCACACCACACCAAGCACAATATTAGCACAATACTATTAAAATACACTAAATTGAAGAATAAAATAATTTCCAGCTCAATTAGTATCTGATTTTTGTATTATTGATTGTGCATTTGTTACAAAAGCAAAAATATATCAACATTTAAAACAAAAAAGAAATAGAAGTGTTAATTACTGCATAAAATAGTATCTGTAAAATAACAATAACTATTTTATATAAAAAAATTTATTAGATATTTTTATATAGACACTGATTAGACCATTCACCCTACTCATCACACTTTGACCTCACTCATCTACAGCAAAAGGTTACAACCAAATAAAATTTGCCTACTGCTACAATCTTGTCTCATGGTTTTATTTTGTGGGTAATAATTTGAATGAAGAGTTATTTTTCAATCCACAAGTGTTTGGCTAGAAGAAGCTGAACTTTGAGAATGAACCTGGTGTCTGGTCTGGGATGCAATGCTACAAAATTCTTGCAATTAATGCAGCCCACCACCCCTGGGGAAAAAATGCCTGGGCACATTCAATGCCTTAAAAGCCAAAATAGTTACATTCCATCATCAGTGTTCAGACACTTAACTACCACCAATCATGATGAACAGATGTCCCCTTGAGCTGCTATTGGGACTTAGACTCAACCCAGACCTCAAGTGGAGTTCATACATACAATCCATCACTAAAGATGCAGGAAAAATGGTCAGTTCCCTGTACATTCAAGTAAGCACCCAACTTCTCCTGATATCCTCTAAACTTTACAAGAGCTACATCAGGCCAAAAATGGAGTAATGTTGCCATAGATGGGCAGGAGTTGCCCAGTCTTCATTTTCCAGTCTTGATAGTGTCTCAATGTCTTTGTGGGTGATGAATTATTTTCCAACCTACAACCTATTTATCATAGACAAAACATTTCAAGGCTCCTGCTGTTCTATTGCTATTTCCACGTAAAGTTTCAGATAAACTACATTCCTTAATTCCACCAGTTCTAACATTCATGGCTAAGACCCGCCATGCTACACACATTGTAGCAAACCACCCTCTTTCCCTTCATATTCTATTGGTGAGATGTAAGTTCCACTCAAGCAGCTTCTTCCCATTAATGGCTGCTTCGGAGAACAGATTCCCAAGAGGATGCGTCCCTGATCACTACAATATTAATCTATTCAAGTCTTGGATTAATTATTTTCCCCACATATATGCATAAACAGTGCCTCTTATTCTGTAACCCTCTACCTCGAGTGGCTCTCGGGTATTGTGCAGCATGAACATCAATGTAAAAACGAACAAATATCTAAATTCCAGAAATAGGGAATGAAAGTCATCTTTAGCAGCCTTGAAGCAAGTAATGTCAAATTTATGTATAAAATACAACAAACGAGCACATTCTGCAAAAAAAAAAAAAAATCAACTTTTCAATTGCTTGTTTTTTTTAACTAATGTTCACCCAATACAAGACCCAAGGGCCACTCAAGCTAGAGGATCACTGCATGCAGTTGTATTAGTGTAAGAAAGGACAAGTGTTAGGATTATATAGTTGAAGTAGACTTTAGAAAGAACCAGAAACTGGTCCTAAACAGGAAACAAGGAATAAACCTCTACACCTGTTCAAAACACTGAAGAGGAGTGTGAACTTGACGATAGGTGAACCTCTCTACTCCCATTTAGTATGTCCCCTAAAAACCAGACCTATATCTGGCAGGTTTGAATATGTGAGAAAATAAAATTCACTAAGTAAGAAGAGGATGTTATAAAATCTAATAAAGAAAGAAAAATAAAATGGATGAGTCATTTTAATCCATTTTATGATGATGCTACGTAATACTTCAGCTGATGTTATATTTTAAAATGTTTATCTTTAGCAGAAGCAACTTTAAATTAAAAAATTATACTTTTTAAAATTCTCAACATTTTCAATTCATAGATCCAAAATATTAACTTGGCTCACTCAAACTGAGAATATATAATCCCCTGATTCAAACAGATAATGAACAGATTTCTGGAGATGAAGAAGGGTTAATATTTACCTGGAGAATGACTGGGGTTTTTCCCTTTATTTGCTTGGTCGAGAAACTCATCCAAATCGTTATTCAATACATTTGGTTCATATAATTTATTTTGTACCCACTCATTGAGTAAATCTTCAGCTAGAAAAATAAAATAGGAAATGAACATAAAAATAAGAATGTAAAAAAAAATGTCCAACTTACTAAGATAATTTCAATTAAAATCTCTCCAAACATTTACCACCCATCATACAAAAGAAATAGAAACTGATGATATTGAACCAATTGACGGGTCTGCTGCTAAAAAGTTTGGTCCATCCTAGGTATGATGATAAACTACATCTGGTAGCAATGCCTCTGATTGGGAGATTTTGAGGAGCATGGAACCACCTCTTAATCACTGTTGTTCCCAGGTTCACTCTAATTGGCGTGGTAGCACCTGTTAGGGTCACAGCTATAGGCAAATAGTTAGCCCCCAAACTGGGGTCAAAACACTATGAAAGTATAAAAATGCATTTTTGTCGTAGAAGTGCCAGCAATGCATTTTCATAGTAAAAGAATTACCAGCAATATATTAAAAAAGAAAACTATTACTAGCAATACATTTTTAAATAAAAAAAAAACGATAGTAGCGTCAATACATTTTTGCAAAAGAAAAATTACAAGCAATACATTTTTGAAGAAAAAAAATTACTAGCAATACATTTTTGAAGAAAATAAATTACTAGCAATAAATTTTTGTAAAAGAAATCACTAATGCTCTCAAGAAAATTAAATTTCAGCATTAAATGATCCATAAGCTGTTGATATGCTGTTAAATAAACAAATAAAACGGTTAGTTCACTGTGTTGTGCCATTTAATTTTTCTCGTCAGAATCCATCTATCATTTGTTCATGGACTGAATATTGTTGCCATATCTGATCAGGTGTTCTTGCTATATATCTCAAGATTCTCAACAAAAACCAAAGAAGGGTCTATAATGTTATCAATCCTGATTTGGCAACTTGACTTCACTTACTTTCCCACTGCTGTGATGTGGCTTCCATCTTTTCTACAAATATTACTATGGCAGTTGTTCTGATGAGCTCTCCTCCTTGATACTTCAACCATATAAATTTAAGCATACTACTAGATTGACTACTCGGTCTCATCATTCTACAGCTGAAATTGCTAAATATAACCTTAAGTTCTATCCTAATAGTTTCTTTTCTTGCACTTCTCTCCTCTGGAACTCCCTTCTGGTTTCTTGCTTCCTTGCCACTGACAATCTTCAAAAATTTAAATGCAACTTCAATCGACATCATTTGTCTTCCTAAATCTTGCTCTTTTATTATCCTTTCTCCTCACTAAAGTCTTCTCATTCTCTTTCATGCTCAGTTACCTCTTGCATCTTAGTGGCATTAACACCTTTCTTGAGGTGAAATGATTAAAAAAAATATCAGAAAGAATTGATGAATACAACGAAGGGTAAAGATATCAATACTACAGATTAATTAAACTCTGCTAGAATTATGAAAAGCAATTCATGATCTGTTTTCAGTATCACAAATATTCACCTTCTTGTTGGGCTTCATCATGATGCCGTAGCTGGTCAAGTGTCATCTGAGCTAATGATATTCGGCTGTATTTTTGTGGAGAAGGCAAATGCATTCCTGGAGACATCACTTGCCCAAGTGTGCCATCATCAAACACTGATTTTTCTACATTCTGTTAAAAAAAAAAAATCATCATTTCACTTTCATTAGAACAACCAAGCAAAAAAGTTGTAAATTCTCTGGAATAACATATCAGAAAATAGTTTTGGAATATCATGATTTGTTTTTCACAGAATATTAATATTTAATGATTTTTCAAGAATTTTTTTTTTGTTTTTAGAATAGGATGCAATTTCTTATACTCTACTTAACTTGAGGCTGGAATAAAATCAAAATTTCTGAGTAGGGTAAAACATCAAAGAATAACCTATCTATATAACATACTGCATATATTTATAGATTTTTGTCTGTAAATATAAAAACCTGTAATAAAACAAACAAATATAGAAAATAACAAGTGAATCTGGTTCTGATTTAAATGTCAGGCCTGGGAGTAACCAGACAAGTAATATAACCACCATGCCAGTATTTTTCTGCTTGAGCATCATGGTAAATTTAACATACAAATATTAAGTTAGACAGAGTGCACAGATACTATCCTGATCCTAAGTAGAAAATCAGGGAATGACACCTATCAAGTAGATCACATACGTTTCTACCACCTCCTTCTACTTCATCATTTCACCACACAAACAAGCTATTTACAAGATCATATTTCCTTCACTAGAATGTGGAAGCCAAACCAGAAACTAACAATAACTACAAAAATCTAACTGACCTCCAAAGTAACTGAAGAAATCAAAGTTAACCTTTGTTATATTAAGCATTTGGTAGTGAGAGAAAGGAATAACGAGGATTAGATTTGAACAATATTTAGTGTTGGTATGTTGTACAGAGATGCTAAAGGATGGGTGAATGTTCGTTTCAGTGGCCGGTTGTCAGGATGGTGATCGAGTAGAAGGGTAGTGCCAGGAGTTGATCTAATTCTTATGCGAGTTTGGTGTAAGGTCACAGAGTATAGTCAGTGCATGCTGGGTGATTGAGGTCAAAGTGGTAAGCCATTTTTGTTGGTTGGTAGGCCTGTTCTATGGAACAAGGGAGATGTCAGATTGACACGGTTGGTAGGCTTGTTTGTTAAACAGGGCCACAGTAGTGACTGTGAAGGGAATGCCTTGTGAATGAGTCAAGTAGGCAAAAGTGACTGTGGTTGTTTGCATGCTTGCAGGGTCTGAGTTGCTTCCTTGTGGAGTCAGAGTCACTGTGTGTGGAGTCAGAGTTGCTGCATGCAGAGTCAGAGTTGCTTGGTTGCAGAGTCAGGGTTGCTTGGTTGCAGAGTCAGGGTCACTTGGTTGCAGAGTCGAGGTTGCTTGGTTGCGATAGTAGCTTGGTTGTGGAGTCAGTAGGCCTGTTCTGTGTCACAGTGATGGCTGCAAGGGAATGCCTTGTACATGTTGGTTATGCCAAGGTGATGGCGGTGGGTTGCCAAGGTGTTTGTGAGCATTAAGAGACGAGAGAAGTCATGAATCTGACTTTGCTGATGCAGAAGACATGAGCATTAAGAGTTGTGAGACAAGGTATTGTCATGCTGAAGTTGGACAGCCAAGGTAGTCAGTCAAGCTTTGGAGCGACAACAGTTGGTGAGGAGTGGTCACATTGAGAGGTAGTGGTAATGGTGATGGCAGCAACAGCAGAAGAGTCGTTATATTAAGCATATGATGGCAGAACAAATAGGAAATAGCAGAGGTTTAAAGAAATAAACAATTGTATTAATGTAAGATACAACGAATGATAAATCTGTATAAATATTTCTTGTCAAAAGATAGAGGTAAGAGGAGTTGTAATAGTTGTCTGTGGAGGCATATGATAGGAGAGGAAGGATGAGTTGTGATTTATTGTGGCAACGGCCTTTGGCAAGTTGTCTTTTGGAGATGGGAGGTCACTTTTTGGCTAGTGTTTGAACACTGGTTGAGATGCTGTCCAACTGCCAAATGTCCCTTTGATGTTTGTTTTAACAAATTTTAATTTATACAGATTTTTGAAGATTTTCATTACAAAAACTACAAACTAACTCTAATGTTCTCTCATTTACTTTTTATAAATTCAGGTTATATAAAGTTCTTGCTTATAGAATTTGTTCCCATGGTTTTTTTTTCTATTCCAGATCTTCATTGAATATTTTATATTTCATGTTTACCAAGCCTAGCTTAATATAGCACAAAACAAAATTGGAGTTAAAAGATTGTGATGCATCAATTTTTCAAGTTGAGAGGGATTGCCTGCTTTAAAGTAACATTTGAAATCCTAACCACATTATATATTTTGCAAGTAAAATACTCTTCATTGGTGGTTTGGTACTGTTGTTTTAAGATCTTGAATATAATTTATTTATCAGGAAATATGCAACTCTCCCAGCCATGAAGCACACCATATGACATAATTTGCATCAAGATATCCACCATAGCAGTTTGCTATTATTGCTTTAATATTTTTATGTAATTTTCACAATACACATTTAGTCAAGCAATTCATTCAAACTCTTCAAAACTTATGAGGGCAATTATTTGACTCCCCCTCATGGGCAAATTGTACAAAAGGTTACGTTTAAAGCAGAACTCCAATATTAATACATAGGTGTCAATAAAAATTTTGAAGTGCCTTGCTTTTTCTTATGTCTCAAGTATCAGGTATTGATCCTGCTACTACTCCTCTTTCCCTATAAAATGATCCATGGCATGCATCTCAAATAGCCTCTGACAACTCCAGCTCCAAGTCAGAGAAGGGGTGAAGGAGGCCCCTTGTGCCTACATAACCAACTGCTTCAGGAAGGCAGTCTGTCTAGAGGAATGAAAACCTTACAGCCATATACAAATACAGAAAAAGCTATGAAAGTAAATCCAGACAGAAAATCCAGTGGAGCCCCAAAGCTTTCAGCTAAAGCATAACTGTCAGCCATAACATTTAAATGCAAAAGAAAAATTCAGTAATGAATAGCTACACAGTTTTGCCTTACCAGTTACAATCCTGATGATCTAAGAAAGAGATGCAAAGTACTTGGGTAATAAAAGTGATTTTCACTATTACAGTGCATTTCTTTCCTCATTTAATTGTAATATACGGAAAAATATTTGTGATATGAAAAGATTATGATCAAAATAAGAAGACATAACATTTGTAACTTATTCAATCAGTCACATATATATATATATATATATATATATATATATATATATATATATATATATACATACATTGTATATACGCATGTATAAGCTGACTTCATGTATAGTGTGACCCCTGAATTTTTTTGCATGAATTTTAACCTCTCTAGAAAAAAAATTACTTGTGTATAGTGCAAGTGGCCACTGAAAATGCACAAATTTTACCTCTCAAAAAAAAAAAAAAAATTATGTCTGTATAGTGTAACCTATTTTTTGCATAAAAAACTTGTACTATATTTGCATATATATATATATATATATACATATATATATATATATATATATATATTTAGATAGATAGATAGATGAGTTATCTTAATAAATTTGATGTTTTGCTATTTATTTAGTTTCATCAGAAATTTTGAAAGTGGAATGAATTGCAGTTATATTTCAGTTTTTAAATTGTATGTTTTGTTTTTATTTTGTGTAAAGGTCTCATACATTTTGATGTTGGTATGATATCTGTATCAATTTTTAATTTCTGTTTGATTTGTTTTTATTAATTGTATGAAAGTTAATTTTTGCTATGTTAGTGTAGTTTAAGTAGGTATTCAAAATTGAGTATAATATAATAATTGTTTGTTTTGTTTTTTTACAGCTTATCAATCTTTTAAAAGTTTTTCTAATATTCTTCTTTTATTGTAAGAAGTTTTCATAGATAATAATGGTTTGGTGATACAAGTCCTACTAATTAACACATAGCTGTTGTGAGAAGAGGTGAAACTTATACCTTTCCCAAGAGTATTTGCACATAAGTGAATATAACAAACCCAACTGGAATTGGAACTCTGCTTCCTGATTTCCAATTCTGAGCCATTATCCATTATACTACCTGCACATCATAGCTTATAGCACTTAATATTCCCAAGTTGTCACCCTAGGTACTGACCAGGTTCAACATTGCTTAACTTTGGTAATTGTATGAGAACTGGTGTTTCAATGTGATATGGCCATAATCAGGAAAATGTTGAAAGTGAAATAATAATGTGATATATAAGGTTATATTGTCTGTAAATGTGTGGCTCATACATTCTTTAAGTATGTGTTTTATGAATATAGATGATCATCTATAAGAAATCTTTCTAGCAGGTAATTATTGTATGTTGCTTATTTACTAATATATGTTCTATGTATTTTCTCTGGAACAGGTTGTGTTCATTTTTTGAAACGGTAGCATTTTTAAACTCAACATTAATGTGACATCTATATAATAAATAAAAACAAAACAACATAGAATTTAAAAACTAACATAAAACTGAATAATTCCACTCACAAAATTTCTGATGAAGCTAAATAAATAGAGAAACATGTCAAATTTATAAAGATTTCCTACTTGTTCCTTATTCAATCATATATAATTTCATCCTTACCTCAATCCACTCCTGAATGCTGCTTTTGGGAATTTGATGCTGAAAATATAAACAAATAAAAAAAAAAGAATTCTCTTTTATCCCTTCTTACAAAATGAACATTTTTTTTTTATTGCGTAGTTGTATCATAGCTTCCAAATTGGTAATGAAATGAATTACAGAGTGCGATGGATAAGTTGTCATCTAAATTATGCAAAAAAGTAAATAATACTGACATCTCATTTTAAAAGATATATTTACTAAAATTACACAAAAATATCTTGAAATACTAAAGAGTAAATTTATTCAAGAAAAATTGCCATTGGCTTCAACCACAGCCTACAGATGACTTCAGAATCTCCTACAACTCTTCTGGACAGTCTCCTTGTTTAAGTTAGTGAATGCTGCTATAATCCTTGCCTTCAGTTCATCTTTGGTGTTATAAGGAGTAGTTTTGTTAGTCTCTCACTCAACTGCGCTCCACACATAATAATCAAGGGAGTTAGGTGGCCAGATGTAAGAGGTGATGTAGTCACAGAAATTGTCTGACAGTCATGACTGGGTTCTCCTGCTTGTGTGGCATGGTGCAGGGTCTTGTTGCTAGACATAGGGTCTTCCAGCAGCCACCCTCTTGACCCAAGGCAGCACTACCTCCTCAAGGTGCTTGATGTAGGCCTCCATGTTCAATCTGAGATGAATGTAGGCATAATGGTGCCATCACTAGTGATCACTCCAAACACCCTTGTAATCAACATTAGGCTCATCCAACTCTTTCTGAATAGTCTGCACTGTCCTCAGATTGACACCCATTCTAAAAAGTTTGTATTTGTATTTCTGGCAATAATGCCAAGCAATACAGCATGCCGTTTCCAAATTTCTAGCAGAGAGAATTGTGTCATGGTGATCTTTTTCTCACAGACAGTGCCCAACTGACCCTACTATAATGTGCAGATGACAAAATAAAAAACAAACAACTGACATGCACAAATTTAAAAATATAAAATTGCGACAATTTACCCATCGCACCTGGTATATTGCATTTTTTTATTGTTTTAATTATAATTCAAAATTTTTCAAATCCATAAGGTGATTAGTTCAACTTTTTATTTTACTTTTTGTTGCAAAATGTGAGCTCCAGATGTGAAACTAAGTAAAGTTTACTAATTCTAACTTTTATTGGGGACAAAAATTGAATTTACATATATATATATATATATATATATATATATATACACAGTGTAACCCGAATATAAGAGAACCAGATATAGGAGACTTCTTCTCCGGTCCCGACAACTCTCTTATATCCGGGTTACACTGTATGTATATATATATATATATATATATATATTTACATGGGGTGGATGTTTGAGGTACTGAATTTAATTACATTAAGTCAGTCTATGAGAGAGTATGGTGATTGTGTGCCCCACTACACCATTTCTTAAATTGACTTGTCAAAATTTAATGCAATTCACACACACATATCAGAAATAAACAAAATATTAGCATAAGACAAATTTTATAACAGTTACTGATCCTAACAAATACCTTAGGTGTATCATTTATTACAAAAATTTCTCACTATTTATATAAGCTGGTCAATGGTGTATTATGGGTAGTAAGGTCTATTTTATTATCCTAATGGTTACTGAGTGGGTGGTAATGGCTATGTTTCATATTATTCTAGAGGCTACCGAAGAGAAATAATTGTTGATCCAAATGCAGTTACTTGTAGCTATTTTAGTTTTGTTTGTTAACTTTTTACCCATTATTTATTATTGATTACTTAATTATTTGTTGATTATTACATTAACTTATTTATGTGCATATTTACAGTTTGTTAATTTGTTTATTATTTATGCAATTTGTTTATTTTTAGATTTTTTTTGTTCATTTTTTTAATGAGGTGATAATCTATTTTTATTTTACTCAATTTTGAAAGAAAAAAGTCAGGCATTATAATTTTTGAAAGTTAAAAACTCACTACAAGTACACATAAATAACAAAATAAAATTTGGTCAAAATTGACCAAAAGCATAAATCTTTACATAAATAAAGTACTTGTACACTTTAGTGGCCTCTTCTGGTAACAGAGTTTGGAAAAAATACTGTTTATAAACAAGGAGTGTTTATTTATATAACATTTCTTCTTTTTTTAAGAAATGATTCGTTAATCCATTTTTAGCATCCCAATACCACTTTCTAATTAATGTTGAATTTTGAACAAATCTGTGCAAAAAATGGATCAAGAGCTTACCCAGCTTCTAATTGGTTGGCCAATAAACACACAAATGGGCATTGCAATCCACCCACGTACAAATATTTTTCCAACACATGACCAAGTCAAGTTTTCCCGGGTGCCTGTCACGTGGTTACATTATAAATAGCAGACAGAAGCTTGTTTAAACCTTAAAGGATTCCCGTCTTGACCATGTTAGATCAGACGTCCATGAAAACATTCACGCATGCACGTACGTACGAAATTTTCCAACCTACATTACAAACATACAGAACATTTCCAAACAAGCAACAAGAACTTTTCTCTTTGATATACTCTTCTAAAGCTCAAAGTTTACTCAGCATTTCTCAGCTTTATAATTCATTCAAATTTCAATTTCATCAGTAAAAAGAACTTTAAATCAGTCAAAGGGACATAACACCAACAAAATAGTAACCTCTACGCAGGTACATCATTACACAAAAAATAAATATAAATCTTGTTGTTTTCAGTGATGTTCTTTATAGATTATCCTTCTATTTAAGTTTATTTGGAAAAATATCCAAGAACTTTATACTTATTTTGGATAAAAACCAGGAAAATGAAGTAAACTATCACCTGTTTTTACCTTTATTTGATTACAGAATGTTCACTAATGTGTGTGTATAGGTAGGAATCTCCAACAATTCGCTAAAAAATCAGTACAGCACGATGATAACAGGTCCGAAACTTAATAAAAACAAAGTTTCATCATTAAAATGTTTGTTTTTCTTAAGAGGAAAGAAAAAAGTATTTTTTAATTTAAAAAATACTTTTTTTTTAAATTTTTTCTTTTCTTTCTAACACGTTTTAAATTTAGGTCAAAAATCTCGTTTTACTTTTCTTTTTTCTTTTTGTTAAAAAAACCATTTTTGTTCCTTCTTGTAAGGTTGTTTCATATTTTGTGGTATTTTGCGTTAAATATAAATCGTGAAGTTATGTTTCTCAGACATCTACAAAAAATGGTCATACAACAATAACATACTTTAACACATTCATTTCTCTAAGAGTTGAAGGAATTTCGATGTGTTTCGTCTATACACGCTTTCAGTTCTTGATTCATAGACCAAAACTTTTGATAAAAACAAAACAAAAAAGAAACAGAAGTTTAGTTACTGGGAACCGAAACTCAAAGCAGCACCTCCTCATTGCACTAAAAGACAGCTAGAAAGCAATAATAATTATTTGAAACTCAATTGAGTGGATTCCTACTCCCCAAGAAAAGACATTGTGTCACATTTTGTCCTCAGGGAGGCAAATAGATCATACTTCACGAAGATTATTATTGGTGATCTTTTTCGTTTCAGAATTCAATGATGAATGGACAAAAAAAAACAAACAAACGGAAAACAATTCATCTGGGTTCAGTCTGGCTGAAGTTTCGTTTTTTGTTTTACAAACAATTGATGACTAATAACAATTGATGAATGTGTATACAAAGACAACCCCAAAGTGTACAAGTATAAATTACAACATTTTTTTATTAAATGAAATAAGAAAAAACAAGGAATTTACCCGAGAGCGGCTATATACCCGCCTTCTGTCTCGCTTTTTTTCACAATCATATAATTTATTACTGTTATTGTGGCTATTACTCCAATGAAAGGATCTTCTCTGAAAGCTCGATGTCGGATACAAGTCAAAAGATTCCATGACAAAAAGCTTCTATACTTGATCACTGGGTTTTTTGTTAATATTTATAGCACGATATTCCTATTTTCACTCATCCAGATGGACGAGCCATTTTTATGCAATGTGCGTTCATTTGTTATGTTGTCATAACAACCACGGAATAAAGAGTTACTTTCCTTGTTCACATTTTAAAATATTTTTAAATCTTTAAGGGTTCAATTAAAGAAAAAAATGTATATGCAAAACAAAGTGAGAGACGAAATCTAAGATTTTATACCAAAAATCATTTAATTACAGGATTTCAATAAAATTTTCGGTACTTATTAACGAATTTATTTATGAAACAAAAAAAAAAAGGTTACTTTGTAAATATTTGTTTGTAGAAGTAAAAAGTCAATCAGCTTCGTTTTGAAGTTTAATAAAATTTGAAAACTAAGTAAAAAAAAATATATATATATATATTTATCAAGTCTCTGGAGAAATTGAAATAAAATCAATTGAAATTTTATTCAAAACTTGATTAACACTTAAATCGTAAAATACGGACAGTAAGAAAATTATTTCTTAAAAAAAAAAAAAAAAACAACAATGAAAAAATATCTGCTGAAAAATTATTTCTTTTCAAAAATAAATTTAATTTAATCAATAATTTTCAAATACTTTGATAGTGGCATTTCTAAAAAGATGTTTCAAAGTGTAAAGTAAACCAATAAAAAATCCAATGTACCAGATAATTTTAGTTACAAAAAACAAAAAAAAAAAAAAAAGTTTTATTTTTGAGTAAAGTAACTTTAATCATGTAATAAGACAGTATGAAATAAAATTCTCACCCTCAGCTGTGAGAATAAAAAAAAAACATCTTATAGTCTTTTTCACTCGTTCTCCTTTTTGTAGAAGAAATGATCACTTAATGAATTAAAACAAGTTTTAGTTTAAAATTTAAAAACTTTACTGACCTTATCTTTTACAGCTTTACTCTATAAATTAGTATGTTAATTAATATAATTATTCTTTATTTTTTTTTACCATATTTTTTTTAATCCTAAGTGTTAGCAGTTAATAAAACATTTCTCTTTAGTTTTATGAGGCGGTAAGGAAAATTTAGGCGAGCTCAAGGTGATTCAACCATCACTTTTAAATTTAAACGATTAAATTATGTATTTTACTTCGAATAAAATGTTTTCAGAGCGATTTTATTTTAGGAAGATTTTTTTTTTAAAACCAACGTTTTTTTATTTTTTCTGTTTTAACCAGACCTATCGATTATGGCGTACAGAGTAATTTGCTGAAAGAAAAGAAAATGCAAAACTTTTTCTTTTATTTTTTTAGTTATAAACAAGACAAGTATAATTCGTTCCAGATAGGTTCAAGTTAACAATCCTCCCAGGTCTTTTGAACAGGAGTAGGTTTTTTTTATACCTTGTTTCCTGAGAGAAGTATTGTTTTTTTTTTTAGGGTTTCTTAAATTCTTCATCTCCGAACTCCAAAGGTCTGTGTCTGAACTCGGAAATTTTATTCACTCTCTATTCAATTTTTTTTTCCCTCTCCTCCACCAATAGTAGATAGGTTCGTCCGGTTCACGCTGCTCTCCAATCTTTTGAACAGGAGTAGCGGTTTATCCCTTGTTTTCTGTTTAGGATTGAATTTCCGGTTCTTTCTAACTAAATTTTTTTAAAATTTTAATTTAATAATTCTTGTAAAAATTCATTATACATTGAAAAAATCTTTCTTAAGACAATAGTGTCCTTAATAAATCTTATTTATAAAAGCTTTTCTAATTAAATTATATCATAGTTTTATTGCATTTTTATCTTCAGATTTATTGTTTTACAGAAATAAAATAAAAAATGATGATTTACAATTTCCAGAGTGGCCTGCTTTTAAATAATAATAAATCCCTGCACTAAAAATGTAATTTCTAGTAATTTCATGAAATTAAGTAAGTGTGTGGGTGGTAATACATGTTTTTTTTTAAAGTTTTGTTATTGGAAAAGGAGTGGCTGGTTTGTAGGAGTTATCTTCTCCTTAGTGGAGGTGAGGTAAATCTCTTTTTCTTCATTTCAGCGACAAGATGTAAGCTCTTAGAAGATCAGCGTTTCCCATTTCTGGAAAACGCTATGAACATTACAAACATTCAGAAAAGAACACACACAATGTTATGTCTATGTGCCTTGTAATTTGTTTAATACATATTTGTTGAGATATATATATATATATATATATATATATATATATATATATATATATGTCGTTTGTTTTCTTTCATCTTCTGTTGGACAAATTAAGTCTGCCAATTTTCATGTAGTTGGATCTTTTAATATTCTACCAGGAGTTACACATGTGTTTCTAATACAACAACACGTAAATACACACACGGTCCTCTACAGGTTAAACTTGTGTAAATGTACTGCAATTTGCATTCGTTAGAAACAGTTGCAACAAAGACGAGGAAGGTCCTGAGGGATTGCGAAGGAACTACAAATGTGAGCAAGTGCTTAGCATGGCAAATTCTTGTAGCCATGAATTCCCTTAGATATAATGATAAATTAGGCCTTATTTTAAAATTGAGGACCTTTATTGAACAAGGATTTTCATAGTCTGATATCATTAGATTCCAAGGGAATCAGTTGCATGTAATTTTTAATCTAGGTGCAACTTACTTTCCCATTTTTGAATAATACAATTTGTCTTGGGACTTTCCTCCACAAATAAGATCATCACAACATTGCAGCTGATATTTACAGAAGTAGCTATCATCGAGATGCAAGTTCTGGGAATCATAGGGAAGATACTATCAGAGCCTTGGATGAGTACATTCTACACCAATGTAAATACCCCAAAAGACCCCATCAACACTATGAACATTGTTAAGGGAGTCATTGACAATCTGAAAGTACTCACCAAGGACCCCATGTCTATTTTCATTTCTACAGAGGATTTCTTTGGAAATACATTACCAAAGCAGATGAAGTCTTATTTCGACAAATGATAACAGCCTATTTAAAAGGGATTGTCAAAGTTTTAAGCAGGCAGTATACGAAATCATTCACCATGCTAGAGGCTTCTTCCAAGTCAATCTTAACATTGATGAGGCAGCACACCATCCTAGCTGAAAGCATCATCACTGAATTTTGTGAAAGACAGAAGCTTGTGCCTAATGCTTATGTATCCAGCATAAGCGATGTCATCAAGGTCAAGTGGAATCAAGGAAATTCATTGGTGATTTGGATGCTAAGCAGTTCCAGGAACATCTGCAGTTAGCACTGATACATGGCGGACAGAAGACTGTGATGAAGAAGATACAGCACCAAGAAGTCAAAGAAGAAATTGGTAGACGGATCAAAGCTAAGGATGTCCAGATGGAAAAAAAAAGAGCCTTGATCCAGAAAAAATCTAAAGAAACAGAAAGATCTGTCACTTTCTTCTTTGCTTTCTGGGTATCCATAATGTGCACAAGTCCTGCATGAAATACTCACTGGGCTCATAGTTGGACGTACAATCAGACATATTTGGACAATTGATGGTGTCAACTGTGAATACGTCGAATACATCATTAGTTTTGCAAATCCATTTTATACGATTTCATATGTCAACGATGTAGCTGACTACTATCAATTGAACAAATACAAAGTTGAGGCTGACTATGTTATGCAACACTTGGATTTCGAAAATCAGCACAGCAATGGTGATGAATGAAGAGGCAATGGAAGATAAAAAAAGCCCTTTTCAGGACCACAAAATATTTCTGAAAGTCTTTTCACCATTACACATAGCAGCAATTTCTTTTAAATATTGTTTAAGGTATTGGGTTAAAATAATAGAAGTTTAAACAATTATGTAATTAATAATAAAATTTAAAGTACTATAATAATTTAATAATAAAATAACCATCATGATAACAATTAATAATAAAGAATAAAATGAAAAAAATATATATTAAAAATATAAATTAATAATAAATAAAATACCAGAATGTTTCATAAATTATTGAGTTACCTCTATCATGGTATTTCATTAGTTATTAAATTTTAAAATTAATATAAGAAAATTTTTTTTTGATATTATTTTAAAAATTTATATTATTTTAAATTTTATTATTTTTTCATAAAGCATCTTCAAACGTAACTAAAAGTCAATGTAATAATTGCTGAAAATATGTAAAAATTACTAGATAGTTAAAAACCAAAAACATGCGTTCACTTTATTTCGTCAATTTTGGTCATCCATACTATCTGTCAACACCGTCATAACGTCATTAAAGATATGCGAAAAACAGGACACATTGTTAAGAAATTATTGTATATTACTTTTTATGCTATAAGTAATGTTTGCTTCAAATTAGATTAATTTAACATTAAATATGCCAATTTTACCCAAATAACATGTCACAATGTATTTTCAGATTTTTAAAACCGATAATTGTTTTGTTTACAAATTTCTTAAAATTAAGAAAATTGCTGCTTGTAAGATTTTCTGAAATCATCTAAAAGGTTGAGATTCTGATCTATATAATTTCTATTTGAAATACACCAGAATATTTTACTTACTGAAAATAGTAAATTTAATCATTTAACTTTCAATTAAGGCTAAAATGAAACTTTCAAGAATACATTTTCATTTTTAAAAATTCATTTTAAACATTAGGTATCGAAAATTCAATGGCGGTACACAATTCTTTAAACTAAGGTCTTCCTCAGCTCCGAATTCCAAATGTCTGTGTCTGAACTCTGAAATTTTATTCACTATTTATTTCATTTTTTTTTTCGTCTCCTCCACCAATAGGAGTACATAGGTTCACTTTTGTCCGGTCATGCTCCTCTCTGGTCTTTTGAACAGGAATAGCAGTTTATCCCTTGTTTCCTGTTTAGGATTGGATTTCCGGTTCCTTCTAGCTAAAGTCTACTTCAGCGCTATACTCCTAATGCTTGTCCTTTACAACTGCACACAGTAATCTTCTACCTTGAGTGGCTCTTGAGCTTTGTGTTGGGTGAACATTAGTAAAATACAAATAAAATGGGGGGCAATATGAAAATAGATGGAAAAAAAAAAAAAAAAAAAAGGAAAATCAAAGAGAATGGGTAGATGCTTGAATTGAATAAAAAAATATATAAAAATATTCACTAACAAGCCCAAGGATTTACAAATAAAACTCTGCACAAAATATTATTTAAAAAAAAATAAAGAACACGGAGTGAGTAAAGCTTAGGAGGCAAAAATCTTTCTATGACAAGTTGCAACAAAATATTCAAAACAAAGAATTACATGTAAGTCAAGAATAAATTGAGAGTTTATCTGTTATGTAGTGGTTTCACAGTGGAGGCTTGTATTTGTACTAAGTCGGTCCTAAAATAGGTTCGACATACAAAACGTTAGGAACTTGATATTATAGGTAATGACACAGCAATCTAGCTGTGGTGGCTGATACTTCTAGTATCTGACTAATGGTCATCCGACATCGACTGACTGACCAACTCCCTGAGTGACTGACTCCTACTACTCCTACTTATTATAGGTGGGAGAGTCTATTAACTACAGAATAGGTGTTTTCCACTATAACAGTATCAAAGTTCTTGTTTTAAAATAACATTAAAAAAAAAAATACTGACAAGTATTCTTGGAATGTTGAAAATTTCAGATGATGGAGAGACATTAAGAAGTTCCATAAGAGCATTAGAAAAGTTTATAGAAATGGTGAGGTCAATTGAAGAGTGTAGAAAATTTAAATGAAATCAATTTGTAGAAAAATGGAGAAAAGAAAAAAATGATATATTTTCTTTGTTTGCAAGATCCTTTTTGCTTCTTCTTTTCACATGAAATAGGTATTAGAGAAAAACTGGCAACAGTGTTGTCTTGCTTCATATCTGTAAATTGGGTTTCATGTTTAGTTCTGTTTTTCCTGTCTGGTTTATGATTGTCTGCTGCTGTCTGAGTTTTCACCATCATTTTTTTTTTTTTTTTTTGTCCAACTGACCAGTTTACACCAAATCTACTTCCAAATTTTCCTTACAAGATTTGTTTTGATAAAACAACTCACTGGCTGGTCATAAAATAATTCTTGAACAAAAAGTGGTTTGCATTTACTTGGTACTGTCTTACATAAAACATTTATTTGTTAGAAAATGTTGATTGATTTGTTTCTTACAGATTATCAATCCACTGCAGATTAAAGCAAGAAAATATTTTTAAATTGTAAGTAATTTTTGGAGATAATGATTTACTGATACTAGTTTTACTAATTAACCCATAGCTGGGGGAAGAAGTGGTGGATTCGTACCTTTTCCAAGGGTATTTACACAAAGTAAATATAATGAACCTGACTGGAATTGGAACTCTGATCTTGGATTTTCAATTCTGAAACATTGTCCATTACACCACCCACACATCTAAGCTTACAGCACCTGATATCCCCAAGTGGTCACTCATCTAGCTACTGACCAGGCTTGACATTGAAAAACCAGTTTTCATAAGATCACCAAAGTTAAGCAATGTAATATGACAAAGCCAAAAATTGTTCTAAAAGCAGAAAAAAGATTTTCTTTTATCTTTACACATTTTTTCATAAATTTTCTAAGTCTTTTGCATACGTTTTGATTTTATAACAACATTTTATAAGTTTTCATTTTCTATACAACTAGCTTGGTATTTTCTTCCAATTAGAACTAAAATTAAAACTTCAAGGAAGATATTTAAATTATTGGAATATGTTTTAAAATTTGTAAAAAGTGATTCTTGCAAATAGCTACAGAACAATTATTCATTCATCATTTATTTACAAACTGTTTTGAATATTTGTGGAGTTTGGCACAGAATGTGGACTTTACATTCAAAATGAATTAATAGTGAATGAACATCATTTTGTAAAGATTATTTTCTTTTTTTATGAATACAAATTGTATTCTCCTTGTGCGACAGAGCGTGTAGCAAGTTGGGAGAGAGAGAGAGAGAACCCCATTTTTCTTTATAGCAGGCAGTTGTCCTGATTAGTTTTTTGGTAGATAGAAGAGTGGACCGGCCTTCCCTGCTTTCTGGTGAAAGGGTAGCGAGAACTGACCTCAAAGCACTCTTTTCCTGTGGTTATGTTGGTGTTGATATATGGTTGGGGAGTTCAATAAGTGTGTGTAGGATTGCTCTTCACTTTAGTACTTGGTGTTACCTTTCAGGGGATTTAAGGGATATGTTTATTTTATTTATTAAACTTAGTCTACTACTACTACACATCTAATGACTAAGACAATTCAAGACAAAGAAATTCCTATGAGATATATCATCAGCCATTCTATAAATGTCACCCCCAAAACAGGTTGTATTGTATACTATGATGTCAACATTCATGTGGAAATAGTATTCAGTGTGAGTTAGTTTATAACACAAACAATAGGGACTGACATTTCACAAGCTCTTGAAAACATAACAGGCAATGTATGCTTAATAAAGGCATATATATATATATATATATATATATATATATATATATATATATATATGCATCCCTCAATTAATGCACATTTGATTAATATGTTTTTGGTTAGTGCATACATAATACTCAATTAGTGTGGTGAAACATACTCCAGTTTAACCATAGTAACTGAAGATTTATTTTTTTTTTTTTTAATAGTTACTGATAGACAAATTATCTGCACTAATCAAGGGATTCCTGTATCTGTGCGCACACACACACACACACAAATATATGTATGTGTGTGTGACCAGCAGACAATGTAATTTTCATAAAGATACATATATGTACATTAACAGCAGCAGAAGTGTTAAGTTTTTTTTTATCATTTCACCAAAAGCAAGGTGATAATGTCAGGGATTACATGGAGGGAAAAAGAATGAGAAGACTTTGGTGAGGAGGAGGAAAAGACAATAAAAAAAGGAGATAAGTTGGAGAAGACAAAAGATGGTGATTGATGTTGTATTTAAATTTTTGAAGCTTGTAGATGGTAGAGAAGCAAGTAATTGAAAAGCAGTTCCACAAATGAGAAGCATGAGAAAAACTGTTAGAACAGAAGTAGCATTGCATCTAGCTGATTCAACAGTAAAATGGTGGTACCTAGTTGACAATCTAGTAGCACATTTAAATTCATGAAGTTGATGCACTAAGAAAAAACATCAGAACAATTGCCATGAAAATATTTGTAGAAAAGACAGAGGGAAGTCATGTCATGTCAGTAAGAAAGTGACTGAAGTTGAAATGCCAAGTTAGAATTGATTACATTGCAGACTCTTTGGATTTTGTCAAGAATCTTTAGATATACAACTGGAGAACCAGACCAGATATGGCAACAGTATTCAATGCATGGACAGAGGGTTGATTTATAAATGTGCAAGACAGATTTTGATGAGAAATTTTCTGGCATGACACATTGAACCAATAATGTTTTAATTGGTTCATTCTTTAAATGACAGCTGTGACCAATTCAGATGAGGTAAAAAAAAAAAAAAAAAAAATAATAATTTAAGAAAATGTCAAGAGACCAAATTGGTTTGATATCACACCAACAAAATAAAAAATGATTAATTTTAAACAAATACAAATAAACCTTCATTTAAAATAAATTTATTCTGTATTTTAAAAAAGAAATATGTCAATAGGAAAATATCAAAATTTACACTTTGTGGGTTCAGAATAGTTCAGTCTATTTGAAAACAAATGTTTTCTTGAGTTTTCTCTCCATCTTGATGCAATTGTAGCAACATCTTGTGAAATTTTTAATTGTTCATTTTGAGAATCCAATCTACAGTCTCCAGAAGTATTTGCATCTTGTAGTGACTACAAAAGAAAAGAAAAAATATATAAATACATATAAAACATTTTCTTAAGACATGAATATACATACATTCAAATACAAATTGATATAATAATATCTACATTGCATGGTTGCTAGCAAAAGGACAAGTCCAAATAGTGAATTGAAAGTCGGCGATACCAAAATCAAACATGTGGAAATTTAAATATCTGGGAAGTGTTTTAACAGAAGATGTAAAGTGTGACACTGAAATCCAAAGGCATACTGAAATAGCCAAAGAAACATCCCAAAAGCTAAGCAGAATGCTAAGAAATAGAAAAACTTTGGTAGAAACAAGGAAAAGAGTACTAAACTGCTACATGATATCTGTTCTCCTGTATGGCAATGAGTGCTGGACAATCTATTAAAACATGACGAAGAGACTTGAAGCAACAGAAATATGGTTCTACAAAAGGATGTTAAAAATACCATTGATTGAACATATGACCAACAACAAGGTTTTAGAGAAAATGGAAGCGAAAAGGAAACTTATACTTAATATCAAGAAGAGGCAATTGAGATTTTTAGATTCACATAATGAGGAAGGAGAGCTTAGAAAATCTGATACTCACAGGACAGATTGAAGGCAAGAGGGAGAGGGAAACAACGCATAACCTACTTAGTGAGCTTGAGGAAATGGATGGCAGAACAGGGTTTAGGAGAAATAACAGAAAGACAAAGTTTATAAAGAGCTACGAGGGACAGAAAGTTGTGGAGAACTATAATCACTTATGTACTGAGGGGACATTGCACATAAAGAAGAAGAATCACTTAATCTTTCTCAATCGTCCCTCCACTCTCTTGAGTGTTCCTATCTCTCTTGTGTGAGCATCTCTCTCTCAAGGCATGTACACAAAAAACTGATTTGTCCATCACCAAAGTTGCCAGTAAAAATGTGACTATAAATTCTATGAGATGTGGACAAATATTTTTGAGTTACTCCAAAATTAAAGTCCATCTTATTTCCAATTGTAACAACTGGAAATTAAATAAGAGGCTGTAATAGTGTAAACACTTGGAGTGGGAGTGCAGAGAAAAAAAAGAATGGACATCTTACTTATTATAAAACGCAGATTGTGTGTGTGTGTCTGTAACGTTTATATATTGGATGATTTCCTACATTTTCAACCGATTTCAACAAAACTTCACAGGACTACATAAAATTACCTTGTGGTGGTTCTAACAGCGCCAAAATGGGAAAAATATAATTGTTTTTGCACAAAATCAATTTGAAAACACGATTAAGAGACATCGTGAAAATGGAAGGGGACAACTCACATTGGGTTGTTTTGTGTGTGGGTTCCTTTAAATATGGGAGCTAATTTCCTATATTTTTCAACCCGATAAAACAAAACTTCACTTTTTTTTTTTTTTTTTTTGGCAGGTAGTGTTTCTTATTCTCTTGCACACTTTTCTTTATTTTTAACATTCAGAATGCTTTAAAAATTCCATTTACAAGACAATTATTTATAATAAAATTCTATTCAATCGGGAGACTCATAACGATTGAAAACAATGTTTTTGTTTGAGTTTGGGTTTGACCAATCTGTAAAAAAAAAAAAAAAAAAAAAACTAATTAAGACATGCGTGTCCGTCAACCTTAAACAATAATCTTTGTCAATTTTATTTTTCAGTCTTTATGATGGTGGATACTTGATCTATCTCTTACAGTTATATCCCCGGGCAACGCTGAGCTCTACTGCTAGTCTATAATAAATATTTAAAAGCAAAAAAAAAATTACAAAGTAAAATTGAAATTAAAATAATGTAAACAACAAAAGTACACGATTTCAGATATTAACTGGAGTCTTATCCTTGAAGACGTTTTTATGGCATTCTTCTATGGCTAAATATATGGCACATTGGTGTCATTTCAAGTAACTGAAGATGTCAAACAAGGGGGATTCTGCTGTTTTACTAAGTGTTGTATCATCAAGGTGAATGATACTCAGAGAAGAATGAGTGCTTAATAATATTTATTCAGCATCAGTATCTGGTGCTAATGGATACATACAAAAAACAGTAAGTTAGAAAACAATTAAGACAACTTACAAGGAATAGAAGGAGGGTCAAATGCTGTATAGCCAAATGAAGTAAGATCAGTCCAAATATTAATCAGCTTAGTATCAACTTATTAATCAACTGTTGAAGTTCTTAATCATAGACTATTTAAGGCTATGAGCCAGACTATCTGTTAGAGTGCTGAAGAGGTGCTAGCTACTCTAAAACACTAAGTTAAAAAGACATATTTAAATCTTTTTGATCTGTACAGTAATCCCATTGAGGATGGAACCAGTGAGGTAAAGTTCAACCATTCATAGTATAAATACGATAAATAGAAAGTTATTTGGTGTCAAGACTATCAATGTTGGTATTTAAGTAATTCTCTTTTTGAAATGTCATGTCCCTTCAGGATGTAGGTGATGGTGACTGTCCTTTGTATTACTGTTTATAAGATAGAGTTTTACATATATACAACTGTATGAAAGTTGTAGATTTCAGGCACCTATAGTTGATCATGTGATTGTGCTAATGCAGTATTTTGAAATAAAGTGTGAAGTGATTGCAGGGACATTCAGGCACACCTGAAATGATTTCTCTTTCAAAGTATACCAAGTTTAACCTCCTTGGTATTACTGCTTATGAGATGTGTTTTTGGAAATGTATGACATTTATAAAGTCATACATTTCAAATACTTCTAATTGACTCAGTGATTGTGTTAATGCTGTGTATTGAAATTACTTCAAAGAGAGAAAGGGAGGGAAGGACGCTTGCAAGAGATGGGAAGGGGTGCGTGCGAGAGATGGGAGGAGAGAGAGAGGGGGACAGGCAAGAGAGGCAGACAGAGGTGGGGACGCGCAAGAGAGGCAGACAGAGGGGGGGAGGCGCAAGAGAGGCAGACAGAGGGGGGACGCCAAAAGAGAGGCAGACAGAGGGGGGGGACGCGCAAGAGAGGAGAGAGATAGAGAGGGATGCATGAGAGTAATAGAGTAGGTCTGGATGTTCTCCTCCTCTTTCTCATCTTAGAAACAACCCAGGAAGGATAGTTGTTATACTGAGGGGTCGTGCTAGTATTAATGCCCTTTAATTCATTTTCAAGACAAAGTGGAAATAACCTGAAATATTAAATAATAAATCTACTTACCTGGCAATGCTGTGGAAGGTTTTCATGTGGAGAAGGAAATTATCACGTGACATGCTGGTTTCAAAATCACAAGCGCATGAGCAATAAGACTGCATGTTGTTATCCTTTACCTGAAAAGCACAAATGCAAATCTATTTTATCAGCAGTAAAGTAAAAAGGAAAAAAATAGTCTTGGATGTAATGACAAAAGTATGCAGGCATAGGCTTTAAGAAAGTTTTATTCAACTGAGAATACAAGGTTCATTTATAGTGTCCTTTAATAGTCTCAGTAAACAGAAATAGCTCTCTCAAAGAGGAGAATAATGAAACAAAGGGAGACCACTCTTGATTATTCATAACACTGGATTTCCTCATTATTTGTATCAACAGTATTTTTCTTTTTATAATAAAACACTTTAATACTAACTATTTGTCTATTAAATATTAAGTTATACAATCTTTGAAGAGAAAGTAATTCCTTAACCAAGTTTACTTTTGGTTTAAATAATTATCAAATAACTGCTCGTAAGGTAGACAGAGGGAAGGACCATTTCACTGTTAACTTTCACCATTATTCACATTATTTCACCATTAACTCCCCCCCACCCCCACCCCCAAAAAATTCACACCAATTTGAGGGAGGTGTTAGCTGATTTTGTTTAGCGGCATATCAACACCTCTATGGGTTATTTAATGCCAAAATCTAAATATTTTGAATGCAGTTGAGTCTTGTATTGAGTGAACATTACTATAATAATAGGTGCCACCAGCCCAGGTGGACCTGAGAAAAACAGTAATTAAGAGGTGGTGAGGGTGGGGTTAAAAAGAAAGAATAAGAATCGTCATAAGAATAAGTAATGCCAGAAGAACTGTCATCCCCTTGCAGTTATTAATGTGATAGCTTTGCAAATTAAAAAAAAAAAATCTCAACTTGAAAGGCCGCTATATACAATCTGAAAATCAAGAGGCACCATGAGAAATCATCAGGAACATGCTTGATAGTTTCCAACAATGGCCAAGTTGATGATGACAATGTCAAAAATTCATAATGTTAATAGTTTATAAGTTAACTACATAATTTATGCTTTGAGGCAATAAGGAAACAAAATATTTAATAGTAGACTTATTATGAATGGCAATGTTAAGATATTCAGTAACATGATATGATCAAAAAAGCACCATATCTTAAATAATTAAAGGATTTATTTCTCATATTCAGTAAGATGTGAGTAACTTTTAAAACAGACCAATAATATCAGACTGGCTAAACACAAAGCATTTATTTAAAATTCTTATCTGATAATATTAAATGGTTGTAAACTGTCTGAATAACATGGTATCTTCTACGTCACAATGATGTACTTCCAATTAATATTTTCTGATTTTTCATTGATTTTTTTTTTTATTAAAAAAAAAAATGCAATGTCTCTTCAAGATGTTGGCAATCATGGCTCTCCAGCTTCCTTTAATATCTGTGAATTAACATGGCATCTTGGGAAAAATAGAGAAAGGGTAAGTCACAATAGTTCTTCTCCTAGACTGATTACTATTCAAATCTAGAGATCCCAGTCTACCCTCCTATTTAGCCCATAGTCAGTAAGAGAAGAGACATTCTTACCTTTCCCATAGATTAGTGTGAAAGTGAATGCAGCAGACTAAGCCAGAATTTGAACTCAGCTTGTTGACTCCATTTTTACTCACTGATAACTGATGATCAATATCATGATAATGGGATTGATTGTGTTTAATGGCAGCTCAACCTCTTGTGGGTCATTTAGAGCTAAATTGATTGTGTTGTAAACATAATTTATAGTTGGTCAGGTATGGATGAGAGTAAGTTTTATAGTCATTCAGATATAATTGAAAGAAAAGTTTTTTGTTCATCAGGTATAGTTTTATTGTTTGTCAAGAATGATTGAAGGTAAGTGTTGTAGCATACCTACTGACGATAATGTGTAGGACCCCATTCACATAAATACAGTAGTAAATACTGTATGTTGGTCTGCAGTTGGAGATTCATTGTGGAATTCTATGCGCCGCTGGTGTATCTTATATGTGTTGTTCTTGTCCTAAGTCTTATCATTCATTACCAACATTTGTTTGATTATTCTATTCAGTAACCTTCCCTAGGTTACAGCAGTTAAGTTTTTTGTTTGTAGAAACACTTATAAACATTTTTCTTCAATTTTTTATTGTAAAGTCCAATCTTTTTGACAAATTGCTGTATGTTATCTGATTGAAAGTTTTCAAACAGTTGTTTGTTCTTAATACTTGTTTTGGATTTCCCAGAAGCTGCAACATGCCAACAATATGTGCCTGACTGTATATGACTCCTGAGTTGATACACATATTGGTAGGATTTCATTTCTTAATAAATGCCTGTGGATAATGGGGTATAAACTTACTAAGGCTTAGGATGCCTTGCAGGTCATTCAAGACTGCTGAGGAGTTTGAGGTGAGGAAATAAATAAATTTAGTTCTTAATGATTACTCACAGAAGTACCAGAGGCTGAATGCATATACATAGTTACATTTTGAATATTTTAACAATTCTGTTGCATTTGGCTTCCTTGAAAATAAGTAATATCAGATATTGACATGTGAAAATGCTTATCGCATAGCCCAAGCATAATCCTAGCAAAATACACATGGTATAGAGGCACAGTGGAATAATGGATAGCGGCTCGGATTGAGGAATTGGAGAGCTATGTTCAAATTCCAGTTGAATCCATTACATTCACTTACGTGCTAATACCCTTGGGAAAGGTATGAATCCTCCTCTTCTCTCCCCAGCTATGGGTAAATAGCAGGACAGACCAGGTTCTATAGCCTTGAATGGCAACTGGTCTACCGCAGAAAGAAATGGCAACCTACCAGGGGAAAAAAATCTGCCTTGTCAGTCATGTATTAAAAGATACATGATTGCCTGGGTGTGTATCATGCATGGCACATAACTGTCTGAGAGAGGAGTTAACTTGTGTAAGCTTGACATTGGTTAACATCGGTGATCATATGGGAACCAGGGTTTCAGTGGGCTGTGGCCATAACCCTTCTCATCTCAAAGGGGGGAGGGGAGGCAATATATACCCTTTTCTGTTCAGTGATAGCCTGCCATTTTTTTAAAATCTTAGATTTAATGTTCCTCAAGTATAAAGTTAAGGGATCAGCTAGTTTCCTTGCCTCACCACACATGGGGTGTTGTTATTCAGACTTTGGCAAATTTGAACCTTCGTACATGCAAAAAAAAAGGAATGTCAAAATTACAGTTCTTCCATTAACATTACTATTATTTTAACTATGTTCATTCTTTGACATTGTTTATTATTTTAAAAAACCATGATTAGAATTATAATAAAGCCTAAGCATATATTTAAGTGAATTCATACATTTTTTTGTTCTTAAGAATAGACAGCAAAAACAATAAACACTATTAGTATGGTGGTATCTGCCACACAGAGTTTACTGACTATTCTGTGTTAGGAAGAATAACTCGTTTTAGTTTCGCTAGGCCGTACACATGTTGACCAGTTTCCACATGTGTGGACACCCTGGTGGTCAGGAAGGTAAAGAGGCCGTTCCTCCCAGAACGGAAGTAAAAACAAAAAAGGCAGAAGAGTTCTACTCTCTAAAAGGGGCCAAAACTCTCATGAGCTAAACCAAAGGGAAAACAACTGTGGTCTCCCTACAACACTATTTATTAGATTGTTTATTGGAATGATTCGCAAAACATCGGCTAATTGCCAATTGATTCAAACTTTATAAAATGGTAAATAAAGATTTCATTATTGTTGGTTTACATATTTTAATAATTTAGTAAATCTTTATAAATTTACAAGTAAAAAAATTTCATGTTTATTTCTTTATAAATTGCATTATAAAACATTGCATTAATTTTAATTGTATTTGTTTTTAGAATGTTGTAACTACAAATTATTCTTGTAAATAAACAATCTAAATAGTGTTTAATATTTTTGTTGTAAATTCTCAAGAACAAAAAAAAAAGCAAATTCACTTTCATCATGTGTTTCGGCTTTATCAAAATTCCAGTGATTGCTTTTTCAAACAATAAACATTGCTGAGAGGTAAAGGTAGTTAAAATAATAGTAGTGTCAAGGAAAAACTGTCTTTTTGCCATTGTTTTTTTTGCCGGCATGAACATTCAAATTTGGCCAAACTTTTATCTTCTGAAGTATAAATTTAGTAAGAAGATTGCAAAGAATATTTTTACTAACATAACCCTGATGTAACACTGTCAAAGCCATTGGAAGTCATAGACAAAGTCTGAAATTACTTCACTTACCCCTTTACATTTGACACACCGCAAATCCTGCAATGTGTATGCCATGGACTTTCGATTGACAACTTCAATAAGGCTGTGTTCTATTTCAAAAATGTCATACTCAGTCTCACACTGGATGCAAGCCCAAGTGGCACTGTTAACAAAATAAAAGAAGCAATAACATTTATGAAATACTCAGCTGAATGTTATGTTCAACTTGTAAAGCAAAGCATAAATTTCCAATAATTATTATTACCAATTTATATAATCTGAAATATCATGATTAGAATATATTAAACTTTTATTCATTTTAATCATTACACCCATAGCAACATGACAAATGCTAGAAGTATACTGTATATTCTTGTGTATAAGACTTAAATATAATACAACCCCAGGTTTTTGAAGCTAAAAACAGGAAATAAATTACATCTTTGACTGTCTTTTCTACAAATATTTTTATGTCAACTGCTCTGATGCAGCCGGGGCATGTGGAAAAAAATCCTGGTGCCCTGACTACATGAATTTAAGCATGCGACTAGATTGGCATCTAGGTCCCACCAGTTTACGGCTGAAATAGTTAAATGCAACCACATCTACTCCAAAATTTTCTTTTCTCACTCTGTGGAACTGCCTTTTGTTTATTTCTTACCCTGATAACTACAGTTTTCAAAAATTTAAATGCAATGTCAATTGACATCTATCTTGAAACCCATTCATCTTTTGTCCTTTTCTCGATCATCCCTATGTACTAGTGGCATTCCCCACTTGCTTGGGGTGAAATAAGTACAAAATAAAAATATGATTCTGTCATACAGCCATCTTTCAAAAAGATTTTTTTTTGAAAAGATGTACTATATTATGCATTAAAATCTCAATGTCATACATATATTTGACTAAAATATTGAATTTTTCATGATATTAAATGGAAATAAACCATTATGTGTTTTTACTAATAGCTTTTTCAAAACTTACTTTCAAATTTTCAGGAAAAGATGCTAACTAGACATACCCAGTAATAAATTTTAAGGTGTTAATTAATTTATGATACTTTTCTGTTTGATATGACTTTATTATATTTATATATATATTAACAAACTATGGAAATATACTGTCTTTCACAAAGAATGAAGACTGAAACAAATATGGCTGACATATCAAATACATCTTATAAACAATTGTTGTCAATCCCTGTCTACTTTGTAGCTTATTATCTATTCAGCTCTCTATCTGTAATCTTGCTGTTTCAATTAAGAGGTTCTTTAAGCTGAATAAAATTTTTTGAAAACATGTATTCGTGTATAAACGATCCCACCTTTTTTGCCTTTAACTTTTGTTCAAAATGTCTCATATTATGCACAAGAAAATACAGTATATAGAATCTTTAAGAAATATTTTATAAAAATGCATTGCATATTATTTTAACATTAAATGTACATGTAACCTGTGATATTATGAGTAGCATTTATCAAACAAATACATTAAAACTTACATCCATCCTAATGATTACACATATAGTGACAAGCAAATACTAAAAGTATAGAGAGAATTATATTGGGGATTATTTTATTCTAGAATTGTGTTCTAATGTTGGGATAGCTTTCATACCTTCCCCGCAGTTAATATGCACTATGCTGGTCAGTCCATTAAAGACTCTTTTAGACTCTTAACAACCAATCAGCAAAGTCATGTTTTTAAGAGGGAGAGACATTTGGTAGACACTAGAGCAATGTTTTTCAACTATTTTTTTTATCTTACGGCACACTTGAACCTTAGTTAAACTTCCACAGTACACTGAAATTATGATCAAGATGATCTTACGACTGAGTACAATTCAATACATGCACAATTGGCCAGGCATTCCTGAAATCAATGAAAGTTGATTTCGACCTATCAGTGTTTGTCAACAAGTCCTTGTCAAATCATGCCATCTATGGACATTGTGCAATCTCATTTTGCACCCCCTACCCACTTTATATACAGGGTGAGAAAAAAATACCTCCCACATAATGGTAAGAAGTTAGCTAAATCAAGAGGCCATTGCCACTACTGTCTTACCATTATGTGGGAGGTATTTCTGCCGCACATTGTATTATGCATACGTTTATTATAACAATCATATACTCATATAATCAATTTAAAGGAGTTTTAATTTTGATATGTACACTTATTGTGCTTTAGATTTCTTTTGAAAATAATTTAATTAATGATCTTTAAAAATTTTCATGGCACACTCACAATTCTCTTACAGCACAAAAGTGTGCCATGGCACACCAGTTGAAAATCACTATACCAGAGAGAGAGAGAAAATGATTCCTGACTGATGAGTAGACACAACATTTTGCAATATGCCAGATTTTTTAATAAAGAAAGAATTTTATGACATCTACTAGTTTTCCTTTCCAGGGTCAGATTGATTGAATGATTCATTCATTTTTTACAGCTTATCAACCCTTTGCAGCTTATTTAAAGCCAGAAAATATATTTAGATTGTAAGAACTTTTTTTTTTTTTTATAAGAGAAAATTATGGCTTAGTGATGCAATCTTACTAATTATAACCCATAGCTGGGGAAAAAAGGTAGAATCCTAACTTTCCAAAGTGTATTTGTGAGTAAACTAATATAACAAACCCAATGTGAATTAGAACTGATCTCTGACTAACAATTCTGAGCCATTATACCATTCACACATCTGATCTTACCCCACTTGGTATTCCCAAGCAGTCACCCATCAAGGTACTGACCAGGCTTGACATTGCTTAAATTCAGTGATTGTACAGGAACTGTTGTTTCAACATGTGTTCATAAACCACCAGGGCTAGAGAGAGGGCACATTACAATTCTTTGTTTGCATTTTCTATAGGTATCTCCACTAATTGGCTTGAAAAAGAGCATACCATGATTAAAAACATTTTGTAAAACAGGACCCACAGTTACTAAGAATCTGTTCTCAATGTTAAAATAAAAAATGCAATGAAATTATGACATTATTTAATTAGAAAAGCTTTTAATTGCTTTTAGGAATGCTATATATTAAGGACTCTATTGTCTTATAAAAAAAAAAATTTTTTGATGAATAATAAATTTTTACAAGAATTGTTTTCATTTTTTAAAAATCTTAATCAGAATAATTTATAAAGTTTTAAATCTTTTAAAATTCTTTATTAATTTTTAACAGTTGATATTATTATTAAGTAAAAAGTATAATAATTTGAAATGCTTATTACAATTTTGTGACCCCCAGTATTTTTAATTTTTTGTATGCCTATAAATAGGCTGATTTCTTTTTTATATGGAAGTTCATACACGATATTATCAGAAAATAAAAGCCATAACTATAGTAAATTTAAAGCCAAAGTATCTAAAATTAAATAAAACATTAGATTACATAGAATATTTTCATTCTTCTGACTTTTTCTCTGTTGATTTTTTTTTGTTATTATTATACAAGTTTGCATGATTATTTTTTTCCATAGACAGATACTACAAGGGCCACTCAACATATATTTCACAACCCAACAGTAAATTATTTTATTGTAGAATTACATTGCAAATTATTTGACATATTTATATAACTGGTCATATTAGGGTCAGAATTTATTCAACAAATGTTTTTTTTAATTCATCCTGATAATTGCAAGTATAGTGACAAGGCACCAATAAACCAACCTTTGGCTCCATTTGTTATCCTTTCATTTTGCTATACATCTTGTCCACCTCCACTTCTGTTGTTTAACCACTTTCATTATATCTTTTATCTTGATCTTTTCACTAATGTTTTAGTAAGCAAAACATTTGACAGTCTGATGATTTTTTTTCTGGGGTTGTTTTATTGCATTTCTGGTGACATGTCAAACTGACATGATCGAGTTGTTGATAACAAATGTATACATTGATAGCCTCTCCAGAAATGGACGACACTTCTTATATTTTACAAGATCTTCAGCTAAATTTTATTATTTACTTTAAACTAAGTATGTCCACTGTTTTCGCGGAAAAACAGCATAGCGTAAATGAAAAATGCCACAAACTTAAAGAAAATAAAGTATTATCGTCAAAATGCTTATGTTATTATTAAGATGAAAGAAAAAAAGTATTTTTTAATTATTTTTTGAAATTTTTTAATATTTTCTAACACGTTCGAAATTTTGGTTAAAGTCGTCTTTGTTTACGTCATCATGGCGACCTTTAAAATAACAGTTTTTTTTGCGTTTTTTACCGTTGAAAATATATTGATTTGGAAATTCTTGTAAAAATAGAATAATTGTCCAATCTTAATGAAATTTTCAGGACTTATTCACAAATGAATGAAATTATTTTTCAAATATTTTGTTTTAGAAAATTTTGGTAAAAAATATTTTTTTTAAATATGTTACCCCCACTTAGTTAATTTCATGAAAAAAAAAAAAACCTTTTTGGCTCCTCAATTTTATTTTTTGTTAAAAGAAGGAATCTTTGGAGATGGTAAATAACCTACTTTTCTTTCACAAATTTGAGCTACTTAACTGAAAATCTTGTCTGAATTGAAAAAATAATGAATCCAATAAAACTATGATATTACTTAATTAGAAAAGCTTTTAATTGCTTTTGTAAATAAGTAATATTAAGGACATTATTGTCTGAAGAAATAATTTTTTCTGATGAATAATTAATTTTACAAGAATTTTTTCGTTTTTTAAGAAGTTTTAATTATAATAATTTATAATAGTTTAACATCGCGTAAAAGCTCTGTATTAGGAGGGCCCCTCAATATTATGTAGTAATTAAGTAGAAAAAAATTTTTGAATCCAAATTTGCTAAGTTTAATAAATTTAGTTGAGCTACTTTTTTTTAAAAATAATTTTTATGTTGTATTTTTTTACTTAATACATTCCTTATTTCCATGTATGATATACAGAAATTGCCATTATTATAACAAGGTCACGTGATCTAAGGGTTTTGTCCCTTTACGTGGCTTTTTTCAAAACATTTCGTTTATTAACAGATTGTATTTTCCGATCAGCTGTAAAAGTGTAAACTTTAAATTATTTTTTTTTTTTTTTCATTTACTATTTCACTAAATAATTTTATTTTATGTATTGTATTTCCATTAGTGTGTGTCATACTAAAATAGAATAATTTTTTAAAAACTCAGACTTAAAAATTATGTCATTTATGGTCATCAGTAGTAGCTGTTATCGGCTCGTCAATCAACCAGTATCAATAAGATCGAACAGATGAACGGGACCGCTCGTAAATAATTGCTTGTATATTATTTTTTTATGCTATAAGTAACAAAGATTTCTTTGAAATCAGATTACTTTAACTTTAAATTTTTTAATTTTACTAAAATAACGTGTCAGAATTTTTTTAAATATTTTAAAAATCGATAAATTTGTGTTTGTTTACAAATTTCTTAAAATTAAGAAAATGGCCGTTTTTAAGAAAATTTAAAAATTTGAAATTAAATTTGACAATCAAATGTATATAGTTTCTATCTGAAATACACCAGAATTGTTTAATTAATAGAAATCGTAAATTTAGTTATTAAACTTTCAATTAAAGCTAAAATGAAATCTTCAAGAATGTTTTTTCATTGTAAAAAATTCATTTTAAACTTCAATATAGAAAATTTATGCCGAAATAGTGGACATACCCACTTTAAACTGGACTTTGCTGACATTGATTGGTTCCAGATTTGCATATTATGAATTCACTATTACCTTCTGCACAGTCCAAGATATTTTGGTGTATATGATAATGAAAGAGCTTCAGTCCAAAGTAAACATCATCTATCTTTTAGATTTAATTAATGGGTAAGGAATGATCTAAGAATCTACTATAATCTCAATTAAAACTATTTTGCAGGTTTGATTTCCATTTCCGCGCATGATACCTATGTTTGTCAGGAAGGTGATTTCTTGATGTTAACAGCCAAGAGAGGCGATTCCAAGATGTGGTACTGATGGAAAGTGCTAGAAAACGATGCCACATAGACAGAATTATTTGTTGTGCAAGCATGAAGTCAAAAGTCATCATAACCGAGAGTTTGAGTGTATGGTTTTTCAGACACTTTCCAATGGTGCCATGTAGTGGGATCACTTTTTCAGGCTGATAAAATATCAAGAAGTCACCTTCCTGAAGAATTGACTATGGTGAAATTTGAACATGGACCTCATGATTGGAAAGCAAATAGTCTAACCACTTGTCCACACACCTATTATCAAATGCCTTCCAACCTAATAGTGATAGAGCATGAACACTATTTCAATGTTATGGAGTAAGTGAATAAATCAAATGAAAACGAAAATATTTTTGATGTCTTTCTTTTATCAAAATATAGGACAATGTTTTCAGAAAGAAAAAAAAAACTGACATACCCTGGTGTATCATTGGAGAGGTAAGGATCCCGGCAGAGATCAACATCACGAACATGGTTGCACGTCTTGCAGATTACCTTAAAAATATGCAAATAACGTGGACAAGAATTAGTTACAAATTCTATAAACAGTGTATGAGGAATAAAAGTTCATTTGTTCAACTTTTAACCAACAAAGATTTTTGTGCACACAAAAAAAAACGGAGCAATAAAAGGATAGTTTTTTCCCATAAGACTTCTTTTATTTTAACTACCTTCAGTCCTCAGCAATGTTTATACTTTGTTTAAAAAAGTGAGGATTAGAATTGTAATAAAACATAACTCAACAAAATAATAAACATTATTAGATTTTTTATTTATTCTCTTATATGGTTTATTGATCAGAATGGTTAGCAAAACATCAGCTAATTGCCAATTGATTCAAAATTTAAAAAAAGGTTAAATAATAAGGATTACCTTATACTTGGTTCACCTATTTTAATAATTTAGTAAATGCTTATAAATTTATAAATAAAAATTGTTTTCCTGTTTATTTCTTTATAAACTGGTAAATGATAAATATTGCATTGCATTAGTCTTAATTGTCTTAGTTTTTAGAATGTTGTAAATATAACTTTCTTCTTGTAAATAAACAATGTAATATATAGTGTTTAATATTTTTGTGGCAAATTCTTAAGAAAAAAAAAAAATGTATAAACTTATTTTCATCATGCTTAGGTTATATTAAAATTCTAATCATTGCTTTTTAAAACATATTGCCAAAGAGTGAACTAAAAAGCCCTAGGTTAGCTGACAGTATACAAGAAGGTGCTTAAAAAGGTTTTTATCAAGAAGAAATTTAAAAAAATAGAAATGAAAATTTATATATATGATGTTTGAGCATTTGGTGAGATTTTTAAAAATGGGTCAACTTTTCAGGAGACTCTCATATTTCCTACCATGTACACTATCGCCCAAAAAATTTGTCACCAACTTTTGGATTTAATAATCAGTAAGTTTCATATCTCCTTTGGTTTAATTAACTCCTAAGTTATTTGAGGGAATATGGGTGGTTTGCTATAATATAAGTGACATGGCAGGTCCTTGCTGTCAAGTCTTGGCCTGGCAGAACCAAGAAATGTAGCTAATCCAAGCACTTTCCATGAAAGTAGTGATAGAGCAGGAAAAGGCTTGCCACATCCCACCTGTCAGAGAGAGTTTGGAAGGTAGAAAAGAATTTGTCACAAGGATGCTTTTGGACTATCAAAGCTGGAAAAGGTAGGGGAATGCACGTGGAGTCATGTGCTTAATGAAGTGGTAGAGAAATGACGTTCTGACATATTATTTTCTGCAAATTATATTAAATTTATTAAATAAATATCATTATTTACCATAACCTCCTGGTATTAATTTAAACTGATGCCTTCTTTTTTTTTCCATTTATAGTAAGCATTTGGCTTAAAGTTTGTATTTTCTTGATTTCAGATGAAAACTTGGAAATTTTCCAACATATTTCAGTGAAATCTTTATTTTCCAAAATTATATAATTTAAAGTTAAATTTAAGTTAAATTAGCTGGTTTGATAAAAACACCAAACAGTATCAAGTAGAATAACTTAATTCATTAAAAAAAAAAAAATTTTTTTCTGAATAGATTTATTAACATGTATTGAAATATGAGGCCACCATCAAAGGAATCATATTCAATCAAATAATTTTTTAACTGAAATTAAAAATAGTAATTTTCTTAGATGAATCATTTCAGTATTAACACTTACCTCTGGCAGGACATATGACAAGCAAGGATCTTTAAATTGGGAACAGGGAGAAAACTCGCCAAAACCAATCAAACGTAAAAGATCTCTTTTCAATTTGCTTGTTTGTAGAGTTACATTAGAATCAAGGGAGAGAACCTAGGAAGAGAAAGAATGAGATGTTACTTTTTATTGATTTAAAATGATTAAAACAAAGATAATAGTTAAGTGCCTTTTTTTAATTATTTCACCCCCAGGCAAGGTAATAAAGCAAGGGGTTTCTGATTGTTAGAGAATATATACATGATAATAAAAATTGACTGGGAAGCAAGAACCCACAAGCCGCACTGCCCATTTAATATTTTCATGCGGTCCACTACACCTTAAAATCTTCAGGTATATTTTCATTTACTTTAGTAACATATGTTGAGAAAATTATTCTCAGATTCTGCTAGTAGGTTCCCTTCCCCATAGTACTAAAAGAGGAAGTGGGTAAAGGCCTTTGCTGAGATATACCAGTTGGTGCATGGGGCAAGAACCAGGGCTAAATAAAAATTAATTAGCTTATCTAGAAAATTGTTATGCATGTGGGGTAGTACATACTGCTGTGAACAATTCTTTTCATGCATGAAAGATATTAAAACTGCTGAAAGAAAGATTTATATAAAGTACTTTTGTGGCCTGGTGAATATACCCAAATTTCTAATTTGGCTCATTAAGAAAAAAAGGTTGAACAACCCTGATCTATAGCAATACAAACCATCCTAAAGCATCACCAGAAGTACATGCATGTATATGGCACTGCAAACAACTTGATATTAATTGTTGACCAAAACAGTCTTTCTAAGAGTTTAAAGTTTAGCTGAATCAAACACAAGATATTTCAAGAAAGGAAACTTTGCAGTGCAATGGTCTTCCACAAAATACATTTCAAAACAAAATTTTGCAGCAATCAAGCAATCAAGTGTGAATAGTCAAAAATTAATAAGTGGGGTAGCTGTAAAAAAAAAATTAAAAAAAAATAATAACAAGCTTGTAGAACTTTTAGTAGGCACTCAAAAATATACTCATAATATCATACACAAAAGAAAAAAAAAACACTCCAAATATTTTGTGAATTTTAGTTAAAAAATTTGAACTATATATATATATATATATATATATATATATATATAAATAAAAACTCCTGTGACTTCCATCAGTTTGTCTGTCTATCCGTCACACCCTCTAAAGTAAGCATACATTGACTGATCAAAACAAAATATTGGGTAGAAGTGCAAACAGACAAGGGGCTAAAGTACAATTGGTTTTACTAAAGTGTGTAAAAAGTGCAAAGTAGAGTTTTTGTCAAAGTATTTTTCCAAACTAATCAGCTTATTCAAATTTCATCAATTGGTTTATGAAATTGAACAAAATGTTGAGTATGTAAGTCTTAACAGAAAAATGTTAGTGATAACTTCAACAATACTAAATACTGTGTGCCAGTAAAAAAATTCTAGTATATAAAATTTTGTGACTTCTGTTAGTCCATCCATCCATCCATCACACCCTCTAAAATAACCACAGGGAGAAGTGCAAATAGGTAAGGGAGTACAAAGTACATTTGCTTTTACTAGGGTGTATAGCTTAGTACAATAAATTTTCATTAATTTTTTTGGAAATATTAAATTTTATTATTTAACATACAAAATACTCTCACTATTTAAAAAAAATTTAATAATTAAGATAAGTACTTATTTAATAAAAATGCTATAGTGTTTTTTGTATATATTTTAAGTTTTTATATATACAAGAATCCAGTTTCCAGTTTGTGCTGCGTTTACAAGCACTATAAACAGATCACAAGGCCGAAAGCTTCAAAAAGTTGGAATTTGGCTCTAGAAAGAAATATTTACACATGGCCAGTTGTATGTTGATTGCTCAAGAATAAGAAATCCTAAAAATTTATTCTTTGCTGTTAAAAAGGAAAAAGAAAAATTTTCTTAAAAAGTATTGTTGCCATGAAGTCCCATAAAAAAGTAGAGTTTTTGTCAAAGTATTTTTCCAAACAAATCAGCTTATTCAAATTTCATTGATTGGTTTGTGAAATTGAATGAAATGTAGACTTTGTAAATCTTGATAAAAAAAAAAAAAAATGTTAGTGATAACTTCAAAACTAAATACTGTGAGGATTTCAACCCATATCAGCATGCTACAAAAAAAAAAAAAAATTCTAGTATACCAAAATTTCAATAAGAAAATCAAACAGTTTTACCTTGATGACACTTTTGACAAATTCTAGAGCTGGACTGATGAGAGGTAAATGTGATCCTGGAGGGGTGGGGAACTCACTAGATCCACCCCCATGGTGGTGCCCACTCAGTTTCTTTTGTATTTTTTGAGTCAACCTGCCAGTAAATAGTAGAAATAGAAATAAAACAGGTAATAAGCAGGTACTAACTCAAAATATCAATTACTTTCTCCAAATGAAGTTTTAAAACTTAATGTTTCCTTTTTATTAATGAAAAAAAAAATGCACTGGACAGATAAGGTTTGGTTTATTTTGTTTTATGGCATATCAACCTCAATGAGTTATTTAACGCCGACAAGATTTTTAGGATAGGTTTGTATGAACAGAATATGTATTTGTAAGAAATCAGTTTGTAGATCAGGTTTCATGGACATATTTTTGTAGAAAGGATTTTTGTCAAGTGTTAAATGTATTGCTGGTAATAATTTTTGCCTTCAGTCTGAGATGCTACTTTGTGAGCATGTGTAGTGTGTGACAATTACATTCATCATGTGTGTGTTTATCCTTACATCTTGTGCAAGTTTTTTTGAGGTCAGTCAGCTATGCTACAGTTCAAGTTTGGTTTCCTGTCACTTCTAGTTTTTCCCCAACTAGAAAAACTGCCATTTGATGTGCAGGTAGTATAGCAGTTATCAGCAAGGAAAGTGGAAGATTTTGGCTTAGTCTGTTGTGTTCTCAATCACATTAATGAACTTGGAAAAGACATAAATTCATCATCTCTTCACCCAAAGCTATGGGTTAGACTGGTCTCTTTAGCCTTGGGTGTCAACCAGTTTAAGAGAAAAAAAACTGTTCTCTTCTACAAATAGGCTTTTGATAGGTCAGACAAAGTAAAACTGGCAGCTGATCCTGAAAAGTTGTTAACTGGATGAATAAGTGGCTTGTAAATTTTAATGCCTCCAAAGCAAAACTACTATCAATTAATCATCATGGAGAACCATTTTTACCCTCCATCAGCATGGTTGATGCTAACCTCCTTTAACTGATTGTGCCTTCCTTGTTTCACATTTTCTACTGACATGAAGTAGAGTGATTATATTGAATCAACTGCTAGAACATTGGTTCACTGTAATGTGCCAGACAATTTTTCCCACCACAACCTATCTTGCACATTTATGAATCTACCATTCATGCGTGTATTGCTGCCATATGTGGTCTGGTGCTCCAGTTATATATCTTGAGATTCTAAACAAAATCCGAAGAAGGGTTTGTAATGTCATTAGTTCTGACCTCACATTTTGACTTCAGTCACTTTCCCCACTACCATGATGTGGCTTCCCTCTGTCTTTTCTATATTTTCATGGCAGTTGTTCTAATGAGCTCTTCTCTTTGGTACCTTGACCATGAGAATTTAAGTGTACAACTAGATTGGCAATTAGGTCTCATCATTTTATTTCTATTCTAATGTTCTTCTCACCTGTAGAACTCTCTTCTGCTACCTACAATCATCAAAGATTTAAATGCAATATCAATCATCATATTCTGCCGCCATGAATTCCTGTTCTTTTATTGTCCTTTCTCCTGACTAGTTTTCTCATTCTTTTCCACTCTTAGTAATCCCTTGTGTCTCATTGGCTTTATTCCCTAGCTTGAGGTGAAATGATTAAAAAAAAAAAAAGAGGTAGCAATTCACAGATAAAGAAATGGAAATCTGTGGAGAGTTTCAATTATGTCTTAAAAGGACCACTGAAAAAAAGATGTTAAATTGTGGATAAGATTGATACCAACAAAAGGCAGTTGATAATCATGAAAAAGACCATGACAAGTTGTTTAGAAAAGTCAAAGGAGTGCTGGGCTAAGTGTTTGAGATACCAAGGGGAGTACTTTGCAGATTAGAGAATCCTTAACTCCCTCCTATTCTTCTATGTACTGTTTCCCTTCAAGGCATTAACAATCATGGCTCTCCACAATTTCCTGTCCTTTATAGCTCTTAATAAATTTTGTCTCTGTTACCACTCTTAAACATTGCTATACCATTCATTACACATGCTTGCTAAGTAGGTTATGTATTGTTTTCCAAGTGCTCTTTCTTCATTATGTGCCCTAGAAAATTTTCACTATCTCTTCCTGAAGGGTAAGTATCCTCTTTGTTCAATTTTTTGAACAACTCTTGGAATAATTTAGCCAGTCAGTTATGTGCCATGTGGGATACATGTTTAGGCAATCATGTATCTTTTGATACATGACTGACAAGGCAGATTTTCCCCCCTCGTAGTATGTTGCCATTTCTTTCTGCAGTAGACCAGTTGCCATCCAAGACTATAGAACCCAGTCTGTCCTGCTATTTACCTATAACTAGAGGGAGAAGAAGAGGATTCATACCTTTCCCAAGGGTATTAGCACGTAAGTGAATGTAATGGATTTGACTGGAATTCGAACTCGGCTTTCCAATTCCTCAATCCAAACCACTATCTATTACTCTACCATGCTCTAATTCCACTCAAATCCATTACATTCCCTTATGTGCTAATATCCATGGGAAACGTATGAATCCTCTTCTTCTCCCTCCAGTTATAGGTAAATAGCAGAACAGGCTGGGTTCTATAGCCTTGGATGGAAACTAGTCTACCACAGAAAGAAATGGCAACCTACTGTGGGAAAAAATTTGCCTTGTCAGTCATGTATCAAAAGATACATGATTGCCTAAGCGTGTATCATGCATGGCACACGACTGACTGGAATAATATAACAGCTCTTTTCAAAAATATATAGCTGGTAATATTATTTTTTCAAAAACATATAGCTGGTAATATTATTTCAAAAAAGTATTGCTGGTAATAGTTTTTTCAAAAACATATTGCTGGTAATATTTTTCTCTTCCTCAAAAACTTATTTCTGGTAATAATTTTTTACAAAGTATTTCTGATATCAAAACCTATTTTTACATCTTCATGCCTTTTACCTCAGTTCTGGGTTAACTATTTGCTGGGACCCTAACAAGTGCCACCACCCTGGGTCAGGGTGGAACTGGAAACACCAGCAATTAAGAGGAGATTCCACGCTCCTCAAAGCCTCCTGATCAGAGGCCTTGCTATTGGATGTAGTTTATCACCTTACCCTGGACGCGGATGTAGTTTATCAAGGTATTGTTAGGTCTATTTAACTGCTTCCTGAAATCTACATGTGTAAATAAAGGCTTGTAACACAGATGTCCAGTTGTGTGCATCACTTTTATGACAAAAATAAATACAATTTGCAAAAACCAGGATGTCAGAATGTCATTTCAGTAGATCAGAGTCAAAGAGCACAGACACCGATGACCTCATAGAAGATTATGACGTCACTATTTTCGACCTGCAGTGTCCTATAGAAATTTCTAGCTGTAATCCTAGAGCTTTTTCAGGTTCTGATTATCTACCTTTGCATTGGCAGTGGTGAGAGCAAAAGACCCACCAGGTGACCCTTACTGCTCAATGCCAGCTTGCATCTCGGCAGCTGATTCTATATTAATTGCCATGGATATGAAAGTCGATCCCTGCCACAACTTCTAACTGTACGAATGCAGTAGTTGGGTACAAGACAATCCAATTCTTGAAAACTACATCAGTTGGGAGGAAAATAGTTCCCTTGTAAAATATGGAATTATACCATTGTGCTAGCAACAAAAGCATCACAAAGAATGAACTTGATAGTCCAAAGAAATGAAAATGATTCTTCAACATTTCTTTTCCAGTCATTATTTTTAAATATTCTGACAACATGACTAAGTTGATAAACTATTACTACAAACAAATCTTTAGTACAATTTAACATCAAATGGTAAAACTGAAATTTTTTTTTTTATTTTTTACTTACATAAACATTTGTTGGGCAAGATCTCCTTGGATCAGATTTTGGGCAAAGGTTACAATACATGGTGCTGTTGAATAATCAGTGATAGTCTGTGAAAAAAAAAAGAAAAAAAAAAACAGTACAAAATGTGTATGTATATATAAGTCCAAAGTACTATTACAACCAACAGAAAGCCTGCCAGGTGACCCCAACCCCTCTACCAACCAAATAACTTTATTAACAGAAATCAAGAAAGCCTATACAAGAAAAGGAAAATAAACTAAAAGAAAAAAAAGACCACTATTTAAACAGTAACATATATATATAAGTATAGTATTGGTGTATACAGAATAGATTCCAATAACCAAAAAATACTATTAATAAAAGAGTGCACAATACAGAGTAAAGCAAAAAAGCAAATATAATATATTAAAAAATTTTAACATAAATATTGATAATTTTCAAATAAATTATATAATATATATATATATATATATATATATATATATATATATATATACACACACACACACACACTACATACACACACAAACAACACAGAAAAAAACTTACACCAATGATAAGTGTATAAAAAATGAGTGGACAGACAGGTCAGATTTGAAACTCTGAAGTTGGGATGTTGTAGGTAACATCAATCAGCTAAGTGACAAATTTTTACTTATATTCTCTATTTTATATATATATTTAAGTTTGATTTAAAATAACTGTCCATTATACAGAAAGAGAGGTACGGTGGTGTAATGGTGATGTAAATAGCAGGATAACTGGGTTCTGTATCTTTGGATAGCAACTAGTCTAGGAGTTGAAAAAACTCCAAATTGAAAAAATCTATGGGTAAATAGTAGGATAGTCTGGGTTCTGTAGCCATAGTTGGTAAACAGACTAGTAGAGGATAAGTCTGAATTCAAAGCCAGAGACAGAATCCTTAAGAGAGTCCGATGTTATGTCAATTTTATTCTAACAACTCCTGCACTGATGTTGGTGCCAAGTTGTATTGGCCTCTGCCTTTCAAAATTGGTGACATGGGGAGAGGAGACCCGTTGCATGTTGATCTCTCATATAAAAAAAAAAAAAAAAAAACCTTTCCCAAGCTTGCACCCTCCTTATGGTATAACTCTTGAGACTGACAGATGGCATATCATTGCACATTATATATATATATATATATATATATATATATATATATATATATATATATATATTCAATTTCTTTTTGAATTTTTAGGTCTGATGAATTGGATTGTAATTATGATTCCAATGTAATAAATTCTAACCATGGAATATTAGTGTTTGAGCCTTTTATATTATATTTTACTGTGTCCTAGACATTGAGTTCTACCCAGGATTCTATCCTCTTGGGAATTTTATATATATATATATATATATATATAGATATATATATATATATATATATATATATATAGAGAGAGAGACCACTAATATATATATATATATATATATATATATATAATATTATATATATATATATATATATATATATATATATATATATATATATATATATATATATATATATAGATATAATATTATATATATATATATATACTAATATATATATATATATATATATATATATATATATATATATATATATATATATATATATATATATATATATATATATATATATATATATATATATATATATATATATATATATATATATAGATATAATATTATATATATATATATATATATATATAGACCACTAATATATATATATATATATATATATATAGGACCACTAATATATATATATATATATATATATATATATATAGATATATATATATATATATATATATATATATATATATATATATATATATATTAATATTATATATATATATATATATATATATATAGAGACCAATATTATATATATATATATATATATATATATATATAGACTAATATATATATATATATATATATATATATATAGACTAACTATATATATATATATATATATATATATATAGACCACTAATATATATATATATATATATATATATATATTATATATATATATATATATATATATATATATATATATATATATATATAGATATATATATATATATATATATATATATATATATATATATATATATATATATATATATATATATATATATATATATATATATATATATATATATATATATATATATATATATATATATATATATATATATATATATATATATATATATATATATATATATATATATATATATATATATATATATATATATATATATATAGACCAACTAATATTATATATATATATGATGACTGGTCAAGTAAACTGATACCCAACCACATAAGATTTGTTACTGCTTTTGACATAAATATATCTTAAAAATCAACTGTTAGTATTTTATTAACATTGTAGAAGTTGATTACCTGTATAATAACTGATTAATATACTTCTTTCAACACAAGACAACTTGATTGCATTCATTAGTGTTATGTTGATGCTTCTCTCTGGTTAAGGCTTTCATAATTCATATTTATTTGATATTTTAAAATTGCTTAAAGGACAGAGTATTAACTACTGACCTGTGTCTGACTTGGTCGTCTTCGTATTGGAGTGTTACCAGGAGTCCTGCGATGATATTCTTGCTGGATTTGGTTGTACATTGATAAGATATATCCAGCTATTATCATCTGAAATATTGAAATAAAAATGGAAATTCAGAAGGATTCAATTCACAATCTTGTCCATATCAAAATGTATTTTTTTTTTGCTCTTTACACTAATTGTACACTTAACTCAGTGTAGATGCAAAGTACTTTAAGGCATGAATCAAACAGAATCATTAGACTTTGAAATCAAGAGTAAGCTCATCAGATTTAATTAGCTTAAATGAGGGTGGGGTCAATAAGTTCTTGGGCTCTATGCTGGTTTAAAAAAAAAACAAAAAAACATGAGAAATACTTTCTTGTCTATAGACAGGAGAGGAGATGACATTAAATTTTATAAACATAATTTTCATTTCAAAGATTTCCAATATAACAACACAATAAATTTTTATTCTATAAGAGAAAAGTTTTGGTCATTATTTTTTATTTTAATTATTCAAAAGAAAAATTTTCAAATTTAACTTTGGATAAAAGTTTAGAATCAGGGGCCATAATTCACATGTGCAAAAATTAACGTAGAAAATTTGCTAGAATTTTTAAAAACATTTTGAAAAAAAAACTGGTTAATTGCAGAATAAAAAACTTGTGAAGATTGTTGCTGCAATATGGCATTGGTATCCAAAAGTTGTTCTCGTGATATATTTAAAGATGCCCTAAAACCATCTGTAGAAAAAAAAAATCTTTCAGAAAAGTTTCTTTTTTTCATGCTCAAACAATAGATTTATCTAAAGCATTTTCTCAGAGAAAAAGGAACCAACATGCATCTGTAAGAATGGGAATATATATTTGGAAATAAATCCAAAATGTATTTGAAAATATATTGAAACAAACGATATATGTAAATTCTAACTCAATATTTTGCACATATGAATTATGGACCTGTTTCTAGACTTTTATTTGAGATTTGATTGAAGACTGAATAACTTACATTGAAGTTGGTTTGACAGGCACCAGATTCTGGCAAGAAATGTACAATATTCCAATTCATTTCAATTTCAGGCTATAAACAAACAAAAAGAAACATGAAACAAAGACAACCAAAGCATTGTGATAACAACAACAAATATGAGGACAATAGTCCACATATAAATAATGATAATTTCTATTCCCAGAAATTCAGACAAAAATTACAGTATATTGATGGAAGATTTTTTGTAACAAACAAAAAGAAACTGAAATGCTCTACTTGAACTAAACTTAAATTTAATCCAAGTAAATAGCTGAAAGTCACCACCAAATTTTGGCAATATTATTTACAATATCTTCTTGTTTCTACAGGAAAAATTAAGTTCCTTTGCAGACTAAATGTATTTGTCAAGACCAGTCCAGAAAATCAATGGTTTCTAAAGTTAGGACATTCAAAAAGGACTAACTAGAAATTCATCATATCAGTATAGGTTTTGTTTGTTTTTTCTTTTTCATTTCTTATGAAGAATTCCATATATGAATAATTCTTTGTATAATCAGACGCACAATATGTTCAGGGCAATCTGAGAGATAATCAGACGCACAATATGTTCAGGGCAATCTGAGAGATAATCAGACGCACAATATGTTCAGGGCAATCTGAGAGATAATCAGACGCACAATATGTTCAGGGCAATCTGTGAGAAAAATCAGATGCACAATATGTTCAGGGCAATTTTGGAGATAATCAGACACACAATACAAGGTGTGATAGATAAATTATCATCTAAATTATGCAAAAATTAAAATAACACTGATATCTCATTTTAACAGATATATTTACCAAAATTACACAAAAATATCTTCAAACACTACAGAGAAAATCTATTCAATAAAATTTCCATCAGCTTCAACCACAGCCTCCAGACGACTTTGGAGTCTCCTGTAACTCTTCTGGACGATCTTCTTGTTTAAGTTGGTGAATGATGCCATAATCCTTGCCTTCAGTTCATCTTTGGTCTTACAAGGAGTTTTGTTGGCCTCTTGCCCAACTGTGCCCCACACATAATAATCAAGGAGATTGCAGTCTGGGGAATAAGGTAGCCAGAAGTAAGGGGTAATGTGATCGCAGAAATTGATTGACAGCCATAACTGGGTTCTCCTGCTTGTATGACATAGTGTAGAGTAGTGTTACCAGACATAGGGTCTTCCATTTGTACCCTCCTGACCCAGAGCAGCACTAACTTCTGAAGGCATTTGATGTAAGCTTCTGTGTTAAGTCACCATTTGACCCAGGGAAGCACTTCCTTCCTGTCTATAGACCTGACTGACTTGGAGGGAATGTTTTCAATCATGACTTGAATTTCAAGAGTTCTTTTCAACAATCAGAGTGAGTTTTCCGAGCTGCTGTACCTTTGTATTATCATTAGAGTCATCCAATTCTTTCTGAATCATCTCCACTTCTCTCAGATTGACACCCAAACACTCTGAAATGTTTGTAATTGAGCTTCCGGCATGAATGCCAAGCAGTACAGCACACTGTTTCCAAATTTCTGGCAAAGTGAATAGCATCATGGTGTTCTTTTTCTCACAGATGACGCTCAACTGACCCTATTATACTATGTAGTTGAAAAAAAATCAAAAACAAACAACACGCATGCACAAAATTAAAAATGTAAAATGGCGACAATTTACTCAAGGAATACTGAGAGATAAAAACTGTACTATATAAATCTAAAAGAAATCAATTAATTAATGTAACATTTTAAATGGAAATTAAGATACCAACCTCCTCTTCCTCATCAGATTGATTCAAAATTTCTTCTTTTTGTTCTTGCAGTTCATCATCTTCAGAATTCTGCTCTGTTTGTTCATCAGGTGCGGTTTCATTATCATCATCAGTGTTTTTTGAGGAAGGCAATTTGCCTTTTACTCCACCATGGTTAGCCTGTCAAAATAGGAAAAAATTAGTCAGACTTGATAAAATATTAAGAAAATTCACAAAATATAATTCCTCAAATATAAAACATTTTTCAACTAGTTTACTTGAAAACAAGTGGACAAAAATGAATTCATAAAAAAAAAAAAAAAAAATGATAATCTATCCACATTAACCCTTTGCACCCCACGTTCCTGAACAATTTTGACCCTTCTGAACTCCTGAGTCAAAATTTGCAAATAATTGGTATGTAATATTTCACGGTAGATATAAAATGAGTTACAAGTTCATCTAGTGGCTGGGAATTGTCATTTTTCTTAACCACTGGTAAAGTGGTGGTGAGAGGTCAAAGGGTTAAGAATATTAACAAAATTTGTTACAATTTATTGTTTGTTAATCAGATAATAATTGTTTTGTCTCTCTGTTACAAAGCAATCTGTTCATGAAATATCAAAAACATTTATTACAGAAGACATCGATAGAAGTTGCCGATAGTAGTAAGGGAGAGAATTCTATAGCGACTATTGTCGCCTGTAGTGTGATAAAGGGTAATGTATCAGGTTTCTATAAGAATATTTTATATGAATTAATCTAAACATATCACCAAATACATCACTTTTGGATCCTGCTTCATTTTTAGATATGTTGAGATTGAAAATGTCTCAAGTAACATCCCCATCTCCTAGATAATTCACTCATGCAATTTTCACTACCATTAATTCATATAAAGTATTCTTGTAGAAACCTTATATATTAATACACACTAAACTCCCAAACCAAGCAGTTGGAACTATAAATTACAATTGTTTAGTTTCTATTGTTACTGTGGCATTTCAGTCGATCAATTTCAAACTTTTATTTTATTTTTTTAAAAGATAACATCTATCAATTCTCTCTTTCTATTCAGACCTTCACAGCTAGTACCAGCAATGCTATATACATGCAGTCAACTCACCTTCATTCCCTTCATATTCCTTTGGTAAGGAGGAAGTTCTATTCAGATAACTTCTTCACCAGAACTGTCATTTTGTGAAACAGACTCCTAAGAGGATGCTTCTTTTATCACTACAATCATAAGCTCTTAGGGTGGTATGGTGGAGTAATGGATAGCATCTTGGATTGAGGAATTGGAGAGCTGAGTTCAAATTCCAATCAAATCTATTATACTCACTTACGTGCTAATAACCTTGGGAAAGATATGAATCCTCTTTTTCTCCCTGCAGCTATGAGCAAATAGCAGGACAGACCAGGTTCTATAGGCCTTGGATGGAAACTGGTCTACCGCAGGAAGAAATGGCTACCTACTGCAGGAAAAATCTGCCTTACCAGTCATGTATCAAAAGATACATGATTGCCTAAGCGTTTATCATGCATGGCACATAACTGACTGAACCTCTTAGACAAGAGTCAATATTATCTATCCGACATAATAATATGCCTAATAATCCCCATAATATACATGTCTTCCTCCTTCCTTTGTGCCATTAATAGAATCTCATTCAATAACCCTCTATATTGAGCGGCTCTTGGGCATTGAATTAAGTGAACAATAGCACACAAAAAAAAAACAAAAAAAAAACTTGGAATAATAATGACTCATCTCAAAATTACAAATATTCATCAATACTTACAGGATCCATCCAGAGAAGATATTCCCAACACTATATTGAGCGGCTCTTGGGCCTTGAATTAGGTGAACAATAGCACACAAAAATAATAAAAAAAAACAAACTTGGAATAATAATGACTCATCTCATAATTACAAATATTCATCAATACTTACAGGATCCATCCAGAGAAGATATTCCCAACACTGTTCAGGTGTAAATTCAATCAGATGAAAGAGATTTCGAGATTTTATACTGTTGCTAATATAACTGACATAGCCGACTGCATCGTCAATAGACTGTTTCTTGGTGCAGAGCAAAATACGGTTGAAATTGGCATACACAATTACAGAGCCTAACCTCTGGAATTCTGCAATGAGCTAAAATAAATATATAAAAGGAAGAGGTAAGATAAAAAAAATAACATTAAAGAACTGTAAAAGAATGGATAATGCTTTCGAAGAGACACATGGATATTGTTTCTGGTTGTATATCCAAAAAGAGTCCAGTGGTACACTATTGGTTTTCATTTTGAAGGTGCAATCACTAGAAATGTTTGCTAATTCTGCCTCCTCATTTAATGTCAGATCTAAGTAACTTAAATTTTCTAAAGGATCTCAAACCCAGTCAAAGTCTTCTATAGATAACAATGAAAAGTAATCAATTTTTTTTCTAAAAGTGTTGCAAGATGTTCCTGTATAAGAGCATACAATTTCTTACACGTTTTAAAACTTTTTACTGATGGGAACATTTCTAGGTTATGTTGCATCCCTCTTCCTAGCCAGAGTTGAAATTTCTTTTAAATGCAGTCAGTTTATCTGTATTCCTGAGGATATTCTCATCACGATCTTGCATACTAGAATTGAGCAGGTTTAATCTGAAAAAGATATTGGTCAAATATGCCAGTTTTACACACCAATGATTCTTATCCAGCTGGTCAAACAATGGGTTCTCTTCATGTTTTAAAAATGCTTTTAATTGATTCTTCAGTTCCAACACCCGAATTAAAACTTTTCCCTGAGACTGCTAGTGAATATCCCTATGGCAGAGGAAAGGTTCCAGAGAAAGGATTAAAGGGAGATAACCGTGGATTCAAAGTCAGAACATTATCATTGATAACTCTCACCTCCAATTTGTGGATATTTTTGCATTATATCAAGTATTAAGAATATAGTAACTAACTATATTCTTAATACTTGATATAATGCAAAAATATCACAATAATAAAATCAGTCAATAATTATTTATAACTATTTATACTGGGACTCATGCATGCAATTATGAGTAATCCATAATAATATTTTAAATTTTGAAATCATATTTATTTTTGGTATATGAATTTTTTAAAACTGTTTTTAAATCTTTGATTTTCTTTCAATCATTCTACCTGACCTGTTATCCTCTTCCACCACACCCTATGAGATGTACCACACTGGGAACCATTGATCTAGTACAAGGTTACATGTTTGGAACAGTTAACAAAAAACTCACTATTCAATAACTTTGGTCTACAAAACTCCTCATTATATGTCAGAAAGGTATAGATATTTATAAAAAGGTATAGATTTATATTTATAGAAAAGGTATTTATAAAACTTGGTCTGGCACAAGGCTACAAGAGTCAGGTACTCAAGTGAAGAAGGAAGAGTAATAACAGATTAGAAGAGCCCTCTTAAAACAATTTGATACATTGTTCCCAAGTGGGTGCTACACTAGAGTAATCTTCTTCAGTCTAATCAGGTACACACAATACAGATCTTTCCCAAGAATAATCACATGGTAATATTAGCTATTCCATTATAAGGAAACATTTGGCATTCACTGACTGAGCAGCCAGTACCAGTGTCGGTTGAAATGTATAAAATCTTTCTCTCAAAACAATTTTTCAGGAAAACAGGTTTCAAGTCCAGTAGTTGTTATTGCTCTTTCCAGTATTGATGGGGTTTTTCTTGCTAATCTTTTATTTGAAGTAGTGTGGAATATCAACATTTTGATTATGTTGTTATTTTCTCTTTGAGATACATGTGATATCCATTTTGGCTGTTACTGCAATTGAAAGTTCTTAAGTGATGTGGTTTCTATTATTTTGCACAGTTCTTTGTGATTCTGTAGTACCAGTCCACAATATTCAAAGAATAATAGTTTTTACCAAGATCCACAGGCTTCATTAGCTCAAAGCCATCAATCTTAGAAAGTGGTTGTATACAGCTGACAGTTTAGATATTCCTGAATGAATCTGGTGCCATGTAAGATATCCATATGAAAGTCTTGATTTGACGATGCTATTTAAGAACCTGGTTAATATTTTAGTTTTGTAGCAATTTGAGGAGTTGAACAAAAGTACCTATAGCACCACGTATTCTATGTTCAATTACCTTGTCTCCTATACTAAATCTGTTATAACTGATCCATAGTCTGAGATATTTGAAGTGTTTAGCATTTACTTGAATTTTTATGATGGCTTCAGAGTAGGTAACATCACTACTTTCATTCCAATTCCAGATTATAGTTTCTATTTTGGAAAGGTTTATTTTGAGTCTTATTTCTTGGAACACTTGGAAGAGGATGTTGATTTTCTGTTCAAGATCATTCTTATCCCAACTACAAGGTAACCAAAAAAGTTCTGTCCGTTTTTTGATTAGTCATTGAATGAAGTTGAAATATGTACGAAATGTGTGTAGCAATTGTTTTAAAATTCGAACAGCCGGAAGTAGGAACATCAGACATTATAAAAAACACACACACCATGCCCTGCCATCAGTTATAAGCCGGACAGCTGTGAGAAGGATGGAAGTGTCTAGAGATCTCGTTCGGGGCTGTTTGCTTTACAACTTCAAAGTGGGCTTATCTGCAGCTGCATCAAGTCGCCGCATATGTCAAGCATTTGGGGATAGTGCTGTGGATGAACATACTGCAAGGCGTTGGTTTTGAAAATTCAAGTTGGGAGATTTGTCTCTCCATGATGAGCCTCGCAGTGAACGACCACAGGTCTTGAATGACGGAGTCCGGAAGGCAGCCATTGAAGAGGACAGTAGTCTAACGTGTGGTGAAGTTGCAAGACAGTTCAACGTTTCCGATGAAACAGTTAGACTACACCTGCACCGCCTAGGTAAGATGTACATACTGAGCAAGTGGGTTCCGCAAACGCTGTTGGAGGTCCACAAGGGAAAACGAGTGGGAGCCTGCGTATCGCTGCTTTCTCGCCACCGTACCGCATCCTTATTCAATCGAGTGCTTACCAGTGATAAAAAGTGGGTACTGTACGAAACTCCCAAGTGTCCCAGACATTGGTTGTCTCCTCAGGATGCTGTCCCTCACACCACAAGACTGCCTATGCACCCATGCAAGATTATGCTTTGTGTCTGGTGGACAGGTCATCAAGTGGTTCATTATGAACTGCTACCAACGGGCCAATCGGTCACTGGAGATCTATACTCGCAGCAATTGAAACGTGTACAACAGCCATTGTGCCAGAAGGAGCTAGCACTGGTGAATCGCAAAGGTGTGCTTTTCCTCCATGACAACCCGAGGCCACATGTCACGCAAGTGGTCAGGGATACCATACAGCAACTTGGGTGGGAGACTTTGTGCCATCCACCTTATTCACCTGACGTTGCGCCATCCAATTACCACCTTTTGCACTCCCTGGATAATCATCTTCGTGGGAAATTCTTCACCAATGAAACAGATTTGCACAAAGCCCTCATGGACTTCTTTGCGTCAAAACCCCACCCGAGTTCTACCGCAATGGCATTGAACAGCTGGAGACATGTTGGCAAAAGGTGCTGGATGCCGATGACGATTACTTCGAAGACTAAATATAAGTTACACATACTATGAAGTGTTTTCCTTTTTTCCTTTAAAAATGGACAGAACCTTTTTGGTTACCTTGTGTGAATATCTAATCCAGTTTACAGACATAAAAAAAGGAATCCCTGGAGAGTCATGTTCATCTATGTCCTGAAGAGACATGACACTTGAGATGAGAAAAACAAAACAGTAGTTACCTGCATGAAAATTTTTTTCATCATGCCACTAAGAGTTCTTCTTAAAGCTGGATCATACATCAAGGCAGATGGCGATCTCAACCATCTGATAAAAAAAAAAAATAATAATAATAATAATAAAATGGAAAAAGAATAGAAGAGGTAGATATTAATATAATTTTTCCTCAGCTGATTAATTCCTTATTATTACATTTGGTAGAAGTCATGGGAAAACTGTGGCCAACAGGACACATGCAGCTCATTTGACTTCCTGAATAGCATGCCTAAGAAAATAACATTTCTTAAAATTTGGTTTGTTTCGTTTCATTTTCACTTGTTCACTCACACACTCTCTCATACATAAACAATAATTAAGTGCAATGTTTCTTGAATTTTTAAACTTTCACCAAAGGTAATGATTTCATCATTTTAAACCACTGTCGATTTTCACTAAGGAATTTTGTTTTTTGGGGTTTTTTTTGCAATATTATTTTTTGTATTTTCAAGTGAATAAATTAGAAATTAATCCCATGAAGAATCATGTGCTAATCACACTGTCATCAGTATTAATATTATAGCAAGTCACTTACATTAAGTCACTTTGAGCAAAAGTAGAAAAACTACATACCTGTAAAAATGGACAATTTGATTATCTGCAAAAACATTTCTGTAGGCTGTCACATCCCTTACCCAGCCTTGAACCATAGTCTTCAAAACTCTACAGAGAAAAAATAATTTAAATAGTATATAATAAATGAATAAGTCAGTATATAGTGGGACACTTTTCTTACTTTTTTTAACAACAGATTTACCCCTCTATATAATACTAAAATTCTAATCTTATATGTATGTACAGAGTGCGATGGATAAATTGTCATCTAAATTACACAAAAATGAAAATAACCCTACCATCTCATTTTAACAGATATATTTACCAAAATTGCACAAAAATATCTTGAAATACAAAAGAGTAAATTCATTCAATAAAATCACCATTGGCTTCAACTATGGCCTCCAGATGACTTCAGAATCTCCTGCAACTCTTCTCCTTGTTTAAGTTAGTAAATGCCATAATCCTTGCCTTCAATTCGTCTTTGGTCTTACAAGGAGTTTTGTTGTTCTCTTGCTCAACTGTGCCCCACACAGAGAAATAAAAAGGGGTTGCAGTCTAGGGAGTTAGATGGCCAGATGTAACGGGTCATGTAGTCGCAGAAATTGTCTGACAGCCATGACTGGGTTCTCCTGCTTGTGTGGCATGGTGTAGAGTCCTGTTACCAGACATATGGCCTTACCATCTTGACCTAGGGCAGCACTACCTCCTCAAGGCACGATGTAGGCCTCTGTATTCAGTGAAGCCCTGTGGGAAAATGAATAAACGCATAACGTCACCATGACTAATGATCACTCCAAGCACCTTCAGAATCACCATTAGACTCATCAAATTCTTTTTGAATCCTCTGCACTGTCCTCAGACTGACACCCCAACACATTGAAATGTTCATATTTGCGCTTCCAGCACAAATGCCAAGCAGTACAGCATGCTGTTTCCAAATTCCTGGCATTGTGAATTGTGTCATGGTGCTCTTTTCCTCACAGGTAGTGCCCAACTGACCCTACTATACTCTGCAGTTGACAAAATAAAAAACAAACAAGGCACATGGGTGAAATTAACAATATAAAATGGCAACAATTTATCCATCGCACCCTGTATATGTGTTCTCAAGATACAGCTTCAATAAGTTCTGAAAGAAGACACATCTTTGTCTTATACTCCTTTCTGTTTTTGTGTATTTACTGAATTCATTTTCTATCCGTATAAATGTGGTTTGCCAGTATAAATTCTGGATCAAATCTAACCTTATAATTTTTCATCTTTATTTTTCCTCACAATACCCAACACACTGCCACTGGTTATATACACTAAACATATAAGTAGTAATATTATTTGCATTTCTTAGATGAAATATTATCAATTAATTTAATAAAAATTGACACTGCTTCAAAAAATGTAATTATTATTACTACTAATACTACAAGTCTATGTAAGTAAATATTAATAGACAATGCTTCAAGTAATTCAAATATTATTACTACTATTACTACTTATTCAAATATTACTACTACTATTATTAATTCAAATATTACTACTACTATTACGAGTGTAATAATTAACAAAAATATGAAGTACCAGTTAAGAATTAACAAAAACTGAGAATGTTTTATCTAAGAAACTGATAATTTGTGAAACAAGCTCTCACATGTACATTATTTATATTATTCGGACTATTGTCCTCATCTTTGTCGCCATATTTATCACAAAATTTCGGCCATTGTACACTCTGGCCTTCTTCAGGTGGTTGGAATTTCGAACTGAACCCTTTATTTCGCTCACTGGGGTAGACTGTTCTAGTTCCACATGCCATGTTTGAGGGATGTCAGTTATTAGTTATCTCCTGCTAATTTCCCTCTGAAAGTTCTCCAATGCCTTAACCGGGTATTGAACTCACACTCTTTGGGTCCTGTCACTGGATCTAACCAACGCCTTTATCCACTGTGGCATGTGTCCTTGAGGACACATCCAGGGTCAATCACTATCTATCCTCCATATCCTCATAATCTTCACCTTCTAATTCCTCCTCTTATGTCCATATCATTCACTTCATTCAATAATTTTTCTACCATGAGTGACTTTGGAGACTTGTATTGGGTGATCATTAAAACAAAAAAAAACAAAAACAAAAAAACAAAAACAATAAATTTGCAGCAACTGTAACAAAAAAGAAGCTAATAATAATAATAACAAAGATGAGGATAATAGTCTGCATGTTTTAATAAGACTGTTAGATCTACATAGAAAAATAATAGCTGCAATAGTGGAGAGAAAGGCTTGAAAAAAAAAAACATAGAAATTGCATTCAAAATGCAGCAGTATTTAAGCTCTGCTAACTTCTCCTTTGTTAGATTTTTTGTATCAGATGCTTGGTCACATTTTGACCAAGAAATTCCTGTTGCTATTTCCTTGTTTTCAATTTTGTATCAAATCTTACAGTTGTGATAACAATAACAAAAATGAGAATAGCCCACATGTAAATAATATAAATAACATAAATTTGATCAAAGAAATAATAGTCAAAAATTAATAATACTTGACAATGCTTTAAGAAATTGATTTAATATCAAATATTTTTCATCATGAAATTTCCCTATAACATCATGTAAAAGTAGAATATAGAAATTCACTTCAAATTTACTTACCTAAATGTAACTGAAGACAAGGCAGTTTCATCATAGCTGGTTAGCATCATGGCAGCTCCTTGTCCTTGCATCATATCTTCAAGAGAGGTTTGGGGTAACAAGTCAAAACTGACTGCACTTGCTCCTTCCTGGTCATTAACATGAGAAGACTGCATAAAGAAAAAAAAGGAAAGTAATAACATATAATGTAAATCCCGTAAAAACTTTATATTATTGCTGTAATAAAAATACATTATCTTTGTCAGAAAAGAAAATGGAAACAGAATGCACAGGCTGGCCCTGAATAGCAAACTACTGGTCAAAACTGTGATAACATGAATTGAGTGGTGGTGGTGGAGGGGTATGATTTGAAGAGAAAATTAAGAGAAAACACAAACTGGGTTGGGAGAGATAAATATTAATAAAAGTAATTAGGGTTTTAGTTTCATGTCTTATCTATTATCCAATAAAAAGAATTATCCAATAAGATTTATATTTTTATATCACTTTTAATTATACTACTAAAATTGCAAATTGTCGGCTATACACAAATACAATAATTACTAATTACATAATTAATAACTGTCTGGTTAATCTAATGTTTATAAAAAAAAAATTACTAATTACAATAATCAATTCTTACATTTCATGTTATCCAATAAGAAGAATTATCCAATAAGATTTAAGTCAGGTCAGGATAAACTTAAAGATGGCTTTTAGAAATTTATCCTCATTATTGAAGTAAAAGCAAAACTTTTAAAATTTGCCCTTTCAATTGTCCTAGGAGAGTTGTCCTATAGAGGCAATTGTCCAGGGGCAGTTGTCCTATAACCCTTGGTGTCTGAAGACTGAAGTTAGAAACAAAATGAAATAAATCTTAATGATCACTTACCTCAATAACAGTATTCACAGCTAAACTGGACATGTCCATTTCCACACAGACAGTTGAGTAAGCACCAGGATTATTTACTTCAATAGTTGTCTTCTCTTCCATTTCCATACATAAGCTTAAAAAAAGTAATAAGAAATAAATTCATCTGAATATCATCATGAAAAATTAAAAATTGATTTTTTTTATAGTTACCAATGTACAAACTAGCCACACTAATTGAGCGATTCCTGTATATAGTTTGTTCTCATTGAGTTTACATATCTTGTTTGTCAAACTCATTGCGGACTGAGTGATGTCAATTCTCTCACACAAGGAGACCACATGCCAAATTTTAGCTATGAAAGTGTGCAGTACATTCATCTTTGTGGATGGAGAAAACTGTTAAGATTGTCAAGTAATTCAGTTGCATCTGAAGTCAGGGCTAAACATGAATTTCCTGACTCAATGTTGAAGTCAAGTATCGGTACATTCTCTGATAGTATGATGATATGTTCCTTTGAAGTCTCAGAATTTTTAGTGAGTTGACTGTTTTGATGAAATTTAAGAATGGGCCAGTTTTTTTTTTTGAAAAGTAATAATTTTATATTCATACAAATAGATATATGCAATTGCAATATGTGCAGATCGTATAAATTGTTGATGCTAAATAAATGAACCTAGTGAACAGAGTTTGTCTTTGATTTATTATTATTTATGTAGGTATAATGGGTAGCAGTGAAAAATTGTAGTAAAAAAAAAGTTTGAAAAACACTGCACTATATGAAGTGTGGAATGAGAAGAATCTACTATGAATTTAATAAATTGTTTGGTTTGAAAAGAGAAACATTGAAGCATGTTAAAAAAAACACAAGGACATTAGTCTGAATATATCAATATAAAATAAAGTTAATTCTTGATCTTAAAAACTCAAGCAAAAACCATTCACATCTTATGTACTTTAATAGTAGGTACTTCCACTTTTTCACAGAAAAAAAAGTATAGCATGAAGAAAAAAGGCTCTAAACTTAATAAAAACAAAGTTTTATCATCAAAATCTTTATTATTAAGAGGAAAGACCAAAGTATTTTTTTATTAAATTTTTGAATCCTTTCAAGCACATTCTTAATCTCACTTATTATAAAACACAGATTGTGTGTGTGTGTGTGTGTCTGTACGTTTATATATTGGATCGGATTTCCTACATTTTCAACCGATTTCAACAAAACTTCACAGGCCTATTTAAAATTACCTTGGGGTAGTTCTGACAGTGCCAAAATTGGAAAAACACAATTGTTTTGCATGAAATCAATTTGAAAAACACGATAAAACACGATTCTGTCGCCAGAATGAAAGGGGGACAACTCATATCAAGTTATACTTATTATAAAACCCAGGTTGTTTGTGTGTGTGTGTGCTCATTTATATATGGGATCGGATTTCCTACATTTTTCAACCGATTTCAACAAAACTTCACTTTTTTTTTTTTGGCAGGTAGTGTTTCTTATTGTCTTGCACATTTTTTTTTCTTTATTTTTACATTCAGAATGCTTTAAAAATTCCATTTACAAGACAATTGTTTATAATAAAATTCTATTCAATCGGTAGACTCATAACGATTGAAAACAATGTTTTTGTTTGAGTTTGGGTTTGACCAATTTGTAAAAAAAAACAAAAAACTAATTAAGACATGCATGTCTGTCAACCTTAAACAATAATCTTTGTTAATTTTATTTTTCAGTCTTTATGATGGTCGATACTTGATCTATCTCTTACTGTTACATCCCCAGACAACGCTGGGGATGTAACAGTAAGAGTTTTGGTTAAAAATCATGTTTTTTTTTTTGTGTTAGCAGTCACCATATTTCCAATTAGTGTTTTACCACTTTGTTTTCCGGTAAAAAACACATTGATTTGGAAATTCTGGCAAAAATCAAATGTTGGATTTCAATGAAACTTTCAGTACTTATTCACAAATAAATTAAATTATTTTTGAATTTTTTTTTTTTACCCCCACTTACTTAATTAGTTCAAACAGGACTCCTTGGAGAATGTAAATCATCAATTTTTTTTTTTCTTCAAATTACTCATTTCCTGAAAATCTGCTCAAAGCATAAAATAAAAAATGCAATAAAACTATGAAATTGTTTAATTAGAAAACTTTGAATTACTTTCATAAATAAGATTTATTAAGGACACTATTGTCTTAAGAAAATAAATTTTTTCAATGAATAATGAATTTTTACAAAAATTGTTTTCATTTTTTAAAAATTTTAACTATAATAATTTATAATGTATAAGTCTTTTAAAATTCTGCATTACTTTCATCTGGTTAGGTGATATTGTTATTAAGCAAAAACTATATTTACTAATCAAAAATTGAAAACCTTAACACAAATCATTTTGTAGCAAAGTTTTTAAAATAATTTAAAATTTTTTGTATGTATATAAAATATTACGTAATGTGCCCATTTTTTAAAGTATTGTTGACCATACACGGCATTATCAGAAAATAAGAGCAATGACTATAGTAAATTTACATTCAACATTCCTAAAATTAGATCAGGGAGAATATTTTTCAACATTTTTAAGATTAGTGAGTACTTAAAAATGATATCATTTTCTTAAATTATGTTTTACAGATAAATTCTCCATAGAACAACAATCATTATGTCAAGACCCGTCAATGTCTAGTCAATTACGTAAAAATGGTGATGTCAGTCAAAAAAAAAAACAACTGTTTAGTTTTAAAAATACATTTTTGCGTTATGTTAAACTTAAAGTAAATAATATTTTTTTCAAATCAGATTAATTATACTTTAGTTAATATTCCTCAAATAAAGTTTTAGAAAAGTATATATTATTTTTGGAAGATTTTTATTATAAGAATTACATTGTGATGAAAGACTAAAAACAAGGCACTAATCAGCTATTTAAGAAAAAAAAATCAATTCCAATCAATATAATTTCTGTTTGAAATACACTAGAGTATTTTGTTCACTGAAAAAAGTAAACTTAACTTTCAATTAAAGCAAAAATGATAGCTTCAAGAAAGTTTTTTCACTAATCAGCTATTTAAGAGAAAAAAAGACCCCAAAAACCGATTCCAATCAATATAATTTCTGTTTGAAATACACTAGTGTATTTAGTTTATTGGAAATAGCGAATTTAATAATTTAGCATTCAATTAAAGCTAAAATGAAAGCTTCAAGAAAGCTTTTTCATTTATAAAAATTCATTTTAAAGCATAGGTATCAAAAATTAATGGTGGTACCGATAATAGATTTATTATTATTCTTACCGATGGTCATCTGCTTCTTTTCCACCAAGGTCAGGTCTGTCAGTCAGAGAACACCAAAGCAAGTGATTGTGCTTCTGAAGATGACGGGCAAAGAAAAGGTCACAGCCAAACATCATGATATCTTTGGGCATATTGCCAAGAGGAATATGGAAATAACGACATTGTTCGAGCATCACTTGTAAAATCAACTGAACATTCATGTAATGTTGAAACATTCTTCGACTGGCCACTCTCTGCCAATCAAGCACATTGTATAAGTTCTCACTGCAAGTAGAAAGATAAATAAATGAAGTTAAGCAAGGAACAACAAAATGAAATAATAAATACAACCAATTTGATAATTTCTGTCTGAAACTTAAAATGAAGAATTGCTATTTCACAAGTGGACCTGAGGAAATTCCATGAGTATTGATAACACATTATTCCTACATTTTTGCAATTACGGCCACATTACATTGAAACAGCAGTACTATCACCAAAGTTGAACAATGTCAAACCTGATAAGTACCCAAGTATGTCACCATTTGGTAAAACCAGGTCCTGTAAGCTTGGATGTACAAGTGGTGGAATGGATAATGGCTTGGAATTGTTCATTGGAAATCTGAGTTTCAATTTCAGTTGGATTTGTTATATTTACTTATGCTCAAATACCCTTTTGAAAGTTATGAATCTACTTCTTCTCCTCCCCAGCTATGGGTTAATTAGTAAGACATGTATCACTAAATCATTATTATCTAAAAAACAATTCTTACAATCTAAAAATCTGTCTCTTGTAGCTCTTATTAAATTTTATCTTTTTGTTATTGCTCCTAAACTTTGCCTCATCATCCATTTACTAAAGCTCACATGGTAGGTTATCCATTGTTTTCCTCTACCCCTCTTATCTTCAATTTGTTCTGTGAGTATCAAATTTTTCAAGCCCTCTTTCCTCGTGATGTGCTCTAGAAATTTCAACTCTTTTTCTCATGTTAAGTATAAGTGTCCTTTTTGTTTCAATTTGCTCTACAACTTCATCAAATGTTCAGTCCATGGTATTCTCAGCATCCTTCTGTAAAACCACATTTCTGCTGCTTCAAGTCTCCATCTGTAAGGAGACTGTCCAACATTAACTGCCATACAGGAGGACTGATATTATATAACAATACAGTACTCTTTTATTTCTTTCTAACAAAATTTTTCTGTTTCTTAATATTTTGCCTAGCTTTTGGAAGGCATCTTTAACTATCCCAATATGCCTTTGGATTTCAGTGTTGCATTTTCAGTGTCTTACATAGCTGGCGAGGATCTCGATATAGAAACATTTCAAACCACATCACAAGTATGACAAAGTGAAAATGAGAGCCCCAGTCTATTTAATCTTTTCCTAGATTATGCTCTATGTATATACAAATATGGAGGGCCAGATGCCGAGTGAAAACAAGTGGAGGAGGAGATGCCGAGTGAAAACGAGCGGAGGGCGAGATGCCGAGCAAAAACGAGTGGAGGGGGTGATACCGAGCAAAAATTCTCTGTGCTTTCTCTATAAACGTTTTTATGGTAACTGAGTGCAATACTTGATTGGCACCTAGGTCTCATCATTTTACTGTTGAAATTGTTAAATGTAAACAAAAGTTCTGTTAATAATTTCTTACACATCTCACTTTTAGAACTCTGTTCCAACTTGCTGCTTTCTGTCAATAATGGTCTTCAAAAATTTAATTGCAACACTAATCATCATGTTTCCTTGAATCCTGTCCTTTTATTGTCCTTTCTATGTTTTTTCAGTTTATTTCACTCTCACTAAAATCTCTCTTGCATCTTAGTGGCTTTATTGCCTTCCTCAGAGAGACATATTTAAAAAAAAACTAAAACTATATAATAATGATGAATTAATGCCTGTTTCATGGATATTTGTCACTGCTTACTGCAAAATCACAATGCATAGCAAGATTTTTCAAAGGCAATACAATTAAAATTTAAAGACAATACAAATAGAATACAATCTCATTAAGTTTGAAGATGACAATTAAAATAAAATATTATTAAAAATTAAAAACTACAATTAAAATGCAATGCCATTAACATTTTTAAATTTCCATTAAAATACAATATCATTAAAATTTAAAGACAATACAATTAAAAATACTTAAATTCCAGTCCAATTTGAACCTTAATATTGTGGGAGTCATTTTTCATGCTCATCCCGATAATACTGACAATTTTTGTATGTTTGTGTTTATTACAAAAGCTGAAAAGAAAATTCTATCAACAATGAAAGAAGAAAAGAAAGAAAAAGATTAACTGCTGCCTAAAATGATATCTTTATTTTATAAGAACAAAAAAAAAATAATTTCATATAAAGAAACAAAGCAATTTCTAAAGAATTAACGGATCTTATTTTTTAATTATTTACATTGTTCAGACTCTTGTCCTTATCTTTATTGCCATATTCACAATGTTTTGGCTGTTCTGTTGTATGCTCAAGCCTTCTTCAGGTGATTGGTAACCATTTTTTTATCAGAGCTCATATTGGAATTTTGTTGTTATTGCTTTTCTCTAGCACTCCATATAACTGGTTCCCATATTGTATTCATTTCTAGAGATTTTTGTGGCCTAACATATGATACTGAAAATATGGAGACAATTAGAAAAGTCCCACCAGAAGCTAGCACAAATATTAAACCCGTTAACATTCCTACACTGATGCAGAGTCTTAAGACTCATCCCTTCAGGCTTGGCACTAAGACTTCCCGCCAATTCAAGGAGAGCTTATCTGGTTACAGAAAAAGCAGGAGATGCTCTTGTCCAAGAATGAATCCAGTACAACTGTTGGATAAAACAGAAACTGCAATCTGATATCTCCCAGAGAGCTTGAGGTCTTCTTCAAAAGAATTACCAATGAAGATGACCAAAAGAGGATCCAGCATGATCTGGATAAATCCCTCAGACACAAATTCGATACAGTCAAGGCCATGCCAAGTACAAAAATTAAACATGTTGAAAGATCAGAAACTGATGCAAAAGGTTCATTACCCTCCAATGAAGGCAGTAATCAACATCAGTCAACACCAGCTGAGTGCCTCTGAAGAGTCAGTACTAAACAAGGGTCTCAACTCCATCACAACCCTCAGGCGAATACCATACTTAGACATCATTGGCTGATTCAAGAAAATCAGGCTTGAACATCTCTAAAGCTCAGGCAGGTGAGCTAAGATGGAAAGTGAGACAAATACTGGAGAAAGCCAAGCCACCCAAATCAAACACCATGAAACTGGAGAAGCTGACAATTAGAACCCTACAGAGTAATGAAAACATCATCATACTACCAGCTGACAAAGGCAATGCGACTGTAGTGATGGACAAATTGGAATATACAGGAAAACTGGAAGACCTCACTAGAAATGGTAGCTACAGTAAAGAAAGATTCAACAATGAAAACAGTCACAGATCCTAATAAAAAACAAGGACTACTTCCCACCTAAGACATACAGGAAGTTGTTGCAGTGTTACACCAAGCTACCTCACATATATGGTCTCCCCAAAATTCAAAAAGATGGTATTCCACTCAGGTCAATTGTTAGCTAGCAAGGCTCTGTGTGCCAGCCTCTGAGTCACTTCCTTGTAGATATAATTAACCCATTAATAGGAAAGTCACCTTCATACGTCTGAAACTCGGACATATAGCGACAGGATGAAGGCTTAGCAATGTGCTTGCCATTATCACCAGCAATGGCAAACATATACATGGAATACTTCGAAGAAATGGCATTAGAATCTACATCACTAAAGCCTATGGCTGAGATAAATAGATGACACTGTCATACTCTGGCCACACCAGGAAGAGGATCCAGCTACTACTGGACCATCTGAATTAAAGATCATCAATACAGTTCACAATGGAAGCAGAAAACTCATTCCTGGATGTACTAATATCTCGAACAGAGCATGGGTTCAAGACATTTGTATACTGCAAGTCAACATTCACTAGACAATACCTCAACTTCAACTCCCACTACCCATCCAGTGTATAGAAAGGGATTGTCCACTGCTTACAGCATCAAGCAAAAGTCATAAGTGGTGACCCAGAGACATAAACAAGAAGTGGTCAGTATAAGCAGTACCTTACAATGCAACAGCTACTCTGGATACATAGCAGCAGCTCCAACAAACTGGGATAGAAAGGTACAAGAGGATAACAACACTCAGAAAACAGCTTCAGTCTGCCTACCCTATATAAAGGGATTATCAGAGAAAATATAAAAGATCTGTGGTCCATACAACATCAGGTGAACCTTCAAAAGTGGTTCAACACTTCACAGACACCTCTTCTGAGTAAGAAACTCCCCCTATAGTGAACATGACTAAGGACTGTGTGTATGTCATCCTGTACAGCTGTGGTAAGAAATATGAGGGAGAAACAGGCTACTCCTTTAAGAGTACAAGAACATCATAAAGCTTTAACATGAGGGCGAAATAGAAAAATCAGGCATAGCTGACCACATATGGAGGGAAAAGGGAGATCATTGCCTCCCTATGGGATGAAGTTGAAATAATAGACAAAGAACATCATTGGAAAATATGAAAATTTAAGAAATCAGCACATATGCTAGGCCAGAAAAATCTCCTAAGCTGGCCAAGGATAGAAATGAATACAATATGGGAACCAGTAATACGAAGTGAGAGAGGAAAACAATAACAACAAAGTTGCATGTGGAACTGGAACAATTTACCCCAGGACAAAATAAAGGGTTCAGTTTGAAATTCCAATCACATGAAGAGGGTCTAAGCGTACAACAGCCGAAATGTCATGAATATGGAAATAAAAATAAGGACAACAGTCTGAATAATGTAAATAATTACAATACCTCATCTCAGAAATAGAGACAGTTATTTTTTTTAAAACCAATATATTTTTATTACTTTAAACATTATTTTTAGTAGATACCTGTATCTGAGTAGAGACTTCATTTATTTTAAGTGGCCTGCACACTTAAGAAATTTTATTAAGGAAAATGTGCTCTCTGACAGGATTTGAACCAGATTTACCTTTTGCAAGAAAACCCACTGTCTGATCCAGCTACAAAAAGCTTCACAATCAAATGAGAAACGTAATTCCTAAGGAATTAATGGATTTTTAATTATAAACCAACATTATTTCTTATTACTATAAATATTATACAAAAAACAAACGCAAAAGCATGCATAGTGCTTGGGCTTGTTCTTTGTTAGGGGCCGCAGATTATGCTAAGTCTGAGGGCATCGTCACCACACTGTTTTTAGAAAATGTTTTAAACTTTATATTTTAGGTCTTGTTGCACATATTTTTTATACAGTATTTTCAATGGTTGTATCAATCTATGTGTAATTAAAAATGGTTATTGTATGTATGAAAGAAAATTTACACTGTATTTAATGAATACATGAGTTTGAGTACACCTACTGTTTAAAAACCGAGACTTCTACTTAAACATGTGTATCCACTAAATATAATATTTATAGTAATAAAAATTAAAAAACATTATTTTATGCAAAAAATGATGAAACTTTCCATTTCATTTTTTTCACATGATAAAAAGAATTTAAAAAAAAAAAGAAAAAAAGAAGGTAATTCTTGATACCTCTTCATAAGAACATAATAGTACAAGTAAAGCAAACTTCAAATTTTAAATGTAGTTGGAGTTTGCTTAATTACAGAGTGGTTTCCCTTACTGATTTATTTACAGTGAGTTCCCTGTATCTGCGGGGGTTAGAGACCAGAACCAGCCATGAATAGTTAGAATCCGCGAATACTTGTAACCCCCCTAAAAGTGCTTATAAGTACCTATTTTGATTGTTAAAACCCCATGCCTTAAACTTTTATCCTAAACACTTTAGAAACATTTCAGACCCTTTTTAAAACATTTTTGAAAAATAGTATTGGTGACCATACACTTAGCGTAAATTTTCTTTCATATGTACAATAACCATTTTTAATTACGCATATATCGATACAACCATTGAAAATACTGTATATGTGTAACAAGACCTAAAATATAAAGTTTAAAACATTTTCTAAAAACAGAACTGTGATGATGACCCCAGACTTTTAAGCCACTTTTAAGACCCCAGCCGCAGTGCCTAACAAAGAACAAAGCCCAAGCACTATGCATGATTTTGCGTTTGTTTTTTTACAATGAAGATGTATGATTCTGCCAATTTTTACCATAAAAATGGATTGTTATGTTTTAAGTCACTTAAATAACAGGAAAATAATACAAAAATATTTTAAATACTTTCTATCAAAAAATATGTGAATCAAGAGAGTTCTCAGTAAATAATTTGGATATATATTCTTCAGAAAAACACGTGAATATTTAGGGTTCCTGCAAATAACAAGCACATATATTCTAAAGCAAAATATGCGAATGTGTGAAGCTGCAAATGCTGAAACGCAAATAGGTGGGGGCTCACTGTATTTGCAAATAATTATACTTTAAATTCTAAAAAAAGTGACTTGAAATTTAGTGGTCATTAACTGAGCATCTATATTTTAATTTTATTCACAATGTCTCTTCAGGATGAAGGTGATCATGGTGCTCCACTACTTCTTTTCTTTGTTAGCTTCGAATTGCCCTGACTTCTTGATAGCAGATTGTTGTCACACTGAGTTTTTAATATAAGTTTGTCCTTCTCCAAGACTAGGTGCCAACCAAGGCTAGATATCTCACTCATCACAGCTATTTCACCCATATCAGGGATGAGAAGAAATGATTTCATGCTGTTCTTGCTGACATTAGTGCAAAAGTGAATGCAACAGATTAGAGCAGAATTTGAACTTGATTTTTCAATACCACTTTCTGCACCAACAACCATTATGCTACCTGCACATTTCATGTATCTACCTAGTAATATAATCAGTCTAAAAGGAAATTTATTTTTACCTGTCGGGTGCATAGATGGGTACCACAGGAAAATTAATCAACTCTGGCATAGCATTGCAAAGTTCAGATGTATCTACAAAAAAAGAAAAAATATAGATTAAAGCCCTTTTAAAATTTTTTATTCCTATAAATGACAACTGATCCAGGTCCTTACAGTAGCTTAATTGATGTAGTTTTTTGTTTTTTTTGTTACAAGTGTGAAGAAGACAGTATGAATTGAACTTAATATATTAGCAAAGTGGTCTGAAAATACCTGTGTGCGCGTGTGTCGCCTTCCTGACAGATCTGCAAGGTACTTATGTCAGTTTTGTGATAAAACTTGTTGGACTGAAGCAGT